TCATTCTTCGCATCGCTTTGACCAAATAAATAATATTAATACAGCGTAGATAGCTCCAACTATTCCGTAGCAGCTTCAGAAACCCCCTATCCCTTCTTTGGTGGTTCCTATTCGGTGGACTGCTCTAGTTCTCCACGTCGGTCAAAACCTGCACTTTCCCCATCTGGGTTCTTTGAGACAGCAGAGCTAGATTCAAGCCTCAAAGATAGCTTAACTCCAGTTAGATAGCTGGCTTGTCCGCTCGTATTGCTGGTGTCCCTCTTATTTTATGCTTGCCAGCAGGGCAAATTACCTTTCGCCTATCATCAAACTGTTCTAGAGGGTCCAACAAAGAGAGTTTCGCGCGCTTCTCTCCCTATGGACCACCAAGCACCTACTGAAGTACCAATTTTTCAACAACTTCAGCAAAACTCACTGAAGTAATCGCGTCTCTTGATCATAATTCTTCAGAGATTTGCTCTCGATTAGGTGAGTGATGAGTACAATCTTTCTGTATGCTGGTGGACTGGAAACTTTGTTGTTCCCTCCTCTGCTAGTGACCCGGGCCGTCTTTCTGACTACTCCGTATTAGGGGCTAAGGCACTACGGAGTACTAACAGTACCACTCCTACTACGGGATACGCTCAGCCCAGTCCGGAAATCATCCAAGACTCAAACGCCCTTCATCCCTTCTCGCTGTTCTGGTTCTCAAGCCAGACTGGCTCACTTTTTCCATCAGATACAAGCTCTCCAGATTGTCTGCGACTCGTTTTGTCACTTCATCCTTTGAACGCATTGCATTCCCTTCATTGAGAGGGTAAGTTTCAACTCCTGCGAAGATCTTGCGCAGCCTATCGGGGAAAAGAACCCCTCCGCCCACGTTATTCTCCTTCTGTACCACTGCCGTCGCCTTTTCAGATACTGCAATTCTTTGCTACGGTGCTGATAGTTTTGTCTCTTCTTCTAGAAATCTAGGAGCATTAATGTGCCCGGATTGCGACCGCTTGAAGTCCCCTATACCTTGAGTTTCTGGCAATTGCCCGTCTACTTCTCCTTTTCATACGCCCATCGTTTTGTCCGCCTGCGTCTGCGAATCGTCACATATCGTCCGGGTCCGATCCCTGCAGCACAACGATTGGGATGCGTCCGCGGTGATTTAAGCCAAACGGAACGCAATACTTGAGTTTTCTCGGATAGAGTTTCTCGATGGGTAATTCGCAAGGGAAACCGGTGTCCTCCACCGATGAAGGTGCGTAGCGGGTTCTTTATCTTAGTGTGCTGGACGCACCTGTCGTTTGCAATTGTATGGAGCGCATTCACTGACTCTTCTCTACTTATCCTGTGATAGTGAACTTAAACCAATTTCGCCTCCTTCGAGTGGTAGGCAAAGGTGCTTTTGGAAAGGTCCGCATCGTGGAGAAGAAGGACACCGGCCTGACATTTGCTCTGAAGTACATTCGGAAAGAAGAAGGTGCGAGATTTGCTGTCGTCTGATTCTTGCCGGTGCAGCATACTAACAATTTGCTTCGTGTTCTTTAGTTGTGCGATCGGAGAGCGTAAGGAACATCATTCGAGAACGACGAATGCTCGAACACTTAAACCATCCTTTTCTTTGCAACTTGAGATACAGTTTCCAAGACATCGAGTACATGTGCGTTCTACAGCAACCTTCCTGCATGGCCCTGACAGTGGTTGCTAATGTCTCATGAAGATATATCGTGGTTGATTTGATGAACGGCGGTGATTTGCGATTCCATATCTCAAGAAAGTGCTTTACAGAAGAGGCAGTACGCTTCTGGATGGCAGAACTCGGTTGTGCTTTGAGATACATCCACTCGCAAGGTATCATTCATCGAGATGTGAAGCCGGACAATGTGTTGCTAGATTCGGAAGGGCATGTACATTTGGCGGATTTCGTATGTGGCGCCCTCTTGAGCATTGTAATCCCAGTTACTTTTCCCCGCTGACCTTTCTTCCTCATTGCAGAATGTGGCATCCGATTTTCGACCGGGCAAGCCCCTCACAAGCAAGTCAGGAACCTTGGCGTATCTGGCTCCGGAGGTGTACGAAGGCGGGGGTTATTACTGTGAAGTGGATTGGTGGTCGCTCGGTGTTACATTTTACGAATGCATTTATAACAAGGTATGCACTTCTTGCTTTCGCTGCAATTCTGGTCTCTGGCACTACTCTAACTTGTAATATAGCGACCTTTTGAAGGTCGCAGCCAGGACGTCCTTAGCGAGAACATCAAAAAGGCTCAACCAAAATACTACGTCACCAACCCGGCTGTTTCAGTTCCCTGCCTGCGAGCAATGTCTGCGCTCTTGGAGAAGGACCGAAGCAAACGAATAGGAGCCACTGGGTTTGACACTTTCACTTCACATATGTTCTTCGCAGAGATCGACTTTGTTGCTCTGGAACGCAAGGAAGTTCCGCCTGTTTTCCGACCTTCCAGCGACAAGACCAACTTTGACGCAACGTATGATTTGGAAGAGCTTCTCCTCGAGGAGGCGCCTCTGGAGGCTAGGGCGCGGAGACAAAAGCCAAGGGCCGAACTGAGAGAGGATGCAACGGCGAAGGAAATCAGAGAGGATGAGCTTCACCGTCTGATCGAGACGATGTTTGAACCTTTCGACTACACCACAGTTACATATCAAGGGTATGTTCAGGAGTTGCAGGAGCAGGATCTATCTGGGTTCCGTGCTAACGGAGTTTTCAGCAATGCTGCTGAGGCAATCGCGGCGTCAAAGTAAGTACCACCACATTGACTTCATTCACCCACCTCTGATACTCACATTTTGCCCACAGAAATCCTGAGGATTGTCTCCCACTCACCACGACTCCAGCCCACGCTCGTCATTATTCACAGCCTGACACGTCGAGGAACTCGCCGACCTCACGCACTGAAGGTTCCGCCGGTCACTTGACCCAACCTGACAATACCAGTCATAATGAGGCGCATGACTCGCAAGACCATACGCCAAACGTGCAGCCTTCGTATCCAGCTCCTCCCCCGCCTCCCCCACCCGCTCCCTCGTTCTCTCGGCCGCTTCCGCCCCCTGGCCCCAATCGCCCACGGGGAGCCACCCGCAAGACAAGTAAGGGCGGAGGTGTTCAGATGGTCTTGGAAGAGGCGGGTAGTTGGAGTGAGCTCGCCGATCACAGCTCTACTCTTCCGGCCGAGGGCTACGATAACGCGTCAGTCAAGGGAAAGTCCTCCAATAGTGGTATGCTCGCATTCTTGAGCCGCAAGAAGGGGCGTGACAGAAGCCCGAAACCTCAGGAACCAGGCGTCTTGGGTAAGGAAGGAGCGAGACAAATTATCAGTTCATAACAGTTTCACAAAGGGCCCTAGATAGGGTCCAGGCTTAGGACAGGAAGCCGTGGATAATCCCTCCTGTTGGAAAATCATGCTCCCAGTGGTGGCGGATCGAACGTCAAAATCTTCAGCCACTGAACAAGTGCAAAAAAGGAAAAAAGAAAAAGAAAAAGACTATTGACACATTGCACCAATGGGCTGGTCCTTTATGCATTCTGCCTCTTGTGGCCTTCGCAGGCGCACATGGAAATCCACGAGAGCTGCGGTGCAACCTGCGAGTCGATCTGAGGATGTGACAAAGTGAACTACGGCAGTGCATTATCCTGCCCCGGTTATCTGTACACACGTTCGAGGTCTACCATTCTCTGTTGATTTTCCTTGGTCTACGCGACACGTCAGTTATGAAGGCCGCCCAATGAGTGGCCACTCTGCCCAAAGCTGATGCAGTCTCCGATCGCGTGACGGGCACATCTGATGCGCAATATTTCATTACAGGCAGCTTTGCGCTGCGGAAAATTCCTTCTTATAATTTCGTCTCCTTTTTTGATTCCCCTGAAGTCAGCGAAGGCATAATATCATCGCATTCTTTCATGTCGTTCTAATCCTTAAGTTGGGTGAAACCCGGAGTTGTACAAACAGAGGTGGCAGATATGACATGTCTTTCATATTCCCTGGATCTTCATTTGGTATTCCAATATTCATTGTCCATGTACAATCGACTGGAATCTTTCCTATTCTTCTTCTCCATGAGCTCCAACTTTGGTCATTTGTTTCATCCCGATATACGGCGTTCACATACCTCTTTTGACAATTGTCGGGACTGGCCACGCGAGGCATTCTATTCAGTATCAGATTGATGAAGCTAGATAGATACTTATACCACTGCATCTTCTCTCTTGATTTGTTTGTCTTTACCACTATTTTTGAATGAATTTCCGATCGGATTCCCCACAAAGGATCAGTATCATATATCTAGTCCGACATCCGTGTCCTCCATATCCGGTGACCACGTGTGGCGTCTCGTGCTTACCATCTATCTCTAACCTAAAACGACCAATGCAGCTCTCTATGATCAAGTCTCTCGTTGCTTTCTTCATATAAGACACAATTATTGTTGCATTAAAGGCTATGATGTTGAGAGTAAATACTCTTCTCGTTCCTGTCTTGGTTGTTACCGCCCCGGTTGCTCCGCAACTGGCCTGCCTGTCAGAAACACAGCCATCCCACCTCCACCAGGCTCAGCAGCCAGGGGCAAAGCCCCATGGACGACCTTAGCTTACCTTCTTTTGGATATTGAGAATTGAGAATTGGGACCTTGAATTTTGATACAAGAATTATATGTGTGTGTGGTATTAAGGATCTCAAATAATTGCCGCATCGCACCTTGGGCTAGATCGCGGGCCGTGGTTGGCAACGCGTATGCTTTTCTTGTCTTTGTTTTGATACTACTAGGGCAGTCCTTGCTATTCGGTCAGGTCGATTGTGCTCATGCCACACTCTTATGATGAACGACTTCTGCATGCTGCTGCATGAGATTAATTTTTAATTACAGCTACGAACCATATCTGCGCCGATACACGCCCCTCAAGGGTACCAGCGACTCCGACAGCGGTCATAAACGAACCAAAGCCGCTGCAGTTCCCACATACCGATCGTTGACATTCACCCCGCACAACATTCCAATCTACGGAATAAAACTTGCATGCCAAGTCACTCCCGAAGTCGGGACCGCCACGGCGGTCGCGACAGCGACCGGGAAGCACGGTATGACTACGACTATGCCCGACGGCGCTACGCAACTGACGACAACGACGACGATTACGATGATGACGAATTAGAGCACGACTTTCACGAACGCCGATACAGACGGGACGGATACCGTCCCCCGCGTGAGTCGCAGAGGCGCGGGCACTACGAGCGCGATGCGGAGGGGGCCGTCGATGAGGAATTGCTGTGTGATGAGCGCAGCCCGCGACCACGAGCGAGTAGAACTTACGGTGATGACTATGATGCGCGACGAGGGGAACGATCGCGGGCGAGGGAGGCTCCGAGAAGAAGCGAGCGGCATGAGCGGCATCGCGAAAGGGCTCGGGAGACTCAGAGCAGGCGTAGGGCGTATGAAGATGATGGGCGACATCGGACGAGAGACAGCCGCCGGGAGAGAGGTCGTGAGCCGGATGCTGAAGCGCGGAGATCCAGACGAAGGGAAGCGGGGGGTGAGGCAGCGGCGAGGAAGCATCAGAGCAGTGATTCGACCAATAGTGCGTCGCATTTGCTGAGCGCGGATGCGTTGGCTAGGCTCGGGGCTCAATATGAGAAGGAGGAGCGCCGGGAGCGCGAGAACACGAAGGACGCCGCCAAAGCGGAGAGGAAACGTCAGAAGAGAGCAGTTGTGGGAGAAGGAAAGCGCGCTTTGCGTGATCCGCCTGGCGAGTCACACAGAGATCGGTCGAAGGCGAGGGTCGCATCTGGGGCGTACCTTGAAGAAGGGCGGAGCCCCGAGATGCAAGTGCGCCATCGTGGAGGTGGTGGCCCGACGATGGAAGCTAGATGGCGGAAAGAAGGTAGCTGGGGAGGTAGTATTGACGATGCAGGCGACGGAAGGCCATTCTGGAAGCGGAAGAGATGGATTGGCTTAGGCGCTGTGATCCTGATACTGGTCATTGTGATTCCCGTTGCCGTCGTCGTGTCCAAGAAACATGACAAGAAGTCTGACGCGGCCAATCCACAAGGAAACTCGCCTGGTAACTCGAATCTGGCCGGATTGAGCCATGACAGCATTCCAGTACGTTCGATCGAGCAAATTTACTTATTGAGACCTCCACTGACGTTATATTAGGCTTACGCCCAGGGAACATATCTGGACCCTTGGACATGGTACGACACGACTGACTTCAACGTCACATTCACAAATGAGACGGTTGGTGGTCTTTCTATCATGGGCTTGAACTCGACCTGGGACGACTCAGCTAGACCGAACGACAATGTTCCTCCTTTGAACAAACCATTCCCGTATGGATCACAGCCAATCCGCGGCGTTAACCTGGGAGGCTGGTTGTCAATCGAACCGTTCATCGTTCCTTCATTGTTCGACTCTTACTCCTCGATCTCAGGGATCATTGATGAATGGACACTGTCCAAGAGACTCGGCAGCTCCGCAGCCTCGACTCTTGAGAAGCACTACGCTACATTCATTACCGAGCAGGATTTTGCGGACATCCGAGATGCAGGTCTCGACCACGTCCGCATCCAGTATTCCTACTGGGCGGTAGCAACGTATGACGACGACCCTTATGTCGCAAAGATCTCGTGGAGATATCTCCTCCGAGCAATCGAGTACTGCAGGAAATACGGGCTCCGAGTCAAGCTCGACCCGCACGGGATTCCAGGAAGTCAGAACGGATGGAATCACAGCGGTCGCCAGGGTGCCATTGGCTGGCTCAATGGGACAAATGGCGAGCTTAACCGCAACCGGTCTCTTACTTTCCACGACAGCGTGTCCAAATTCTTCGCACAGGACCGATACAAGAATGTCGTCACGATCTACGGGCTCGTGAACGAGCCAATGATGCTCTCGCTCCCAATCGAGGATGTCCTCGACTGGACGACCGAGGCCACGAAGCTCGTGCAGAAGAACGGCATCACGGCGTACGTTGCTTTGCACGATGGCTTTCTGAATCTGAGTAAATGGAAGAGCATGCTCAAAACCCGTCCCGACAAGATGTTACTGGATACGCACCAATACACCATTTTCAATACGGGGCAGATAGGCCTCAACCATACGGCGAAAGTCAACCTAATCTGCAACGACTGGTACAACATGATCAAAGAGATCAACTCCACAAGCACAGGGTCTGTCTTTCTTCAACGTCCCCCCCTCATCTTCTTATCTCACCATATTGACCCTTTTTCTATAGCTGGGGCCCAACCATCTGCGGAGAATGGTCCCAAGCCGACACCGACTGCGCCAAATACCTCAACAACGTCGGCCGCGGCACTCGCTGGGAAGGAACCTTCTCCCTCACGGACTCAACCCAATACTGTCCAACCGCCGACAGCGGGCCCCGTTGCAGCTGCGCCAACGCCAACGCAGACGTCACGGGGTACTCCGCCGACTACAAGAAGTTCCTGCAGACATACGCAGAGGCGCAGATGTCCGCATTCGGGACCGGACAGGGCTGGTTCTACTGGACCTGGCGAACCGAGTCTGCGGCGCAGTGGAGCTACAGGACCGCCTKGAAGAATGGCTTCATGCCGGCCAAGGCATATGCCCCATCGTTCAAGTGCGGGGATGCAGTGCCGGATTTTGGGAGCTTGCCCGAGTACTACTGATCAGATTGTGAATTGAAAAGTCGGTTTTGTGGTCTTGGTTTGTGTTGTCTCTCCCTTGGATAGAAGCATCAGCATCTTTTCGGCGTTGTATATCTTCTTCATATATCATGCACATATACATACATGCATAGATGGCGTATGTCGTATATAGTTGAAGTTGTTGTTGTGTTGCTGGTCTACGACTCTCCTTACTGGACAATCCTGTTCTGAATGGTTAACCGATTTGATAGGATCTGTTATTTATCTTGATAGTGACCATCATCTGAGTTCCGCACTCTATAATCTATGTTACCTCTATATTTTGAGGGGTATAAAGCGCCCGCCTCTGCCGTTGAACCATGTTCTCATGCGGACATAAATCTCAATTCCACACAAGCATTTTTTAGCTCTCACCACCCTTGTCGAACCAGCCTCCCTTCTCCCACATGCCAGGCTTGTAGAGACTGTCCTCACGGGCCGCTTCCATGCACACTCCATCCAGAAGATGGACGACACGTTTGAAATCAACCGGTTTCATGATCCACCCGTCGAATCCCGCGTCGATATACGTCTGGCGGTCCTTCTCCACCAGAGATGCCGAGACAGCGAATATCGGAATCCGCCGAGGCTGGTACGTTGCTGAAACAGAAGTCGAAGCTGCTGCCATCTCTTCATATTCTCGTATCATCTTGGTCGATCCCATGCCATCGACGATTGGCATCTGCTGGAGAGGTCAGCTCATGATTGTTACATACACGAAAGTTCTCTGACTGACCTGTATATCCATCAGGACAGCGTCAAATGAGTGCGCATTGCCATGGAATGCAGAAGCACATTCTTTCCCATTCTCAGTCATATGGACGGTATGCCCCGACTTTTCCAGTCTCTTGCGTAAGATTGCGCTGTTTGTCGGATCGTCCTCGGCTACCAAGATGTGGAGATTCTTTTTGTAAGGGCTGTTACTGCCAGTAGCCGCAGTCTCGTTGCGTGAAATATCAGACTGAGTTTGGGCTTTGGTTTGACTCTGCTCTGCCGTCCTTTCTGAGGATTCGACCGCTGTTTCCTCGATTGGCTTGGTCGGTTCATCGGCTAAAGCTCTTGTAGATTGCCACGCGGACCCTAGATGCGGTTGATGTGCTTGCCTTTCCTCCTCGGTAGACACAGGCTTTGTCCTTATGTCAGGATGTAGAGTGTCAGGGCTCTCCCATTTCCCGTCACTCGATTCTTTCTGCTTCGAGGCAGGGTCATGCTGAGCAGAACCCGCTGTTACTGTATCCCCTGGTGTATGGCTTTCATGTTTTGTGGAATCTGTACATTCTGAGGATGCAGTATTCTTCCCTGCCCGAGCTCGGTCATCTTCGCCGCAGACTGTCTCATCTTCCTTGGAAGGCTCGTTTTGGCCGTCTTCAGTTTCACTTTGCCTCCCTTTTCCTTTGTCAACCGGCGACGCTCTGTCCGAATCAGGTTCCTCTTCGTTGGACTCGTCGATAGGTAAAGGGAACTGCATTTTGATCCTGAAGCAACTCCCCTGGCCTTCCTCTGACTTGACGCTGAGTTGACCGTTCATATTGCGAACTATGCGAGCAACTAGGGCTAAACCCAGCCCGAGTATGTTCCTCGAGCCGCTACTGTCGCTCCTTATGGCATTGTCGCAGCGCTGGGGACTTCGACTTCGTATATAATCTTTGTTCGAAACTTGCTCCAATTCGCAGAAAAGTGCTTCAATGTCGTTCTGAGACATGCCAGTTCCAGTGTCGTGGATAGCTACTTCAATTCCAAGTTTCCCAGTCTCGGTATAATCAGGCAACAAGCATGATTCGACAGTCACGGTTCCCAACGAAGATGTATGTTGAACAGCATTGCTGATGAGGTTCGTGATGACTTGTCGTACTCGCCGTTGGTCGCCCAGCACAGGAGGAATATCAGAATACTGTACAACGTGAAGCTCAACACCTTTCTGCCTCGCTTCTTCACAGAAAATACGCGAGGCTTCATGGACGGTCTCCACAAGATCAAAATTCTCGTCTTTGATCAAGCTGATTCCATTCTCTGCGTTTGTGAGGTCCAAGAGATCGTTGATTATGTAAATGAGGGATTTTGAAGCGGAATGCGATCTGGAAAGACTCTCCCGAGTCTCTTGATTTAGATCTCCATCCAATGCAATCTCAAGATAGTTGATGATCGCGTTCAGCGGTGTTCGAAACTCGTGAGCGCAGTTTGCCAGAAGTAGTCGCATAAGCTGGGTACTTTGCATCGTTGTTTCCTTTTGCTGCCACACCTCTTTCAACATCGCCTTGTATATCAGGGACAGAAAGGAGCCCTTCTGTAAGTCTCCTGCATCCCATACATCAGCCCCACGATCAACCACCTTCCCCTCTGAACCAAGATCTGTTGGCTGTCCTTGGTCCAGGCATCGAGCATTGTCATCAGTCCCAACACCTAAAGTGTCTCCGCATTGCGAAGCCTTGAAGAAAACTATAAACTCTCGACCGTCCGTTGACAAGGGCACATACAGCAGATTGGATAGATACTTGAAACCAGGGGTATAGTTGAGGTCTGGGAAATCTCGACTCATGTCCGTTGAACACAAGACAGTAGCGAGCYCCTTCAGTTTCAAGTATTCCACCAAAGCGAGCACTTCTTGCGCGTCGTGGGGCTTTCCAAGGATTTTAGTTTCACCTAACATCGAGGATGCGGCATAATCCGCCTCGAACAAGGTCAATAAGTCTTTGACCTGTAAGCTATCACCTTTCCCGTCTCCGTCATGTGAAGAACTGAAAGGACCCTGCATCTGGGGAGTCATCGTGTTTGAAAGACGCTCAATATTGCTTGAAAGTGTGTCGCTAACTAGCCAAAAGAACTTTTGTACTGGAGGGGGTAACCGCATCTCTTCCTCGTACGACTGGCACATTATAAGCCCCCATGCACGTCCGAAGGCATTTATATTGATAGACATGCAAGTAAAGACGGGCATTCCGGTGACATGATCCAGAAGGTACGGTAATCTCGCCAACAGGTAAGAGTGGTCTAGATCAAACTCGCTCGGCAAATTCTCAGAATCACGGTAAACCAGCTCAGTGTGTGACTGTCTATGACTGTACTCGAGAAAAACTTTGTTGCCCAAATGAAATCTTCCCAAGTCTCTCGGAGAAAGCGGTTTGGGGAAATGCAGGTCTTCTGGGAAACTGGCAATAACGCGTGAGTCAACGGCATCGTTCATAGGAATCGCAATACCGTCACGATCGAAATAAAAGACTGTCACTCGGCTGAAACCAGTCAATTCCCTAATGATGCCGATAAAGTAGTTGAAAAGCATGCTCAGGGAGGAGGTGCTCGCGGCCAGCTGGATAACAAGTGACAAGGCGCTCAACATATCCGCAGACTGGAAATTCCCTCTGATTCCTCTCAGCATGTTTTGCATCTCAGGGGGCATATTCGGAGTGCTATTCTTCTCATCCGATCTCTCGTATGCGCTTGTGTTGTCATAGACTGCGTAGACCGATTTTGAAGGCCCTGATTTCCTCCAATAATCAAGAACGGCTCTCATCAACTCGAATTCACATACGATATGGCCAGAGTTTGCCTTTGTAGCATGCATCGTACACCAAAGCCGCCTCGGTGTCCCGTAACGTTGGCGGACATCGACTTCGTGGATATCTGGGCCATGCTCCTCGACATTATACCACTTGTCTCGAACAAGGTTAAACCGGCCAAAAAAGTCATTTCTCTGATCATCCTGCACAATATCGCAAAAGCTCGGTAGCCTGAAAAGCTGTTCGGGTCTGTAGCCTAGAACTTCTTCGGTGCTCTTGCTCGCAACCTGGACGATGAGACTTCCTTTGAATTCTTGTAGCACTACGAGTGCACCAAGACCATGAATGTGCTTGAAGTTGGAGTCATCTTCCATTTCTTGTGTCCAGGTTGCTGCCCCAGCTTGGTCGATCCAGGACCCTGCTCCTGCGAAGTACGAATCCTGGGCTGCAGCAGAGGATGGCTCCGCGAGTCCAGAGCCCCCCTGGAAAGACAGGTTCGCATCCTCGAACGATATGTCGGTAGCTCTTCTGGCCAAGTCAATTTTCAAGTGGGGTCGCTTCCTGCTTCCGGTAGTCACGTTCAAAGAACTGCCAGAGGCTTCTACTGTGCTCTGAATCGAGGGTGTGTCCTTGCGGTCTTCTGGCGATGGCGTAGCAGGTTGGCCTGCTGACTGCTTGCTAAAAGTAATAGTCGAACGGGGATTTTCAGCCCAAGGGGAGGTTTGCTCCTCAGCATTCTCCACTGCCGGTGTTGGCGGAGCGGATGAATCGACCGACACGACTGAGCTGATGGGAAAGATTCGCTCTGTTGATTCTGGACTAAGGTTTGGCAGTTTCAGAACAAATATTCCGGGTGTTGATGGAGATGGTTCATCGTCGTTTGCAAAATTGAGAACTCGCAGCGTTTCAGGATTGGGACTGTGCTCGTCTGCGGTATTTCTGGGATTCGCGGTTTCCAAGATCTCAATATTCTGTTGCTTCTCATCTTGTCGTTCTGCAGAAGCAGAGGTTGGTTTCATTTCAATGTTCAAGATGGTATTCTGATGCTGTCAGAAGGACGCCAGTACTGGGTTCGACATGTGGGAGAGGGTAGGCCTGCAAAGACTGTCCCATCAGAATCGATGATAACAAGAAGGATCGGAAGACATATGGAAATTCTCACTTACAGGTACAGTTGGCAGCTTTGAGAAAATCAGAATCAAATGGCGAAGCCGGTGATTCTACTCATGCAATCAGCTAGCTTTCCAAATAGAGAAGCAATCACCGCAGTATCAGAAGAAGCACAGAGGAGATGCTGGGGAAAGCTACACGGCCAAGTAGATGGAGTTGTAGAGTTCACCAAAAGGACAACAAGTCGACTGTCTGTTGCCCCTGGAATCGCAAACCAATCGCTTCGCAGTTCCACTCTGAGTGCCTGGTAAGTTGAGGACAACCAGAGGAGCGGCCTTGGAAGGTCCATCTTCCATCGGTTTCTCCCCCGGTTTGCCAGGACCAGCACCAACAAATCAACAAACAAACCACGGCCACGGCGAACCAGCTTTTCACTCACGGCGATATTCATCAGTTAGGTCTGGGCTCTCGAACTTGTCGCGCTTTTTTTCGGAGTGATACCACACACAAAGGCTAGGAATACATCACTCTATATCTACCATCTCTGCTCCACGTCCTAAGCTCTCTCATGCGGAGAAGAAAAATGCTTATGGCAGCCGTTCGAGATACATCAAATCTGGTAGGACTGAAAATGCTCTCATGAAGGAAACCATGGGACGAGAATTCCAAACGCTGGATAGAGCCACACTACTGAGCACAGATGGCTCGGTTACAATGTAGCAAGCGGCCGTTCTGGACCCTTGAATCATATGCCCAACACTGGTCTGTCTGCAACTCTCATTTTGCGTAACAGAGGCCAGATTCAGATCCATGTAGTCCTAGCCAAGATGGAATCTACGTCGGCCCCATCGATATACTCATCAAGCAATCGATAGATTTGAGTACTTTGCATAAGATACAAGCACTAGCAACACGTATCTCGGGGCTCATTTCCGTGACCGACCTTCGCCTTCGGACAGCCACATGTTTTGAAGTTATGGCTTGTTATTTGTGGATAAGCTTCCCGCTGCAATTGTCTAGAACGTTCAGAAGGGAAGAACCAATCCATTATATCACTTAAACCAGAAGCTTAGCATCTGCCCACGAGTGGAGACGTGTTCTGTTGACTTCTCTCTGCCACTGGCAACCTGGCGGGCCCATGGGCCGTATTCAACAGTGCCCACAGAATTCATACCTCGCCTGAAGTTCCCTGGACGGACATCTGACGCTACAATCGAGATTAAGGCACTATAAATCACTAACTTTGACGATTCAGGGACATTAGAGAAAATCCAGTCTATTTGAATTTCATTTCATTCGAGGGAATGGTTGCAGATAAACTATCCTTGAAGCTCTGAGCTCAGCGTTAACATGACATCGAATACATAAACAAGGGGAATCGTTATAATTGGAACCAAGGTGCACATCCCTTTCGCCTCCAACTCCACAGAACAAGCACAAATGAAACGTGAAAGAACGTAGAAACTCAGATCAAGAACCAAGGACAGAAAGGCCCTGCGCGTTTTTGCATCAGGCGGTACTTTTCCCGCATTTTGATCTACTAGCGATCAAATGCGAAGCGTGATCCCCAACCTCTGGTCTTCTTCTCATTGCCTTGAACTCGTTCGCCAGCAGTGATCTGGACGGAGCAGTTGCTCGAGTTGGAAGTCTTGAATCCTTTCTCCAGGTCATTGAGTCTCTGGTTCTTTGTCTCCTTCTGGTCTTCTTTCGTCTGGGTTCTCCTGAGCTGCTCAGGGACCTTCGGGAATCTGGKAGTCAAGGGCGTCTTGATTGCTTGGACGACTTGTCGCGCAGAACGACGAATAGTCTCTCGCATCGCCCACTGGCGCTTTTTGGCAACAAAAAAAAGAGCGGTTGAGGTTACTGCACGATGAGAATACATTAGTACATGTAGAGGAGAGAGCGAATCGGGATAGAGAAGGGAACAAACATCCAATGACCACAACCACACCAACAATTGTACAGAGAACGATCATTCCTTTTGATGAGACGCCCACTGAATCTGACGATGGACCTGATGCTCCGGCTTCATTTTGAACTGCTGTGTAGTCCTGCGCTGCCGATCGTGCCAGAAGAAGGCTGAAGATAGCGCAATGGCAGAGAATCATAGTTCTATACATCGCAAGAGGATGCTCCTTGGCTAATTCAGTCTCCTAACACTGTATCCTATGTGCGATTCAGAAATCTGTTAGACGATTATAGAATTTCACCACGGAAAGAGATAATCGCAAATAAACATGCGCTGGAGGAAAGACGACCCCGGGGTCTATAGCACTGTTATACACCCTCAAGCATGGCACAGCCCTCAAGGGGCTTGAGAATTTGTGAAGAAACTGATGCGTAGAAGCTGCATACTGCCTGGTGATAGGCTCGAAGAAGATATCTCGGCCAATGTACACACCAGATTCTGCAGCTTCAGGGAACGTGCGCTATTTTCAGAGTTCAGGGACAAGACCCCGTCGACGAATCAGTCGAGCGGGACGCTCATCACTGTGTGATATTGGCGCTGATTCTCTGTGATTGACGCTCACGGTGCGACGGCTCGGTTTGCCATTTTAATCCAGCAACCAATGGTAGCTAAGCGCTGGCCGCCGGGATCTGAAGAATCCATAGAGGTCATCTTTATGTCCTAGGTGGAGTCTTGTGTGCCGTGCAAGATCAACAAATACCGAAGCCTTTCTGCCTAAGGAATTTCTTGTCGCGGAAAAGAAAGAGGATGTTTGCTTCTGTGAGAACTGCGCTACTGTGGGAATATACACACCGCAACCCCTCGCTATGTATACGTTCATGCCTCATTTCAGGTTGTAATGGACATATATGCTGCTTAATGGTAGTTTCAATCAAAGCTTGTTAGAATTTACTTATTGACCCAAATATGCTCGAACATAATTCGACCAATTTTTGTGGCCGGCTACGATAACTCTGAAGCATGTTACGCCGTTCTTCGTAGCCGCTTTCATTCTTCCTTTGCATATTTTTTCCATGATGTTGGTGCCCGAATACTGAGTCTGGGTACCCTCGTGTAGCTATTGTGATCTCTTTATGCCGTATACATGAGTGACGATACATTCTAAGGTGCCGTCTTGCCCCTACTTAAAATCGAGGAACTCCTTCGTACAAAATATGATTAGAAGGGACGCAAACCATAGTATGAGACTACTGTTAATCTTGTACATTCTGTAAGCTTCTGTACAATTTTTTAAAATAAAGCATCCTCCATGAAAGGCATCAATATCATCCTGAGCCCCTAACGGGGTATAGCTATTGAATTTTGATGCCTCATGAGGCAAAGACGTGGTACTTCCCGAAACGGAAGCTACCACCTGACGAAGAAGTCTCTTCTGTTGAAGGAGCTGGCGATCTTGTTTCTACCTTTTCATCTTGAGCAGGTTTCTTTCATTCAGGTCCTTGATCTCTCTATGTCTCGCTTTCCCGTCTTCTCTCCAGACTTGCACAGAAACTATCCTAAAAACATCCGCGACAATTCTTCCCTGAGTAGGATGCCAATGTACGTGCCGTACATTTTCAAGGGAAGTCGACGTTCATTGCTGAGTTGAGCATTCGAAGACAATATCGAAATGGAGAATCAAAACATTGGCCCTTCTTCACCTGGTAACTCTATAGCCGTATCTGAATTTGAGCGTGACGGCCTTGCCACTCAATATGAGGGCGATGAAGATCTAATGCTTCTCCACATGGAACAAAATGGCAATGAGCCCATCTCACCGAATCTGAAGGCGGTTATGGAGAAAGATAAGGGGTCAGATCGACCGCAAGAAGCTCGTCCTGCTCCACTGCTTCTTGAACGCCCCCAAAGCTCTGGACTCGATGTCGCGGGATTCTCCTTTGGAAAACCTGGTCCACGTGGAAGGTCACTTTTGCTACAATCCTTGACAAAGAGACCTTGCGCACCCAGAAGTCCTTCAGAACAGACTAATAGGCGAGGTATGACTGATCAAGTCAGACATCAAGAGCAAGCAAAGTTGGTTCCTCCAATGCTACCGCTTCCACATATACTGATTGTCCTCCAAGTTCCATCTCTCATGCCTCGGACAAGGATTGCACCATGTATGGAATGATCGGAGATAGCGTATCCCGCTCGAGCCCGACAAGGTCCTGCTCTCCAGCGATACACAAACCCCAGGACTCGGGAATTGTAGCAAACCGTTGCAACAGTGCCGAAAGTAACGCTTGCAGAAATATTCCAACAGATCGACTACAAATCCAGAGAGCACAAGATGGTGATTTGCAAACAGCGGTCGACATTCAACGCATCGCCGCGAATGCAGGAAATCCAGGTGGGTAAAGCCTAAAAGAAGTCCTGTGTAGGGGGTCTAACTTCATAGATGGCAACACAAACTCTGTGACTCCGCAACCAAGTGTAAGTCTCCTCCAACATTTTCGCCGGGGTTACTGACGGGTTCCAAGATTGAACACCATGTTCCACGTGTGATAAGGCAGCACAGTGAAAAGCAGGAAAGGGTTGCTGCTATGCAGCAAAATCCCAACCACCAGAATGAGGTTATGAACGGAGAGGGAGTGCCTAATATGCACTCATTGGGTCCGGTGACTGATCATTTCAGGATCTCGAAGCGACGTCCCGCAAACGGGAAAAAGGTGCCCAGTGCGAAACGAACTATGACATTGGCTTCGAACAACGGAGGCTCGCAATTATCAGAGGAAGATCTGTTCCAGCTTCTAATCAATCGGATGAGAGTTCGAGAGGAAAATGAAATCGCTGCCTCTAATCTGCAGGAGCGAATGGAAGCTGACATGTCTGAGCTGGCGGAGGAAAACAAAACTCTGAAACATCAGCTCGAGACCCTTGACAACCAATTACAGCGTAGTAAGTGTCAAACAAAGACATACAGAGGCCAGATAGAGAACTGGAAAGCAAAATTGGTGAAGTTCAAGGGTATTCTCAACGAGCTTGGAGCTGAGTATCGAAACCTTCGCAATGAGAACCTCCGACTCAAAGACTCAAAAGCAACTCTGGAGAATGAAAGAACCGAGATCGAGTCTTGCATTGAAGATGCTAGGCGTCAAATTTCTCATGTCGTCGCTCTCGTCGGGGAAAAAGGGAATCAACTCGCAGAGTCCGCGAAAAAGATCGACGCGATGACGCTGGCCCTGAAAAATGCAGAAGAAAAGACAGTATTTGTTCAAACCCAGTTGATGGAAGAAAGGAGAAGATCATCAATTCTTGAGTCGTACATTCACAATAATTCGAGAGTTCAAACAAAGCAGCTTGCGGTGATCCGGACTGAACAGCAGGAGATGCTCAGCAAGCTCAACTCTGCATTTGACATACTTGGTCAGAGTGTGAATTCTTCCCAGGCAGCGACTCAAACCACCTTGGAATTGACACTCAAGAAGAACTTTTCACTTCTCAAAGAACTGAGTGAACAGCTTTCGAGGGACAGAGTGGATATCCAGCAATGCAATGATATTGTCCACAAGATCTTCTCCAGGTATGATCTGAGACAAAGTACTGAGGAGTGGAATGCTGACTTGTTGCTGTCAGTGTGAATACGTTCGATTTCAAACTAAATGAGGGATTCGAAAGAACCTTCGCGCTCAACGAGAATGTGGCACACAATCTTAGGGAGCAGCTGAAGCTCTTCGAAAACAATAACGGCTGTCATATGGCACTTCTCAAGCAGCTCGGACTCAACGAAGAACAGTACAACGCCGTGCGCGAAAGACTGGAAGCTCTCGAACCAAGCATGCATAAAATTAACTCCTCTCTCAGGTCGCTCAATGAGAAGGAGATTGATCTTGCCCAGCATATTACACATCTAGAAAAGAGTATCTCTGAGGGGCAAACCCCGGCTCTAGCGACAGATGTCTGCGGTCTATCTATGGAAAATGCAGCACTCAAAGATCAACTCGAGCAACTTTCAATCAAAATGAGTTCTGCTGAAGAGAATGCTAAGGCGAAGGAGCTCGAGACCGAGGAAGCAAAGCGTGCCCTTCTGGAGGTCACAGCAAAGATGCAGGAAGAGATGAAACGAGCACAAGATTTCGAGGCTGAAGCCGTCAGCCTGCGACAGAAGACGATATCTATCGAGACGAAGATTCGGGAGGAATTGAACAGAGCGAGCGTCATTTCCAGAGACCAGACCAAGGCAAGGTTTGAGCAACAGATCCATAAACTGCTGCGAGAGAAAGTAGAAGCGGAAAAGGATATGGCCACGATCAGGGAGTTGCTGGCTGAGGCCCAAGCGTCAATGGTAATCAACGTAGAGTCTTACGAAGGCAGGTTCACTAATGGTTTGCAGGCTGAACGGGAGCATGCAGCGAAGCAGCAAAGAGATGAATTGGAGTCGATGGTGAGTAAATCAGCTTTGGAGATAAGCTAATGAAAATTGCTGATTCCTGAAGGTCCTGCAAAGAGAACAGCAAATACAGGAATTAGAGGACTTCCGTACCCAGGAAGCAGCTCGGATGAGTGAACAGGAAACGGAACTCGAACTACTGCGAAAGTCAGAGGTTGCTGCTCTGGCTCAACAGAAGACAATCTCCCAGCAGCTCGACGAAGTCCAACGAAGGATCGTCGAACTCAATGATAGGCTGTCCTCGAAAGACCTTGAATTCGAGAATCTCCAGAAGGAACTAGACACTTGTCAAAGTGATCTACTGGAGAAAGAGGAAGAACTCACGCAGGTCAAGAAAGAGCTTTGCGCCGCCGAATCGGCCAAGTCAAATCTGGAAACAGGTAAAGCGAAGGCGAAATCCGAAATTCACGCCCTCCTCAAAAGGCTCCAGGACTCGGAGCGCTGGATGAAAAACATCAAAGAGGCCATCGCTCGACCAGATGATCCTTCATTAGGAGGGCCATTGCCGGGTACTTGGGACAAACTGAAGGACTATCTGAGCTCGACAGATAACGACAACCCGTGCTGCGATTCACAAAGAACCACTGTCCCTGCGGCTCCTGATGTCTCGAATGCGACTGTAAGTCCCTCTGTGATMTTGACGCCGAACAGGATCTGTGAGAGTCCTATTCAGGGCTGTGTTCAGATGACAGAGGTGATATATCGGACACAGAGCTTTCAAGGCGGCGGGCTGTCTTCCCCAGTTCAAACTAATGCGAGATCTGGAAACATCGACGCCGTTGGACACTGTGAAAGGCCGGAATCATCAACTGAAATTGTACCATTCTCGAGTATCCGACAGCAGCTCTCGCCCGCATCTGGCTCATCTCTGAGTCCTGAACCTAGCGATCTTGCAGAGATGCTAGACCTCACCCCGAAGAACAAGTCATCGCAGGGCGATACGGTCATTGAAACGCCGAAAGAAAAGAACGAGAAGGGGAATGCAGCTACATCGCCCAAAGCCGACGGTCTCGACCTCGGAATGATAGGTGGACAGTCGCGGAGCTCACAGCACCAGCCGCTGAAACTGAACTCGTTGGCAACGGAAACAGCTGAAGGTCATACGAACGCAACCGAGAATCAGGAAAAGCAGAAAACAGTCACTTTCGAGACAGAAAACAAGGCAACCAGGATTGAGAAGCGGAAGTTCTCAGCAACGGTGGAGAACCCTCTTGAGGAGAGCGCTTCGGAGAATCGTCTTGTCGAGAGACCAGAACGCACCACGAAACGCACTTATAGCAGATTCCAGCGCTCTCCTAAATCAAAGGGGAGCCCCAAATTCTCAAACCAATCCAATGCTTCCCCGGCTAGCGAACTGTCGAATCGTGGTACTCATACGGAGAATCAATACACGAGCAATGATAAGAGAGCACGAGTGTCTGTGGCGCCATCGGATTCCGGGACTAAGGGGGAAGTGCAAGGGACTGCCGATTACTTGGAGCGCAGAACAAGCCCTGCTAGGTTAGCATCCGGAAGTAGTAGACAATCATCGGCGATTGAAAGCAATCCAAAAAACAACAGGTGGACAACACGAGGCGCAAGGCGCGGAGGCCGGAGATTACGCAGTAAGCCCTCTCCTCCTTGCAAAGGAGCTATAGCTGCTGATGGACACAGGTGACCGCTACAATGCCCGTTTCAGTCAGAGATATAACGAACAGGTTGATGGTATATAGCCAGTAGAGCCTGAATTTAGCTCGACAATAATGCGCCTGAAGGTTAGTGAGAATATAGTTATGGACGAGGGGGAAACGAGATACGCGGCGTATTTATCACAAGATTGAAGAAGCCACGAACGGGAGACACCGCTTATGTAGTCGAGAAGCTGATGGGAAACTGAAAATATCGAACATGTTAAAATTAACCCAGAATGTACTGCTCTAAACGCCGAAATGCAAGACCAGAATAGAAACAGCTTAGCAATACCGAGTCCGCTCAGGAGCCCAGAGTATCGCTTCTGCAGCTGTTTTCCCTAATGTACATGATGGTTGATGGAAGTACCGGACTCGACTTGTCGCTGCCTTTGAGACGTTGCATGGTTCAGGAACGGAGTGGATTCATTGACGCCGAGGAAGACGGAGCCGACACAAAAGAAACAATCCCCCTATTCGAAGCGACGGAACTTGACGTTGCGGATATTTGAATAAGAGACATCGTGAATCATTTCGCCCTTCCACCCTTTGTCGCTTCCAGGAACAAGACCTTCTTCTTCACCACGGGGTCGTATTTGAGCATACTCAGAGGGCGATGCGTACGAGGGCGAATCATTGTGCGATAGTACCCGGTCATAGCCATGGAGATCAGGCGAACGGCAATCGTGCGAGATTTCGCTGTGAAGAAGATCGCAAATCAGTTATCCGTTCTCCGCGGAGCAGCATTGTACTGGGGATAAGAAACTCCGTTTCGCGTCGGAACACAGCGCTGGAGCAGAATCTGCGCATACCTTTCTTGGCCATTTTGGCGACTTGCGAAGGAGGGACAGCAAGAGGGGGATGGAGACTTGTCGTGACGGATTCCGAGTTATCGGAGTTTGTGGAGAAGAACTTTGGGATCTGGATAGTATCACGTGATATATGACATCCTAAGATGGAATAGTGCGGGATGCGGATAACGCCAAGCATACGGAATGCCTTACAGGTACTTAGGAAAAGTACCTCTCAGCATATTGACATAGGTTATTATTATGTGTGAGAGCTTAATGAGCTGTCTGCTTGTCATCATTATTGAATGCTATCAGAGGACTCTTTCAAACAGTCTGATGTATTCTTGAGTAATCATATCTATTTCGTCCTGACTTTTACTGAAAGCATCTCATCATGCCTTTTCAAGCTATATATATGAGCAGATGAGTTAGCATGAGCACTCGGCTTGAATTCCACCATGGCATTGATCTTCACTTCATGATTCCCTCTCACATTTAAGTTGCACACCAGTAATTACAATGCAAATGCATTATCAGCCGAATGCAGTGATGCTCCCATATGTATGAGAAGTCGCTTCGTTGACCATTGGCGGAAATGTGCCGTGCACCATTTGGGAGAGGTGAGGTAAGCAGTTGGCTATTGTGTTCGTTGAATGCTCTTCATCCTTGATTTCTGTAGCTTTTTTCGTCCCTGTTAACTTGTATTGGACACCAGCAGTGAGAAGTTTACAAGTTTTCTTTGCGAGCGGAAGGCCTGCGAGAAAACACTACGACAAGCTTTAATCTTGCTCCTCTTCTCGCGAATGCCAACGAGGAACCAAGAAGACTCAAGCCTAGGAGTTTCCCTTGTGTGTTGCTTTTGTATGCCATGCAAACAAAATCCCACTGATCCATCATCTACAGCCTGGGTGGTTGACCGCTGTGGATATGTAAGTTCTTGAAGCTACGTGACATAAGGCAGTTCCATCCTTGAAGGGTGTCGGTCTAGAGGCACTGATCTTATTGGAGACAAGCGCAGATTTTCCAGAGATACAAATCCAATGGTGTACATCGTCTAATGATCTACACCTTCCGAAATGCCCTGAAGTCATCGGGTGACCTAGTGATGGATGCTCGAAGCTCACTTAGTGCTGGGTTCATCCGCACCGGCAGGGATATGCATGCATCTGCTCATGTGGATCCTCAGTCCTCCATGCAGTTCTTCAAAAAGTGGCTAGCCTAGATCTCACCGATCAGAATATTCCCGTCAACTCGAAGGATTCGTAGATATTCATGCACACTCGTCGACAGTTGACGAGCACTTTTATTCGAGTCACGGTTGTCAGTCGACTTTGAATATGGTCGAGCACACCGCAAGACTTAATATCTCCGGACAAAAGTTCCATCGCTAACCTGATCACCCACCATTCCGAGACATCCCACCCTCCAGCTCTCAAATGCGGGGTTCCAAGTCAATCGCGACTTGATATGGCGTCCCAAAAAAACCTGGAACCTATATCGGTGATGGTCTTGAAAACCGCTCGGGCCGTCAGGCGACCTCTGCATCGGTTGCAACCGAAACCACTAGTGCACCTTCACCAGCCACACTACATTTTGACGCCCACAGCATGACTCTTATCTCCACATCCCATGCCGAAAAATTTATCAGGTACCACTGTGGTAACCTAAGATCTGCAATTATCCAATACCTCTCTTTGGTTTATTTACCACCTCGGACGTATAACCTGCAAGTCATGGTCGTCTCATAGGTAGTTCAACTTTATGAATTTCCATAGCTTAGTTCAGCAGTCAACACTCTTCTTATCTCATCATTCTTTCCCCTTTTTGATTTAGTTGCTCTGATTAGCTGGTGAATCGGGAATAGAAATAAATTGCTTACCCCGGGCCAAACAACCCTTGATAGGGCCTATCAAAGCCAAGAGCTCGTTCGTCTAGACCTTTTTCGTGATAGTTCTGTTGACTGCGTTAGATGATAAGATCAAGAAATAAAATATTGATTCTAGTATTATGTACATTCAATTGATACCTATGGTATGCCCTTCAATGTTTATGTGGCTTGGCCTCTGCTGCTAATATCACGGCCGTTCGGCCGTTCAGCAATGCGGCATTTGAAGAGCGGCCTGCATCACGGTCATTCCGGTCTTTAACAGCGGGGTGGAGTTGGGCGAGTCTGCTCGCAACGGGGTGGAATAGTAGAAACATCGGCTCTACCCAACTCTACCGACAACAGCTAAAGACTTGGGGCGATGAATATATTTTTTGTTCAATAATGGAGTGTCCAACACAGCCGGTTGTCAGACGTTACAATGTGGAGCGATCGTGTCTCCGATGCCATGGACGTAAGGTCCGTTGTGACCGGGCCATGCCCTGCTCGACATGTCTTCGATCCAATACTCCGTGCCAATACCCAGGCCCGGGACGGATTAAGCGCCGCTCAACAAGACAATCCACTCAAAGGGTTGGAACTCGTCTGGAAATGCTAGAGCGAGGCATCACAGCAATCAGCCAAAAAGGTTCCCCTGATCTACATAGCAGATCATCTTCCCCCTCGGTATTGCCCCCCGAAGCGGATACCAACACGCCAAGGTCAACCGCTCATCGCACTGCACCGACAGAAGGCTTTTTGGTGAAAGACGGCACTTCCACCCGATATGTCAACGAGTTGTTCTTCTCGCGCGTCTTAGAGAAAGTCAGGACCCCCCTGCTTCTCCGACCCTTTTGGCCTCTTGACCTCTTAAGCGAGACGTTGGACTAATAATCGCTGTGAATAGGAGAACAAGCTTCAATCGGCCATTAACACTCCGGCGAGTACCAACTGCAGCGAGGGGGGCAGCCTAACGGCTGGGTTTGATGGTCTCATCTCCAACCCTCAGCTATCAGTAGACATCCATGCTCTCTACCCGTCTCGGAGACAGGCTACGCAATTATGGCAGAGTTACTTGAACAACGTGGACGTTCTCCTAAAAGTGCTTCACATCCCGACCACGCAACCCGTCATATTTGCTGCCATCAACAACGCGAAGAATATCTCTCTAGACCAAAGTGCTCTTCTCTTCTCCATTTATTATGCGGCAGTGACAAGCCTTCGCGCAGCTGACATCCTGTTAATGTTTGGAGAGGACCGGCAATCAGTGCTCAAGCGTTTTCAACGGGGATTGGAAGTGTCCTTACATATGGCCAAATTCTTGGATTCGCCCACGATCATATCCCTACAAGCCATGTCAATCTACTTGGTGAATACGGCCCCCCACGCTGCACGTACCTTTGTCGCATTGGGTATCACTGCTAACTATATGGTACTAGTTATGCTATCGCCATCACAATGGTGGCAGGTCTGGATGGATCTTGAATGGTATAGTTCTTCGAATGGCCCAGTGCATTGGCCTACACCGTGATGGCGAGCAGTTCCATCTTCCTCCATTCGAGTGCGAGATTCGACGTCGGTTATGGTACCAGATTTTGAATTATGACGCTCGGGTTAGCGAAGACCATGCTCTGTCTACTAATGGATCTGGTGGCTTCTCTGACACAAAGATGCCTCTCAATGTGGACGACCGAKACATTTACCCAAATATGGAAGCGGCCCCAGTCTTAGAACCACGATGGACAGAAATGACCCTATTTCTGGTCGCTGCCGAGATGAACCAAGCACTGCAGAAAGTGTATCAGCTTTCTGTGGCGCTGCTGAATGGGACCGACAAAATGGCAAGCTTAGAGCAACTTTTAAGAACAACTACGACACGCATAAAGGATTGCTACTTACAGCACTGCGATTCCAACATACCTATTCAGAAGGCTGCAGTGCTATTAGGGCAGGTGCAGATTGGGAAACTCAACCTCTTTGTCAACCAGCAATACCTCCGGGGTCTAAGCGCGGAAGAATCCGCTGCGCGAGCCACCGAGCAGACACTGTTATTGGCATGCGACACTATTGATATCGGCAACGAGCTGAAAACGGATGAGCTTCTGAGCAACTTTCACTGGCTCTTCTCGACTTTTACTCAATATCACCTGCTGACATACACTCTGTGGCATCTATGCGTTCGGCCCGGAGTGCGCTGCGCCGATAGGGCCTGGCAAGTGGTCGATAGGTCTTTTGAATTGGTAGAGAATCCCAGCTGGCCAAGCCCCGGTCCCAAGTGGAATGTATTACGAAATCTTCGAGACAAAGCATTGGACATCCGGCGTTCTTTCTCTTCAAGTCATTTCACGTCTAACCTAAATTCTTCGAAGAATCCAGTCATTCCCCGAACTATAGGCCAGCTGGTTGACGACTCTAGGAGAGAGGTGGTTCCTAGCAGTATTATGGGGCTCGAAGATATGGATTGGAATCTTGATTCGATCTGCTTTCCAGATTGGGATCCTTCAAGCTTGTGGCTGGCGGGGCCATGACAGAAGCAAGATAACAGTGTTTAATAAAGCGATCATATACAGGAAATGCATGAGCCTTTTGGATACAATAAAAAGGAGGTCTGCGTACAGACGAGAAGAAAAAGCATCCCACAAGTGCCCCATGAATAGTATTTGACACCAATCCTGCCGTAACGGCCACATCAGGATCAGAATTCCGCAACCAATTTCAGCCCCGTGTGATGCAGCCGAGCGCAAAAAACCAAGATTGACCCGGCTAGGAGAATAACACCCGAAAATATCTTCATACCAAGATAGGACCCTTTGTCATGGGCTAATAGGGCCCCCGCAATAGGGTTGGTGGTCAAACCGCCGACAGAAGCGAAGAGGAAAATCAAGCCAACTCGGTATCCGATTTGCTGGAATGGCGAGATTTTGACTACCAGAGCTGCTGCCAGTGAGACATATGCACCAGAAGAATATCCGAAAAGAACGGCAAATACAATAGTGCCTGCGGTGCTATTGGCGGGAATCCATAGGGCAAGAACCAAAATCCCGGCTAGACAGCAGACTGTGGTGAAGACGTTATAGGCACCAAGGCAATCAGCAAGTATACCAGAGCTGAGACGACCAAAGAAGCTATATTAGAGTCAGCCAGTGACTTGGGGTGGAAGAAGCGTTGATTTCATGCGTACCTCCCGGCATTCAATATTGCGAGCAAGTACTGAGCTAGGTTGGCGCTGATGCCATTAGAAAGTCCCTCGCTGACCAAAAAATCGATGGGAATGTACATCCCGAAAGTCAGTAGCGTAAACCCTGCGGTAACCAGCAGCATCTTTTTCTCGCGCAACGGCTGTGTCAATGCACTCAGCGACAGCGGTCGAGGTGACGGGGGTAAACGGGCCCGGATCGTTAAATTGGCGATGATCAGCAGGAACAGGATCACAAACGCTCCAGCACGCATCGCCCACCCAAATCCCACTTCCGGAATCAACCGTTGTATCATGATGGGAAAGATGACACCCCCAATACTCGATCCGCTAGACATGATGCCATACGCTGTGCCACGTTTCTTGGCGAACCATCCTGGAATAACGCTGGTCGCTAGTGTGATTGATTGCAGTCAACTACTGTTCTGCATGAATGTCCCAGGGAAAGATATTTGAAGTTGACTTGCCTGGTTGGAAAATGATCGACACCCCAATGGCGCTACATACACCCTGCGAAAGCAGGACTTGATAGTACTGCTTCGAGATTGAACACATCATCAGACCGAAGACATGAAGGAACGACCCGACCAAAATTGAGTAACGAGGTCCATAGTTGTCGTATAAGCAACCAGATACCGGCCCCTAATTGAAGAAGGAATCAACACGGGCACCAACAAGGACAGTCAATAAGATACGCAAGACCCTACCATGGCGTACATGAAGAAAATTTGCAAAGAGGGAATCCAGGCAATTGTGCTGGCCGAGTACTGGCTTAATAGGGTCGACTGGTAGTAGGTTTGAAAGACTCCGATACCTACAATCGTTATTATGACCCTAGGGTTCACCTTTTCTATAAGGTCGTTGGGGTCCGATCGTACTGTTGATCCATCMAAAGCTGCAGAATAGTACACACCACGATCCCAAAACCACAGACCATGCCGCCAGTCCACCATCAGGCGCATCGCTCTTCTTCCCTTCCGGGGCTCCTTGTTTCGGACCACTTTTTTCCAAGCTCAAGTCATTCGCGCCATTTTGCTTTGGATGCGGATCGATTTCGTCGGGAGTCGTCATTTTATGCCTTCTCCGCGAGGATGACGGAGGACAGCAAAGAAATAGCGTTCAGAATTTATGATTTTAGATATTGATGGTTCCTGGGTTCGCTGATGGTTGAAAGAGGATGACTTATATCTATTGACTACCCTATAGTTCGGCGGTTGGGTGAACCCCCGAAATGCCGCTACGCCACTTCAGAGCCCCGAAGTTCCTAGTGTATTTGCTTGGATATTGTTCAAAGCCCCGGACAGTCTTTATTGACATGCGGGTTTCGAGAAGTCCTGAAAATACAACTGAAGTAGCCTCGAATCGTCACGACTCTAGGAGAATCCCGCTGGTTGCGCAAAGCCAGTATATTGAGGTAGAATGACATCTACCACAAGATTAGCTTCAGTGACGCGGGCCTGAACGAGAAAGTACTTTCCATCCATAGGAATCAAAGCATCTCGAACGAAATGTAGTACTATGATGGCGGACTGGGAATCTTAGAGCAGAAGTGGGACATGTAGTTCCGAAGATGCGTATCGAACCTGAGTCAAACTGAGGTATATGGCAAGAGGCGGGCTGGTCTTAAGAGTATAGTGATTCAGGATATTCATTTTCTTTCGAGCTTACAGAAATCAAGAAACTAGAGGCAGAGGTTCTTTGTTTGCTTCGGGGATCATCATAACTCAAGGCCTCAAAAAATTACTACCTATGTTGAGGTTTCACAGCAGCAGGCGCATAAAGAAATCGTCCAAATATCAGGCTACTTGCATCACTCCATTTTGCATACTTTCATTGATGCACTTAATAGAAGCCAAAGATAATTCACTAGCTTAGTATAAGGGCGGGCACATCCCGGAGTAATCCGTTTCTGTATGTTCTGACTGGTAAGATATCCTAGTCCTTTCTTCACTGGTGTACTAGCAAAAACGTGAAGTCTTTATATCACCGTCCCTATGAATCTTCACGATCATACTCTCAGGTTATTCACAACCATTCCTTTCAGATTCTCTCCTCACAGGTATAAATACCGCCTCATGATCTATCTCCCTTCTCTTCTCTTCCTCTCCTCACCACCTACCTACCTTTCTTACTTCAACTCGTCCTCCATCAATCTCATCCACATCCACTCAAACATCACAATCAACCACTTCAAAATGAAGTTCCTCAACCTCCTCAGCCTTTCCCTCCTCCTCGCTGTGGCCAGCGCCGCGGCTGTCCCAGAGGTCGAGGGCACCATTACCAACGACGCAGCCTCCCCCTCCAACAACCTCGCCGATAAACGCGACCTCTGCCGCCAGGTCTGCCTCAACAACCAGATGTGCGGTGGTAAATGTCCCAGATGCGACAAGAAATCTCTCACCTGCAAGGCTTAGGTTTGTTTCTCCTTTGCCTACTGACGACGCAGGCTTGGGCTAATGTTTGTTTGTTTTTGTGCAGACAGATGTTGTATCATCGACATCCATCGTACGCTTCGTATGAATTGGTTCTTCCTCGCGATGGTGAGTTCATATTTCTGTCTTCATAAAAGCAGCTGCTGATAGGTTTGGATAGACCGCTCTTGCTTCCGTCTCTGGCTCTCTTGCTTTGGATCTTGGCAGATCTTATCGGTTGGTTGGTGGGGATTTTTATGATTGAACGACCGCACGATGATGGCTTCACCTTGATGGTTGAGGCTTGCTGGTTGGATAGGCTCTAGATAGTCAAATCCATTGCTTCATCGTTCTAGTATTGCTTGTAGATATGTACTCCGCAGTGGTAACTGCATGGTGACGGCCTCTTAGCTTTGATGTTATTGCTGGTAGTTTTTCGACATAGAGTCCACAGTTGCTACATTATCTTAGTTTTTAGACTTTGCACAATGTGAATACCCTCATAGATTGATCATATAAGAAAATCACTTGATGGAGGTCATTAACATTGATGAACTAGCTAAGGCATGGCCCTAAAAGTGGAGCTGGCTACTGCGGTGGAGCCAAGCAAAGCCATCCGACCAACAACCTCGCGATCCACAACGGAGACTCGACGAAAGAAAAAATTTGCCCTTCACACAAATTGGACTTGACAGGAGCAAAAAGAGAAGCCGAACGCGGGGGTCGAACCCGCAACCTTGAGATTAAGAGTCTCACGCTCTACCGATTGAGCTAGCCCGGCTGGCTTCTTGAAGACCTGGTCCTGAATTTCTCTCATAAAGGCGCAAGAAAGCTACGTTCTCCTACACGAGTTACAAGACAGTTACGACAAGACTGCAGCGGCAGTCGTAATTGTGCACCTGACACTCTATCAAGCTCTATGAGAGATGGCTTCACCAATTTTAGCACTTCCAATCCCGTAGAGACATGCAAGACATCGTGAGTTTGCTCGAACGTATCGACTCGCCAAGCAGGGGTAGATATAAATATAGAGCCGACGCTCTGAATGTCTCTTCTCATACGGTCCATTGGATGAGAATGATCCGGATTCTGAAGCACTGGTACAAACTTGCGACATTTCGCGATGTCCGCGCCTATTCAAGGCGAATCGCGCGATGTAGTCGACAATTGCGGCCCACGATAAGGAGAATTTTCGCTGCAATGGCGATCGTTTCGAAAATCAACTATAGAATCGAATCTCGACGCTCAGTTCAAACATAGTTTCAGAGAATTCAGAAGCCTAGAATATGGATTGCCAGGCAGCACGTAATCAGGACTGGCCATTTGTTGCCGAGTCCTCAGCTCGTGTTGGACGCTTGGCCTGTCAGATTGTGGCTGAAGTATGATAAAAAGGGATGAGAAGTACGAAGAAGCCACATATGTCAGACTGAGAGTAGACTCTGTGGCTTGAGGCTGAACAGTAGTGATAGTCATTAGCGTCAGAAGTCGACACGAAAGGAAGATTGAGGCTGAGTGCCTGAGGCAGTGCGGCCCCTGAGGCTCGAGCGCATAATCGCGGTGATCCCGCGACCAGCAAGGAACAGGACGCCCATTCGATGCATATTCCGAAACCCAAATAGCATCGTTGTACATGATCAAAGACCAGAGGCACGGTATAGGCTACCGGTATATTGGTCTGAAACCGTCCCGCGTCTCAGGAATTATTCGAGATCTAGAGAGCGGTTGCACCGCGTCAACATGTCGCCTGGCGGGCAAAGGAAGACCAATAATTCCAAGTCAACAAGATGCAAGAGCCTATAGCGGAAATATTGTTTCGATGGTCGGCGATAAAATCTATGCCTATGATGGTACCATTTCAATGAGTAACTAGAACGAAAGTCAATAATGATGGTAGTAGTGGCTGTTGAGGAAAATGGTGTCGCTCTAAGGGGGGATGAGCGGTAGGAACACGAGAGCGTCAAGCCACAGTTGGACAGGACACTTTCGCAGTGTTCACACTCCAGCTGAAAATCCGACATTTCCCTGTTGTGATCCTGACTCGAATCCTCCCCGAATCCCGAATAGGTAACCGACAAGGATCGCTACGAGTAAACCAGGACTAGAGTACTCTGGACATCCCTAAAGTCAGTTAGACGGGCTGCAAGATGCAACTATCTGCATGTCACTTGTACCCTTTTGTGCAGCATCCACACCACATGGAGTCATAAATCATGACAGATGACGGACTAGACCTCCAGTGGACATGCGGAATAGTGATCCTGCAGCCATCCCTGGATGGTCTCGAAGGGGGGAGTTGACCGCCAGTTACGGCATTTAGGCCAATCACAAGACCAGGAATCAACCAACAAGCAGGAACTGTGGCCGACAGTGTCGCAGCAGACGCCCTTTTCCTGGCCAGAATTAAAGAAAAAAAGAAAACAAAGGCTAAAAGCACTGCCTGCATGCACCAGCCACAGCAGACTGGCCATTCGCAGCGTTTTGTGGGAGCCTGAGGACCCATCGAGTCATCCGCCCCAGTCAAACACCAGGCACTAAGAGTGGAACGGGAATAGCATCATCTGCCAGGCAGCCGTGCGCACCCTCCCGCTCTTCACCCCCCACTATTCCACAGGCCACAAGGCGTTTTTTCTGAACATCCGCTTGTGACCAATGCCGTCATCCTATCTTTAGACCGATCGACTCCATCACTAGACCCTTTTCTGTTAGTCCCAGTCTTATATACTCTGCTTTGGACTATGGATGCCTTCTCTTCCAGGTGACTATATATCACCTCAATCTCCCTCCTCTCATTCGATATTTTTTTTTGTCTGTCACTACCCCTAACATCGCTTTACTTTCACGTTTATAATATCTTCTACGCTGCTATTACTTCTTTAACGCTGCTCTGGATCGCATCAACGTCTACCAGCAAGAGAGCTCCAAGCAATCAATCACCTCACTCCCTGCTTCACCCACAGCAGTCACGGTGTCGCCCTACGACTCGTCGCGTCGTCTCTTCCACCCACCGTCTCTCTTGTCGTCCCTACGTGAACGAATCCTCATCAGAAGAATCTCAACTCGCAGAGCTGTCCGCCCTCGTCGATCATACACCATGCCCGCCTTGATCGAGAGCCCCGAGCCCATCGCGCCCGTGCTGCGCGTCCGCGAGCTCGAAGATGACGAGGAATACGTCATGACCGCATTCGAGCGCCATGCCAGCCACTGCTTGCAATGCGCGGAGCCCCTGCGTGTCCACCAGGAGGGCCGCTCCCTCTGTGACCGTGGTCACCAGTACGCCCTCGACGTAGCGGAGTACCTCTACAGTGAGAACGGCAAGGCCAAGTCTGTCATCGACCGCGAGTTGAGCCAACCCACACTGGTCAAGATCCCCCGGGACTGCGTCGCTGTCCGGGGCCTCCTCCTCGCGATCGAGGATGGCATGCGTCTGCAGCGCAAGGAGAAAGGAAAGGCTCAGACTCAGACCCAAGCCCGAGTTCAGGTTGTGGCCCCTATCATCAGCTACGATCGCACATACCCCATCGCGCCTCGCCAGGCAAACACACAGCAACCTGTTGCTGTCAACGAGATCATTGAGCGCGAGCCCCGCACCCTCAAGCGTCGCCGTGTGATCGTCTACCAATCTCCACGTGGATCGTCCCGCGGCTCTCTGTACGACTCTGATGCGGCAGACCGTGTTGAGCGCTCCAAGGAATCTCCTTCGCGCATCTACCGACCAACTGGATACTATCGTTGAATTATGTGAGCTGTTTCTGTATCCGCTTTCAACAACAACAATGCCTCAAATGCTCTGTGCCACACCAGACAGGAAGACGAGTCAAGGACGCTCTAAGTCCACCGTCGCTGAGCGTCAGGGGCCAGCAGCGCCGACTCAGTCCCACTGGCACCAGATTCTTTCTTCCTGCTTGTGTTGGCAGTAATGCAAGCTTGCAACGCCTCTCAATGATTGGCTTTTCCATATTTTGACCTGGAATTCTGCGAAGCTGTTTTGAACTGCCTTACGCTTTGATTTCGATTCTCTACAAGAACGAAACTATTGCTCTTGCATCAAAGCCAGAAATCATGAAAAAAAAAAAAGAAGGAAAACCAGAAAGCCGAGGATGTATCCTCCCTACGTTTCCTGTCCTCAATTCGAGGACTCTGCAGGGCCGACTGCAAGTTTTGTGACTCAGACTTGAGCTTCTGCAAGCTGCCATCATTGAGTCATTCCATTCGTTCGCACTGTCTGTCTCAACTGCAAGCCATTACTATATGGCAATAATCATTGGACATGTACTTAGTCTGTTTCCTTTGTACTAAATGCAAGCGAATTCGCGTTGCGTCTACTTCCATCATCCAATAAAGTAAAGTAGACTCCCTGATAATCCTTGAAGATTACTCAGAGAAGTACCTGGACTAAAGTGTGAGTCATTAAGGTCAGCAAATTACTGGTGGGTATGGTCATGCTGCTTATGCATTAGCATGGAGTTTGTGTTAGTAGCTGCCACCTAGGTGCTTACCCCGCTGGGTTGAATGCAGCTGTGCTGCGCACTACACATGCACATATAGAGTACTACAAGCTTATTATATGAGATTATGAGTCCATCTGATCCCCGACATGGAATTATATTGAAGTGCAGGTTTTATTTACGCAGAGATAGCGAACTTATCCCAGTGGAAGTAGATGCTTCAAGCATTCTCAGCACCTAGAGCAAGGACTTTATTGTGCAAAGAATGAGCATTTACGCCACGTACAGTTAAAAGTTTCTAAAGAGGCCTTCAGAGGTACATTGGATTACTTGGCGTCTTAGATTCGATAGTTATCTCCACGTTGTAACCCTGCTGTATCGGAGAAGACGGATCTCGACAAAATACCAGTCATCTTTATCCTCAAGGATCGAGAAGCTGACGAGTTCTGAAATCCTGATCAAAGAGCATTACACCGTTCATCTGACGAGGGCCTGCCAATACTCATTTACATTAGACTTGAACACTCGCTCAACAAGTAGAAGGCAAATAGTTATCTCTTGAGGATTGATGAGGAAATAACAGTCGATGCATAGAATGCATCACAAACGATGATTTTAGATCCACGGTTTGTTGCAGTGGGTTCCCTGCACGTGCAAAACGTCAAAAGTGATTCCTTCATTTACAAACAGCAGCTTCCCAGTCTTCAACACCGGTCCACCACTGATAAATCTCTCACAACGCAAAATGTCGCCAACGATGGGGAAGCTCAAAGCCCTTTTCTGTGGACGCAGGACTGCAGACTCTGATGCAGGATCATCAGATACAGAGATACCCGAGAAAAGTCCAAATACGCTAAAAGCTCCTTCAAGTGAGGATGTAGAGATCCTCAGAACCAGATGTTTCCCAATCGATAGGCGTCTCTTTTCGGGCTGCGGTTCGGCACCGCTGCAGACGACGAAAAGATATGGCGTTCTGATATAATGGAGGCACCAGATTTCCCAAGTAGGTCACTCTGAATTTAATATTTGCTTCCTCATGAATACTAATATGTATAGCGAACGTGATTGACGCACTTGCGTGTCTGCGGTGGAGAAATACACCGCTTACGCGTTCTTACCTCTGGACAGTCGAAGGGCCTTTAGCAGACGCAACGATGAAGGTCCTCCTGACTTCAGCTATTGCACTTGAAGCTGGGATGACAGTAGTTCCACGAAAAGAGTTTCACGAAAAGGAGCCCCCAATCGTACTACGCCCTAAAGTCGGTATAATGGTCGATGTGCAATACTATGGCAGACCTCGGAGACTAAAGATTCGCGCTCCTTGGACTATCTGGCATGATGATGAGGAAGATGCAGGGGTAAACGTCGTCATATTTCAAACTGAGGTGGGCTATTACGCAGACACACAAGGCTGCTGTTTCGCATATATGGGTAAGCAGCATACTGGGCTTGTCTATTAAACCTAAAGACTGATAAAAATGATAGGAGCAATACACAGAGCCCGAAAGGCCATTCGCCAAGATGCATGCATCTACGGCATTGCTACGGATGGTCAACGCTGGGTTTTTATCCGGATCGACAATGAGTCCAAGGTAATCCAATACAAAAAGATATTTTAGTCCTATCTATCAGCGCGGCAACAGTTTGCATTCGGATTCAACAACCACGCTTTAGACAAAGTGTATACGATTCTAAGAACCATGGTGCGTCATGCGATGCACTTGGCGTCGCAGAGAGTGGCCGCATCTACCACTGGAAAATTGCCTTCCTCTATTCGATTCTATGATCCTTACGGCGCCGCCTGAGGTGGATATTGACGCTGATACGGAGTTTGAGTGAACAGATTCTGAATGATTCATAAAATTCTGGCTATACTGTTGTTATGCTTAACGGTCACTTCTCATATCCTAGCTCCATTGAATTCTATAGAGATATAATACCACCAGACTAGAGGGTGCCCGGACGATGTCGCGTCAGCCTAGGGCTTCATATCCATAATCATAGCGGTATAATATTCTCCCAAATTCTTAACCACTATCTTTGCTTCAAGGAGTGTCTTGGAGACTTCGAAATAAAAGTAACTGCCCTCCGGAGAGAATCTATGGGATGGCCTTATTCTGGATGTAGTAGGCGTAGGATCATATGCCGCGTGAAGGTAGGACAGATGGATGAAAAGCTTCTTGAATTTCAGGTCGTCCCATCACTTGTTCACTTATTAGTCAAGTGATTACTTTCTATAGCCGAAGCAACTCGCCAGTCATACACCCCACAGTTCTGTTTTCCAAGCCGACGACGCATGGTATGGGCAATTCCTTTACCAGATGCATTAGTAGCAAGATTTCCAGTATGGGTAGGAACTTACCTGCCCATATAACCAAGCAACTGATGGCGTTAGGCCTGGGTTCGCCAACGCAGCTGCCCGCGAGGTCGTAACGAGATAACCTCAGATGAGTTGGAGACACAACGCAGTTCTGCCTGCCTTTGTGGTGTGTGTGCGTTTTGCGATGATCCTCTCGATTTCATATTCGTCTTGCCCTTCGACCTGAACGGGGCCGGGTTGGTCTGGTTTCGGTCGTTGGAAGGGGTCATTTCCTTGCGGATATCGCTCAAGATGGGCGACGGATATCACCGGGTGGATTCGCCATGATTTGGGTAGGTCAAGCTTGTATGATAAGGAGCTACGCCCTGCTGGTGCTCAAATTCGTTGAGGAGGTCTCGCGCGTGATCGAGGTCCTTTTCATCCAGCCAGGTGTTCTCATGATCATCGTATCCAAGCCACTTGATAAGGTATTGCGTCTTTGTTCTGGCGTACCATTTATCTGGGTGAGGGGAGGCACGAGTCGTAGAATTACATCCGCTGCGGTCTCCATGACGGAGGTCCCAGAAAGTAAACCTGACATTATAAGTGAAACGGCTAGTCCATTGATAGGACGATGATTGGGACGGAAATTGAGGGAAAAGCGGCCTAACCGCTGAAGGCCTTCTCAAAAGAACGAGTGCCGCGCAAGTTTGCCAGAGAAAATCCCAGTTGCTCGGAGCATCAAATCGTGGCGCTTCGTCCAAGATCCAACTAACCACTGTTTGAGTGGCGGGCATGGCTTACCACTAAGGATGAGGCAGTATAGCTTCGATCGACATTGCCCATGCTGGTAAGGTCCTCTTCACGGGAGAGCGAGACCTCATAATGGTGCATCCATCCTTGATAGATGCCCATGTTTGATATCTTCCCACTCCCAGATCTTACGATCTATGAACTCGCTCATTCCACACCATTCAGAATTTCAGCTATCCGAAAGTGTCCGTCTCCATCCGAATCTCGTGGCCAGATGAAATCAACTGTCTTTTTTTCCAAGTTGCAGAGAACAGCGTTCTTATCGCTGCCATCCAGAGACTCTTCGAAACATTGTTTATCGCTTAGGAGCACAGTTGAAGATGCACTGGACGCAGCCAGTAGAGCTCCAACTCGAGAGTTTTCTGATTTTCGCTCATAGAAACAGGTTTCAAGGCGAAGATGCCTTTTCCCCAGTATACATGCTCGTAGTTGTCCGTTAAGACACTCTAGTTCTTCTTGGAGTCATTGCCGCACCAAGTATCTGGTCTATGAGGGACCGTGCCATAGCTTCAGCTGGTAAACGTAAAGAAGTGTCCGAGAATCTGGTAAATGTATCAAACTCTCGCATTGAAACCTCTGAAATGTGTTACAATCATGCCAAACGCAATAAGTATGGATATTTCTTACCTAGATGCGGAGGGACCGCAAGAAAGTACTGCTCTGGGATCTCCCAGAGACCCAGATTTTTGTGGCTTCATTAGACGGCTGGGCGTCGTTGAGCCCAAAGTACCTTCTAACCGTGTGATGATCTAAAGAGGTGACAGGTGTCGACCTCTTTGGTTTGTTGGACGGCTTGAAGTCTCTTCCTTCAAAGATGTTATAAAGGGTTGCTCCACAGCATCTAGAACAAAGCCACAAAATGGCAAACCTAGCAAAGTCTCTTCTGGCCAGGATGCTTTGTAAGATCAACTTGAGCAGGGTAGATAAGAATGTAATGGAGAACGGTGCAACGCAGGAGGTGGTAAGGTGAGAAAGGCTGGCTGAGGGGAGGTAAGAGATTTCCATACTATTGAGCAGTGAATTCTCTGTACTCTTTAGCAGTGAATAAACCCAAGGCCATGTATTACCCACGGAAATGCCATTCACCACCCTAGCCACAGTTGACGCCCTAAAGTTGTTCTAATGGTCAATGTGCGAAGCTTCGCGCTCCTTACACTCTTTTGGCAGATAAGTTCAGCTAAGTCAGAGCACGTCAGGCTAGCTGATTGGCTGTCATCACCCTTATCCCTTACGTTGTCGCAAACACTCAACAAGATGAGACGTCAGCTCGATAGTTCTTCGGATGAAACAAGCAAGACCGGTGTTGCTCCGTCCTGCCATCCAGCAACGCATAATGAAGAAAAGGCGATTGTTCGGTATGGGATCTGGACTAATACTTGACAGTCAATACATATATTTATCTTCACCTATTTTCTTAATAAATGGAACAGGCATACAAATGTATATAAATATATTGTTGTGAAATTTGAATGGCTTTGACACTGTATTTATTTAACTATTTTAGGTAGCCAGGAGCTTTATACTGTCCCCAATGGGCAAATACACATATTGCTACATGAGAAATCACATTTCATAGGAGAATGAGAGTCTATTTACTTCTGCTTTAAATGTTTGCTATGGTTAGACATCTTGACCACCCCTAAAAAGAGGAGCTGGCCAACTCAGCATCTCACTCACACTAGCCATGCACCTCCACTTCTAGTCGAATTGTCAGCTCTGACCGAGCCATTCACCTGAACACAGTTTAATAACAGCACATAATGTACACACTGGAGCTTCCATCCGAGAAGGTAAAATAGCAACTGCAGGCCATAGCATAATCCAATCCAATGGCTCAGCAACCATCTCGTCACACCGTGGAATGGATCAAGCAGCAGCAGGCCGAAGCGGGGGTCGCTGCCCGAAAGGCGCGTAAGCCAAAGCCAAAACTACCGATCTGGCTGGATGATTTTCTGCGAGACGATTTAGACACATTCGGCAGAAACCCTGAGCGAGTTCCATTACCTGAGTCTCGCGATGGATCGTCCACGGCCAGTGACCCTGGAGAAAGAAATGGAAATGCAGCGAGGCCATCCCTGGAGGCGATTGATCGCGACGATACCTTCATCCAGCCTTGGTCTGTCCCATTGCCGCCATCGCCGCCGCCGTCGCCAGGACAGCAGCGAGCACAGCTGCCGGCGGCCAAAGAACTGGAAAGGGAAAAACGCCCTCCGCGTGAACCCTACGATCGCGTTCTGGACCGCGCAGATAGCGTATTCGACCACATCAAGCACGGCAATATCCGCAAGTTTCCGCGCGTGGAGAGAACATCCATCACGCTGTATGAGTACTACGACGATAGTACCGCGACGAGGGTGGAGATTGAGAGTCCTCTAATGATCCCCCGCTTCCACGGCATGCGGGAGGGATTGAAAGGGCGCGTCTTTCTCGTTGAGGATCTGTCCAAGGAAACTATTGACGCCTTGGGAGAGACATTTGGGATTACTCCCGAGTTCTTCGAGGAGCATCTGTTGAACTCGGGTTACGGTGGCGCGCAGTATGATGATCCACCGGCGAGGTCATGGAAGACGGCTAGGTTGAACAAGTCATATGTGTCGATCCAGTGGTTTCGGCCCGTGTATCGTCATCCACCGTTATTTTCCAAACGCGACCGCGAAGACCTGCTTGATTTGCAGGGTTCTGGGTTAGAGTATATCTCCGGCAATTCAAGCATTAGTCTCAAAGCCGTGACGAATATATTTCGCTCTGAGTGGGATCTGCGCGTTGATCCGCGCGGGACGGCAAAGGAGATGAGTGAGTTTGGGTTGGTGGAACGGGCATCGATTTGGAGAAAGCAAGCCGAGAATATGGAGTATGAAACAGGTGAGCCATTACGGCCCCTGGAGGTTGATATCCGCAAAGACTGACTGGAATTGTAGTTGTCATGTTGCTTGATCCTTTACCKACGATTAGCGTCAGCCATGATTTGACACTTCAGATCCCGAAAATGGCTATGATTGAAGCTGGCGATCGTGATAATAATGGTACAGGAACTCGACCAGTCCTGATAATCCAGGGCGATGATACCGCAGAGGGTTTTGCGATTCCGATCGAAAACCCACGGCGAGAGGAGACACCACGTCCAGTATTGGACCGGCTGCTCAGGCGACGCAGACCACGACTTGATAGGAGGAAGGTGAACGTAAGGACGAGCTTCCAGGTTTTGGTCAGGCAGATGGCTCCCCGAAAGACCATTACAATTGATCTGGAGAGTGCACTTCTAACAGGCGATGCCCTGAGCACGCTCCAGGAGGAGCTTAACGAGACAAGGTCCACCCGGCAGGCGATACAAGATATACCTGGCGAACATACAGCGCCCATAAATGTACTAGATATCTTGTTTGAGGTCATTGGTCAAGACACCTCAACCTTGCTCCGGGTGCTCAACCAGATCCTAAGCGATGTGGAGGTCGATATCCTCGACGACACGAAGATGGAGGATCGACTGGCATTGTGGCGGCAGCTCATCAGCAAAGCTGAGAGAGAGCTGTTGGATCTCAAAGCATCGACCAAGAGCTTTGTGGCTTTCTTTGGTTTCACATTTCCAGCCGATACATCTGCAGCAACCTCCGAGGGCAACCCAGACATTATAAGAAACGTGGCAGATCTCTTCCAGGAGATCGATCAGATGCTCACCAGACTCCGGCGTGCATCTTCATCCTTGACATCCAATATGGGTCTCCTGGACAGTCGACGCTCCATCGACGAAGCGCACGCCGTCACACGCCTCACCGAGCTGGCATTTCTCTTCATTCCGCTATCGTTTTCAGCGTCTATTTTCGGGATGCAGATCGAGCCATTGAAAGACTCAGGGGCCCCGCTGTGGAACTTCTTCGTTGTTGCCATTACTGTTACGACATTCGCGTACCTGATGCGGCTCACAATGCGCAGTCAATGGCTGGGAAATCTGAAGCAGAGCGTGAAGCAGGATGTTAGGCGATATGCGGAACAACACGGCCTCCCAGTACAGGTGCGGTCTCTGTCGATGTTGCTGCTCTTGCAATGGTTCGGAAGCACACTCGAGCGGAGCATCAAAGCAACCTGGTCCTGGATAGKGATGAAGGGCCGTACCGCTGGGATTGAGTTATGGAGGGTGGTCGGGTTCCCAGTCAGTTTCACCCTGCTTATCGGCACTGTTGCAGTAGCACCTGTCGCCGTGCTCTGGACCCGTGATATCGACCGAGGTGTGCAGGGCTCAGTTACCCTTGTAATCATACTTGCCCTCCTAGGCCTTGTGGGTGTACCCTACTGGCGAAGGTCCGATCCCAAATTTCGCTCTGCTTTCCCGAAACTCGTTACGCGCCTGCTGAGGCGTATTCCCCCAACAACGCGCTCATTGCTTCTCTGGGCTCTTGGAATAGCAGCCTTTGTCGCAATACCGCTAGCATTGATCTGGACACGTCCACTGGCGTCGGGTATTAAGGCCGGCCTGACTGCGGCCATCCTGGTTATTTTGCTGCCCTTTGTCTTGTTTCTTGGACTGAGGGGCTTTATTTCTAGGCCTAGAGTTGTATCTTCCGATACAGGGGAGAGTTTCGCTTCTGCTTCGGATGCTTCGTATAATTCGTATGCCACATCCCTCTCTGAAGAGGCAGTCACACAGCCTAGGAGTAGCCACTCTCAGCGTACCTATACTCCTAAATAGCCTAAGAAACATCTCGTGTTATACTGTTCTCTTGTTCTCAATTCCTCAGCTCAGACACATATCAAAATAAGGCCTAGTCCTCCTCAGTCAACTTGGCAAGCATTCGAATACTCAGGATCATAATCAGCAATGCCAGAGCAATAATCCCCAAACAGACCACAGCAGCCCATCCGAGAATCATCGCCGCCGTCCCGACATGGCCCTGGATGGCCCCATACGTGAGGCTCTCGGACATGGTCCCCGCAGCACTACTATTGACATGCTGCCAAAGAATGGAGACCAAGCCGAACATGAACCCCAGCGCACTCAACCCCAGCGCAGCCTGCGAAACCGGCCTAGAGGGGAACGGCTTGACTTCGCGCTCCGACCCATTCTCGTCGATTTCTTCGTGCCATCCTGGAAATGTCGACAAGAGAATAAAGCAAAGGAAGGTCAAGACCACAGCGATGAATCTGTTCATGTTAGCATCACACTCTAGGCCTATAAACATCCGTACGTAGACAAGCGATAACTATGGGAAAAAGATTGCCACAACTTACATCAACCCATCAAAAACAATCTTTTCTTTGAAATTCTGCGCAATCCAAATCAGATTCAGTGGGTCAGCCGCGCCAGTGTCGTTGCCCTGTATCCCCTCCGCCTTGACCATGCTAGCCAGCGCCGCCGCACTGCCAGAACACAACTGCGCCCCGTTGCTCAGGGTCAAACAGAGACCCATGTACCCCGCGCGCACTTCGCGAATTGTGCTATTGCCGTGCGAGACATTGTAGACTTTTTCCGCAATGCCTGGGTTTACCAGCACGGGATCATTAGTGACTGAGGTGCTGGCATTTCTGTACTGCAGTGAAACCAAATAGACATTGCTCAGGCCGTTGGAGGAGGTGCATCCGGCGAGAAGGATTGCTGGATTTGTGAGTACAGCGTTCAAAGATTGAGCAAACTGTGCACTAAGCCTTACATAGAAGGATGATTGTAATTGAACAGACGACCATTATAACATGGTTGTACCCGATCATGGAAATCCATCCTGAACTCTGTGTCAGCCTGACCCCACATACAGGATGACATTGTGAAGACTAGGTAGTTTCATACTATAATAGCTGCTGGTTTGGAATCTCATTTTATGGGATGGTTCAGTTGATGGATGCGGCAGATAGATATCTCATGTATTCGACCAATTATTGATACATAGATTATAGCATAAAGGGATAAAGTGGGAAAGTGAAGCAGGACGTGTGACACTTCATCAAGGCTTATATGCGCTTTTTCTTCTCTAGTTTAGCTACATGAGCTGAGAGTAAGCAATAAGGAGGGGTTGGGTGCTTAGATCGGATTTTGCTGCAGCTAAGCTGCTCCTCATCATCACTAGCCTCTCAGTCATCTACCAACTATCCTCGAACAAATCGGATTATAGCCAAATCTGTCAACTTCATCTTACTGAGATGGCCATGTGGAATTGTGATCTCACAAACTGCAGCAAAACATGTGTTCGCACATATGGAAAATCCATCATCTGTGCTCGCCATCTCTGCGCCAAACATCTTGGCTCAGAAGGTCATAGCTGTCCTAGTCCTAGTTGGGAAGTGTCAATATCCCCATTACACGCCGCATCAACTAACTATTAAACAGGAAGAACAGCTATACGACCCTATTGCTCAAGAAGCAGAGCGAAGGAGATCAAATGCTCTTGACCAAAATCAACGCCCCAAGTACTCCTCGCTCGAGCAAGCCATTTGCGCCATGGTGTTCCCTGTTATTTGCCGCAGTTGCTGCAGTATGATTATGCAAAGCGTTTCTCGGTAATGGGCGGCATGAACTATTATATTGAAATTCAGTTTGAAGACCGAATCAGCTGGCTGGCGCGCATTAGAAGATTCAATGCCACGTCGCCACCGCCGGATCTTCAACACTACATTATGCGAAGCGAAGTCGCAACACTTCAATTTTTGAGCAGGACAGACGTCCCGTCTCCGAGAGCATTTGATTATAACTTTGAGACTGCGGATCCGATCGGCGTCGAATATGTCCTTATGGAGAAATTGCCTGGGAAATCGTTATGATGGCCTCTGGCAACTCCAGAGCAGAGAAAGAAGACTATCAGCCAACTAACTCACATTTACATCGAACTAAAATTGTTCTCCGTTTGACTTCATGAGCTCTCTGGACCAGCCCGGCACCAACCACGAGGGGCCTTTTGCAAGGGAATCATTGACGGACTATGTTGACTCGCAGATGCGTCCCCGAAGCCCTCTCATCTCCCGCGGAGAAGACATCATCAGGAGGATACGATCAACGCTGGATTTCATCATCAAGGGAGAGGCATAAAGTAGGTACAGCCCTGGCGCCACGCTAGTTAGAAATATGGAATCACTTCCCACTCAGAGTTCGCCGACTTTTCCTGTCCCACACAATGGATCCCTACATGGCCATCATCTACTATCTCTTTCTCCTGCTGCTCTTCGGATACTTTATGGTCTTTCACTTTTTGAATATGACTTCTATCCCATCTTCTTCTTCTTCCGCGCCATCTCCAGACCCAGCTTCAATAAACGAACAAGTGGACGAAATTGACGACGACTCGTTCTATCACCCATCCTGGCGCCAGCGATGGTCGCACCCAGAATTTGCCGGCTACTATTCAAATAATTGGAGAAAAGAGTCATGGTCAGAACAACAAAGACGTCTGACAACACGCTTTCTAATTCCCTTGCTGGATTCGAAGTTCCCCTGGGGCTATATGATCTATCGAACAGTCTACACTGCTGAGTCGGACAAACTATGGCCTATCGCCATGGATAAACTTACTCAGATCATGAACTATTCGATTGAGTCCGATCTCTATACAGATCATCATAAAGAACCAGAGGACCCAGAGCCTGATTCAACTGCAGAACAACTAGTAAAGGAATTATGTAAGGATGTTATCTTCTCTGACAAGAAGTTCTAGGACAGGGCCAGCATTGAACAGGTTCGCCAACATTTGCCTGAGTATCTCTGTACTAGTAAAGGCCGCGGCTATGGTCGATTTGAAGGATGCACTATCATTGATGAACAATCACTTAAATCGATTGTTGCTAGTCCTGTTCCCGCCGGGGGGAGACCCCTCAAAGGCACAGTCAACCTTATGGCTTCGTTGGTATGATCGATGGGCGGTATCCTGAGACGCTGTACGATCCGCAATACACTGGCTTTATGCGGGTTGAAATTCCTTGCTTATAGCCTCTCTATACAGAGTTGACTAGCAAGTACATGTGGGAACTATGTCCCTCCGTTCCTGAGGGCTTAATCCCTGTTTATGATGGTGGAACCGGGAAAGCGCATGATGAAGAGGGAGATATCCATCAGATTGCGACAGATCAGGGCGTTCGGCTGTTTTGACGACTTTATTTATTTGCATAAGCTTTGGAACCGCTATAGTGCACTCCAAAGCAACAAGAACCCTGGGTAGTAGTCTTCCACAAGTGCTATATAAGCAGGGCCTGCTACAAATCAGGCACATACGAACATAGGGTGTGGAAAATGCTGGACTCGAAACTGAAAACAGAATGGTGGAGAAATTGAGTTCCTCACCAGAATGAGTTCGTCATGGGATGGAGCATCTCTCAATAAATACTTCTCTAAACTCGTGCTTGAGTGTTTCGCAAGCTATCCTGACACCACCCAACTACCAAAAAAAAAAAGAAAAAAAAAAAAAAAAGATTTTACCGAAACCATGTGCAGATGTCCTTGGGGACGCGCATGTGTGTGGGTGTATATACGTAGAGTAAAAGTAATAGGCTACCGGAGCAGTCATTGCATCCAATTTACAGAAACGCTGATATTGCCTGCTGCTGCTGCGAATAGAATGTCGTTTTCAGCTCGCACAGACCTCGCTTGGGGATGCATGGAAGCTTTGGCAGAAGCAGTCGTGGGACCCATGCGGCCAATCCTATGAGCTTGGCAAGGCTTAGAACGTGGACACAGCACATGGTTGGTTCGCACTTCAGGGACCAGAATCTAGGAATTGCTCATCATTACTTATTTCATCCAGCTAAGATGGGATGGTCTACGTTTCTGTCATTGGGCCTGACGGCTTAGGAGGTTTGGTAGTATATAAGCATGTTCTGGGCTGATGATTTGTGGCCTTTGGTGTTGTGGTTAGTAGCTGCCTAGAATACTACTTCATACAGTTTCAATGATCAACAACCCCGATGTATGATCTGGTAGATTATACTCCGCGGAGATTGTCGCGGACCTTCTAAGGTTACTTTTCATAGGGAGAGTTAATACTTAGTAGGTGTCATAGTATCCCTGCTAATATCATTGCTACTGAAACCACTAGTATTTATAATAAACAAGGATGAAGGTCTGATTCTTCTAAGTTCATTAATCTAACTAACATATATACTAAAAAACAGTGATATTAGATAAAAGAAGTTTTCAGAATTCACTGCCATCAGTTTGTTGAACCATGGTAGTAATCTCACGATCTAATTAGTTAGATTAGAATGCCTGAGAGGTGATAAATCCTAAAATCCATTACTAATTACAGTAAGAATAATATGGTTAACAGTAAACCTATAGAGTGAAATGCCACCAACAAGTTTTCGCCATGGATATTGGTAAAGCTTAGTGAGCAGCAGGCTAAAATTACAGGCACCATTAGCGGGCAGGCATTAGGTGTCAGCGTGCTCAAATCTCAGCTGTTTATTGGGCAGGCAAGGCAAATGTCACCCATATGAAAACTAGAGGTCCGTGGTGTTTTCTCCTTTTAACATGACAATATCAGAATATCATACGGAGTCCAGAGAATCTAATATTCTTAGCATGGAGAACTGAGAACCCCGTGCGGAGATATGTGACCCCATGCTGGTGGAGAGCAAATGTGCTGCCTGCTCTAGTCAACAGTACCACGCACTTGCGAAGGGCGTTATTACGCCTGTCAATATGGTATTGGAAGACAAGGAATATGGTGTTTTAAGCACCCTTAAAGCTGATGTAGAAGGCTCTGTTCATATACAGTCACTGCCCTGCGGTCTTGGTGCACCCTTAAGAGCATGTCATTGTTTAACAGGCATTGGCTCATCAACATCAGGCTCGTTAGGTTCAAACCGATCAATGCCGCTAATTCCGAAAACTCAGATCCGGCTCAGAAAAAGCCATGGCAAGGCTTATTTGAATCCAAGTGGAACGGTTGGCGTTGCCAAGTTTGCTAAGCTCATTGCTGCAAGCCAGCCCATCGGCCACAAACACCATTAAGTTCGCTTATATTTCAGTCAACCTGATGCTGATTAGTTGATCGAGTGGGGTCCTGGAGTTCGAGAAGATTAACTAGCCCAAGGAAGGATCTGTCTCGGGGATAATTGTGTGCACTCGATGTAAAGGCAGCAATGTGATAGACCATCCAGTGTCTGCCATCGAGAAACGTGCTTCGTGTATATTGAAAAGAACGTGCATACACTCCTCAGTTGGTGGCGTCAAGGTGGCTAATTTTTTTTCTTTTTTACGACCTTCCATATTGAGGCCCGTCATGGCTCTTGTGTTATTTAAGCCTTGCCATTTCCGCCTGTCCAGGTATCATCTCGTGTGCAAACCTCGCATCCTTAGCTCATTCTCTGTTTGGGCTCGTCTTTCCCACTGGTCCGGACACACAGGTACCAACTTCAGCAAACTCTTGCTCTGGAGTTCTTCAACATATACTGACCTCACCAGCTCTGCGTCGGATTACATCTAGGTCGAGATGGCGGATTCAGCGGAACACACCCTGGCCGACGCCAAGGGCGACCAGACTACCTTTGATGAGATGGAACTGCATGAGAAAGAAGCCTTCGACAGGCTGATGCGGCCGTGCGACAGCTACAATGTCGACGGCCAGTACTGGGCCGACCTCCCTATCGGCCGGCGCCTCCGCTTCGTGGCGTCTACGGACGTCACCGAGGCTCGTTCCGAGTTCTCATGGCTGCGCAACATGTTCAAGACCGACCCCTTATCACCCGTCGGCTACTATCTGAAGAACGCCGTGCTGCCCGGTGCCGGTCTTGGTTTGGAAGGGTAAGCTGCGTGCGCTGCCTGCTGGCTTGGAAGAGTCCTTATCTTGCTAATACAGACCAGCTACGTCCTTTTCTCCATCGGAAACGTCACGCCTCTCTTCCAGTCCTCTTTTCCCGACTGCTGGAAGTCCCACAAGACATGCAACAAGAACTGGATCGCCGCGACCGGCTACCTGGAAGTGGTTGGTATCCTGATCGGTCAGATTCTGGTCGGCTTTCTCGGTGACTGGTGAGTGCCTGTGCGCTATCCTCCGGGACAAATGTTGGATGAATGGCTGCTCACTCATTGTACATAGGATCGGTCGTCGTTGGGGTCTCATCCAGGATGCGACAATCATGTTTGTTGGTTTGCTGATGCTCACGGCCGCCTGGGGTGTCACCCAGAATGGCTGGATCATCTGCTACGCCTGGTCTCTCTTCTTCTACAGTATCGGCGTGGGTGGCGAGTATCCGATGACGGCCACCATCGGCATGGAAAACGGCGTTGGCTCCGGCAAGATCTCCACGCACGAAGATCGTCTGCACCGGGGCCGCAAAGTCATCAATGCCTTCCTGATGCAGGGCTGGGGCCAGTTCGCCAACCAGGTGATCTTAATCATTCTGCTTCTCATCTTCCACCACGGCGACGGAACGCCCCCGATTTCCGCCACTACGACCCAGTGGACCTACCGAGTGTCGTTCGGCATCCCTGCCGTCGGTACATTGTGGTTGATCTACTACCGTGCTTATCACATGAAGGCCGCTAGCAAGCAGCTCGCCGTCGCTAAGAAGAAGGCGTCTGTCACAGGCTATGACAGCCAGTCCCTGGCCCTCACCTTCAAGCACTTCACCCCCCGTCTGATCGCCACCGCTGGCGGCTGGTTTGCGAACGACGTCTTCTTCTATGGCAATAAGCTCTTCCAGGGTAACTTCATCAAGATCATCAGCCCCCACTCCACGTCCCTGATGACCAACTGGCTCTGGAACCTGGTCAACATCGCTGTCAGTCTGTGTGGTTACTACATGGCCGCCTGGTTTGTTGATAACAAGCTCTATGGCCGCAAGTGGATGCAGATCATCGGATTCCTGATGTGTTTCATCATGTTTATCATCCCTGCCTTTGCCTTCAAGTACTACCAGGAGCCCATGCACATCCACTCCTTCCAGGCAATGTACTTCCTCAGCTCTTTCTTCAACCAATTTGGCCCGAACTGCATCACCTTTCTCGTGGCCGCTGAGGTCTTCCCGACCCCGATCCGTGCCACTGCTCACGGTCTGTCTGCTGCTGCCGGCAAGCTCGGTGCTCTAGTCATCGCCATTGTCGGCGCCTACACCACTACCCAGCAGATGTTCTACATCGTCCCGTGGTTCGGCCTCTTCGGCATGCTCATCACCTGGCTCTTCCTCCCCGACACCACCGGACTTGACCTGCGTGAGCAGGAACGCCGCTGGCGGTACATCCGCGAGGGCCGCGAACATGAGTACCACGGCCCCGCCGTCCACCCTAAGCACCTCTCGGTGTGGGAACGCCTGATGGGCAAGGGCAAGCACTATGACGCCGGTGCCGACTACCAGGCCAAGGTCCAGGAGTTCCGCAAGGAATGGGAGACTGCCATGGCTGACCGGGTCGCGGAGAAAGAGGGTCTGTTCGATGCTGACGATGTTGACGACGATATCCTGCATGGTTCCGTGCACACCTACTTCGAGCGCACCAGCCCCAACTTCCGTGCGCAGGAGAAGGACACTGGCGCCCAGAAGCCTTTGAGCCTTCCTCCTGCGGCCTCTGAGCAGTAACTGCCTACCAGTAGGCGTTGACTCATTGCTGGTTCTTTCGACTGTCATGAGTGGCACAGTCGGTGTTGAACTCTTGCCCTTTTAACATTTCTCCTATGTCATGCACGCTGTTTACTGGAAAGCACTATTGGTGCCGATGACAAGCAGCTGTCTTGATTACTTACCCTTTGCCTGACCTTTTCTTTATTCTCTTGCTGTAACATTGGTGTATAGTTCCTACTTATACCAACAAGTCGTCTCTCTACAGTTTCTATTAGACAGATCCTAATATAGTACGAGAATGCGCATAAAACAGTCCCTGAGCCCTCGTTATTATTATAGCCCTTGTTCATCTATGTAAACCACATGCTGGTAACTCTGTCATTGTACAGAAACCTGATTTCAGTCAGCATAAGCCGTTTCTTAAGAGCAGTCTGTTGTCATCATGGTCCCTTTAGTGACTCCAGGGTGGATCTTAACATCAAAGATAGACCAGTTTCTGATTGGAATCTACAGTGAGAGTAGCTATACCATGTGGTTCTGTACTCTAGGTATATCTGTATATTACCTCTTGCTTGAATCCCTACAGCTAGTGCGCAGCATATATATCTTGAAGTTCTTGCACTACTTTAGTGGTCATTATTTGTGGCTGACCTGATGAGCTTAGCCAGGAGGTTTCCACGAGATTGATATGCTAGGTACATGAATTATTCCAATTCTACGCAGCCAGCTAGATACATAGAGGCATGCACAGTGGCAATATCATATTTCCCCACCAGGCTAACAGCCTTGGTATTACTGTCTCAGAGCCATTCATTACTAGATTTCAGTATCTCTGGCCACAGGGAGTAGTTTCCCTGTCTTGTGGCCCCCTTAAGGACACTACTCTAGACAATTACTACCACCCTAATACATATATAGGCTTCACTAAACAGCGCGATCTCTACAGTCTTAGTATCATGTTATATAAGATAGGGCGCTAGGCCCTAGTGGCAGATATAGTTATAGACCAGCAGAGAAAATAAGTAACTAGTCAGCAAGCATGGCGGGAGTATATGCTTAACTATGTAGTTTAAGGTCTAGGGTAGAGGATAGGAACGCGATATAGAGATACTGTGAAGACACTGTAGATTCCAGCCTCCTAGCTGATGATACTAGGGATGCATTCTTTCCCAGCAGTTTTTAGAGAGAGTGATTCAGCTATTAAGCATCTGCAGTGCATGAATAGAGGCCATCAACATCTTACTAAGGCTAGAAGAAACAGGTAGGTCCTTCACAGGGTTAAATTCTGTTGTGGGTGTGAGCTTGCTAATTAGAAGGGTTTCCTCTACCTCTTCCAGGGCTCTTGTAAAGCCATCAATGCTAATAGGGACATAGAATGGGAAATTAGAAATGGCACTGGGGACATAAAAAATGATGCTCTCTTCACTAAGTTGATGAACAGGGACCATGCCCGCACAGAGAATGCTTACTATCAGAAGTTCAGCTCGCCTCATTTTCCGAGCCATGTCTGGTGAAATCCTACCTATGAAGTTGGGAGGCGCCTGCCCAGGTTTCCATCAACAGACTAATGCATAGCTATCACACCCTCACCCACACTGTCGGGTCCGGAATGTAGTATTCCGGAGTAGTTAGAGGCCGCTGGCATTGCGCTACCTCGTTATTCGAGTAGCTTAAAGGCTCTCTTATACCCCTGTTCAGGGCATGTGACCACTGGTCATCACATCAGAATTTCCTCTCTGCATTAGCTCTAAGTATCAGCTTCCCCGCGGGTGAGCCACACCTCAGGGAAGTCTTCACCTCCATTTGACTACCCTCTCTCTATTATACAGTACAATCAAGAGATTCATCATATCACACAAACAGATCACTTGAATCATGTCTTGCATAGTAAGAGTATTTCTGACAGCTTGCATCTGTATGATACTAATACCGCAATAGAAAGACGATGAGCCATCGCCCTTTCCACCCCTCAAACGCTCACCATCGGGCCAAGGCTTCACCCACCTTGCTACTGATGGAGTGATCCGCAGTTTTAGCTCGAGTGGTGAGGTAATAGATTATAAGCAATTAAGCCCGGCGGAAATTGCAAAGATGTTGGAATTCTTTGGAAAATATATGGATTCAGAGGCTTTTGAGAAGTCTAAACCAAAATTTGACGGTGTGGATGGCAGAAATGTGACTGATTTAGAGCAACTGCTTCATCCAGGACCAGGAATTGGTCCAGCGGAATTCAACAAGTAAAGATCACACAATTTTTGCGTCTTCTATCTGCCTGTCTCGCTCTTGTTTCTATATCTATTTAATAGCCGACTAAGCTGCCGCATTATTTCAGTTAAAGACAATCCTCTCTGCTAGGACATGATTTAAACATAATAAAGCTTATATTACTAATTTGATCATTCGCTGCAATGTAATAGAAACTTGGAGCTCAGTCGATTATGTGCTACTATGTGTCAATTTTGTCCACGTACCATGCCACCACGAGGCGTGAGTCTCACCTTGAGGACTGAGCCCTCATCATGGTTGTACTGACAAAGCGTTAGATGCCAAGACCACATAACGAGCTATCGTGAACGTAAGGATGAAAGAGGCCCTGCAACTGCTCGAGTCGAGCGGGGAGATTGTTGAGATTGACTCGGGGAATATGTGGGATTGGGAGATGGATATATCGTCTCTTCAGGACAAGCAGGCTGAGCTTGTGCGGAGATTCCAAGAGCTCCGCCATAAGCCGTATTTGGGCACATCCAGAGACTGGAGCTCGGAGAGCACTGACAGCATGAGCGCGCACGAGTTGCGACATTCGAGCTCTACGAGGCCCATGGCCAGCTTCAGGAGCTCGCTACCAAGATTCGCGAGCTAGGGGTAGAGGGCTTCCTTCTACAGCCGGAGCTCACCGAGCTGCTGGCTGCCGCGGATCCGGCTCCCATAATGCTCATCTCGGTCAGCATGTGGCGTTCCGACGCCCTGGTGGTGCGAACCGAGTTTGTCACTCTAGTGCCGTTACCTCAGCTCCACGAGCATGACGCGGTCAACCACGCTGAAATGCCGGACAACGCAAAGGGCGCCGGCGGCCGCGCTTCAGTACTCCCGTTCATTTTGGGATGGCTCCGGGACGTTGCGGCTAAGCCAGCCCTTGAAACTGGGCTACCCGATCAGACCAAGAATACAACGACTGGCCCCGACTCTGCTGGGTGCCAACAGGGGTGATGGCCCGGTTCCCCGTGCACGCAGCAGGTCGATATCCGGCGGGGAAACCGACGACAGACACCATCCTGGTCCGCGTCGTCTCAACCTACGCTCCCTCAATCCGCTCCCTCGTCCACGCACGCCGGATGCACCGCCAGACACGCTCTCACGCGGCACCACCCGCCACAGACGCGCTCATAGCGGCCATGCCCACCACCCCGGGTTACCCGGACTCGGACCTACCCTACTCCAAGGAAGAATCTCGAATCGTCAAGGACCTGTGCCGCTCACTCAACCTCACCCCGCATGCCCCAGACCCAACGCGAGACAGCATCCTAGCCACTCTTCGCCACAGCGCCATTTTCTACTACGCTGGCCACTTCTTGATCGAAGCCAACGGCGGTTCTATGCAGAGCTACCTCCTCCTCCGTAACTGGATGGACTGGCCGCTGGCCATGTACAATCTCCTAGAGCTCCGCCGTGAATCACGCTCACAACCATTCCTAGCTTATCTATCCGCCTGCTCAACAGGTAAGACAGCTGAGAGCACACTGCTCAACAAGGCGGCGCATTTCATGAGTTTCTTCCAGCAGGCTGGTTTCCGGCATATCATCAGGACGCTGTGGCCTGTCTCAGATAGAGCAAGTATAGAGATGGCGCGGACTGTCTATCAGATGCTTGTGGAGGAGGGGATGGTCAATGGTGTAGTGGTGAAGGCGCTTCATCAGGCAATGCAGGCACTTCGCGATGCATCTAACAGTAGTATGCTAGCTGCATCAGGGGAGAGAGACCCAAAGCAAATGAGGAGCAGAAACAAGAAACCAGCTCATCAGAATCGTGAGTTTGGATGGGTCCCGTATTTTAAATATGGCATTTGAACGATGAACTCTGTAGCCATTGAGATCTCGCAGCTGGCTTCCAAGTACCAGGCGGGCGGGGAATATGATAGGTCTAGTTGTATATGCTAATCACTCTCCTGTCAGTTCTGGGCAAAGGCTTTGAGCATTTAATAGCCCAAAACATACCACAGCCTTTCAATACACACCTTTATAGGTCTTACTTTACTTGCTTCTAGTACATACGACCATAGGGTGTGGAAAACAGGGCTTCCCGTCCGCTCAGCCGTACTTAAGCCACACGCCGGCCGGTTAGTAGTTGGGTGGGTGACCACCAGCGAATCCCGGCTGTTGTATGTTTTTACCTGTATCTTCTTTTTTGTCTTGATAAGTTGCTGGGAATTCTCTCCGTAATTGGAATAGCCGTCGCGCCGCTGGTGGGATTCCTGTGTGCAATCCCTACACCTGAGCTGTTTCCCGCGCCTCTTGAGGGGAACAGCTAATCGGAGGGTGGGCGTTGTTCATCGTTTATATGGGCCTATGGCACCGATCATCGCGGGTACATGGGTGTGGGAGATGGACATTCAAGTTTGGATATGTGCTACCTTCATGGTTGTTAGATTGGTGTTTATGGTGATGACTCTGTTTACCTTTAGTATTTATCATGAATACTAGGATCTACAAGTAGTAGACATGCCAGGGAGTAGCTCATATCTAAGATTCCAGAAGAATGCCTTGTCTACGTGCATTAGAGGTCGTCAAATAATCCTCAGCTGCAATTTTCTTCGCCGGGCTCCAAAAGCGCCTCGATTTACGACTCGAAGCAGCTCAGTTACGTCTCTCTGTTCCAGGTGCTCCCCCATCATCTTCACCGGGACTTGTTTCTTCAAATCGGCGCCATACGGAATGAGCAGGTTTACTGCCTCTTGCGATGCACTCATAATAGCATAATGCAATGGTGTCCAGCCCCAATCATCAACCGCTTGAGCGTCAGCTCCATGTTGAAGAAGTATCTTTATCCGACTTGGGTTTCCGCTCTGCGACGCAAGATGCAGCGGGGTGACGTTCTCCATCGCACGAACATCAACCGAAGCCCCGTACTGTAAGAGAAGACGTATAGCATCATCTACTTTCTCTGGATAGTAGATGCTTTCCCTCGGGTCTTTCATACGGCCCTCCATATCGAAGATAGCCCTGAAGTCGATTCGAGTGCAATTATACTCCTTTTTTAGATACCCAGGTAACCAACGCTCAACGCTACGCTGCACCCACCCATCATTGCAGGCAGTATGCAATGGTGCCTTGCCTTCTGTGGTTTGAATGTTTGGGTTCAGTCCCATCTGTATCAGGGCTTCCATTGCTTTGATATGTGCGCATCTAGCCGCTAAATGGAGTGCTGTTTGCCCATCACCGGATTCCCCATCTAGAAGCGCCCCGTTTTGCACAAGCAGCATAATTGTCGCACCAATCTCGTAGACAGGGTGACCGCCCCCCAGAATCAACGCGTGAAGTGGGCTATCGCCTCGCGCGTCAGTTACTCTGACGTTCCCGCCTAGATCCAGCGCGAGCTGGATACTCTCCGCGTTTCCGGAACGGCAGGCTAAATGGAATGGGGTCGTCTCGTTGATAGCAGCGTTGATACCTCCGTACTGCGCAACAAGTGACTGGAATGCATTCTTGTGACCGCGCTTTGCGGCTGCATGAAGAAGGAGATGCGCATAGCTCTCATGTTCTGGGACGCCATCTCCGTCCATTCTATCCAGCATCCTCTCAATGATCCCTTCCGGAGCGAAAGTCATTGCAAAAGCAAGAGCTTTAGCCTCAAGGGGTGCTCCGTTGTCGAAAAGCAGGGTCATTATTTGGATGTCTTCCCTTTCAATGGCAGAAGAGAGGCAACTGCGCAGCTGGTCTTTCCGGCCTGCAAATACGCCAAGAGCTAGTAGGTCGCTCAGCACTGCAATGTTTCCTCGGTCAGAAGCCATAGATAGAATCTCGTCCCAGGCGCGCCAGGCCGGATCAAGTTTCTTGCTGGAAGCCAGAATCTTCTGGACTGATGAGAGATTACCAGTGACAGCGGCTCTCTCGATTGCGTCGTGAGAGTTGAAAGTTCCATACCGAAGTTTGCTAGTCAGGGAGTGGGTCCAGCTTTTCAAGGCGCGTTTGTTTTTCGGTGCTGAGCTAGTGGTAGTGTCTGTTTCGAGCTTTTGGGAGTTGTTGGAAAGGCGCCGAGTCAAGACTGAAGGAGGTCTGAGAGATGGACTGCCATTTCGATTTTTGATGGTCATTATACTCTCGCCTCCACCGTTGCTTGCATGTCCATCTTGTTCAATGCGTCGGGCATGGCTAACTGCTTGACTGGCCTCGTCTGGGAGTGACTCAACATTGATTCGGCCAGCCTTGACGGCGTTCAGTAGCCATTGGTGGATATATTCCCTCTGCTCGGATACAATATTGGGAGATAGCCCGGCCTTGACCAAGTCTGGACATATATCACTCCAACTTTCCACATCGGAGAGTGAAGCTTGAGACAGCTGACTCGACAGAGCAGATAAGTTCTCCTCACCGCCATTGAGCATCTCTATTACTTCATCCAGCCTTCGAGTTAAGTCGTTCATGGAACGCCTGTCGAATCACACCGTCAGCGAAACCAGTACCGAGTAAGACATGGGTTTGTGTCAATTGTTCACCATCAGGGAGCCAAATGTACCTTTCCAGATCCCGATCTAACGTGCTGATTAATTCAATATTACCTTGGAGGTCCGCTTTGAGAGTTTCCATCCCGTAGAATTCCTCCCGGGAGCTGCTGCTGTTCCAGTGCGCTCGGCCCCTCTGCGAAGTATTCCCGTAAATGTCGATCACGGATTGGAAGGATCGGAGCGTCCGGCAGCACCTGTTCAGGACCTCCATAATTTCATCCGTGTTGTCAGTTGAAAACGTGTCAGTTTCGAGTCGATCCTTAAGGCTGCGGACGCCGATAAACAGTCGGGAGACATCCGATGCGGCGTCAGCGAAGGCGGCCGCCCGTGACTGTTCGCATAATTGGTATACTTGCCATGCGAGGTCTGGGACGTCTGCGAAGCCTAGATATTTGGGTTAAAAACTGGTCATTGCCATGAGGAAAGAACTTACATGGCCCTGTACTTCTCAGCAATAGATTACCATGGCTCATCACCCCAGGATCCAGTTGCTGTAGCAGGATGCTTGATAGATCAACGCCGCCCTGGGAGGCTAGATTGTTCATAGATACATCTACATAGAGTCACAACTATAAATCAGAAGAGTCCGCATTTGGATAGTAACAGACGATACGCACTGGAATGATTGCAGACATTGTAGTAAGGGGCAACATTGGCAGCCTAATCTCTACCTGCGCGGCTGGGGAAAACATATCCCATGTCGGTTTTATCTCGGCTACTTACCGATTCTCGCAATCTGCCTGGCATTCGAGACTAGGGCATCTGCACAGAGCATTTGCAGGTTCCGTTCCACCTTCCGATAGTTATCTCTATCTGCCTGGACGGTCATGTCGAAGCGGCACATGTTGCTGTGATCTGCGTTAATCCGGAGCTGCGTCTCGCGTTGACCGGGGAGGCCCAGAACAGCGGAGTCGAAGGGTACAACCTAGAAGAAATGTCAAACATTATAACCGGGGAGCTCACAAAGGGGAACCCGCATACATCACCAAGTCCCTCATAGCACGAGAGAATCTTGTATTGTTCGAGCTGGTGTCGGAAGGACTCGCTGAGCAAGTCCGAGAATAGTGTTCCACCCTCTAAGATCTCTATGATCTTGGATGTTTGTTTCATGGGCAGTGACCGGGCAATCCTGGCACAAGCCATGCCAAGCCCAACCTGCATGTTCCTCGAAGGTCCTGCATGCGGCGTACCGAAGAAGACTAATGCGCAGCTACTCAGAAGTCAGCTTGGAGTTTGTATAATACCCATGCCGACGTACGTCGCTTCCTTGATCCCTCTATATTTCTCGTTAGCCCATGCATTGACGAGAGCCTGCGTGACAAATGTCAGCTAAACCTTGCTTTATTTGTATCTCCAGTGTGAGCGGATTATCACTCTACCTGCTTGATCAGAATTCCACCCAGACTGTGCCCAATCATAATAAGAGGAGTGCTGCCATCCTAGATACTCCCGTCAGAAGGAATTGTCCACGAAAAATTCGGTTCAAAGTATATGAATATTCCCACCGTCTGCCATCGCTCGCCATATATTTCGTCCAGCAGCTGATTCGCCTCGCCCACGAAGCTATCCTTAGAGGCGCCAAATACGGGACTCGAATTATATTCGTATAGGTAGATACGGGCATTCGGCTGGGCCTTTGGAAAACAGTCCCTAAGCCACAGACACCCTGCGCTATTAAGTGGCTTGCGCCAGGTATTGAACGCGTGATCAGTGGAGTTTATGGGATTAAGACCATGAACCGCAACGATACTGCAGTGACGGCAAGTATCAGCTTAAGCTTGGGACGAGTTAATTCGGGGTTGATTACTCTATTGCAGGTGTTCCGTTGCCGTCTGGGCCAGTGCCCGGAGCGAGCAAGCGGAGGGACTATCATCGAGCAAATTGGGTGAGTATGCTTGTGGGATGTAAGCGCGGGAGAATGTAATTGACATAGATATACCATGATAAGCCAGGTTCACGACGTGGAAAGTATGGACAACAGGGCGCGTCTTCCCCCGGAGGAGAGCGGGAATGAATTTCAGGTGAGAGAGCGGGCATCAGATGGAAAGAAAAACTCGCCCACAGCCGGCCACAGTTTATCTAATGCAAGATGTAGGGGCGCAGCTGATTGCGTTGGGGGTCATTAGTTAAGGCTAGTACCACGCTACTGCAAGGCTTGACAAGGGGGGGAAGTGCTTTGCGCCGTACATGATAACTGAAATGTTTGTCTGGAACATAACGGCGCAGGCTAAGGTAGGGAGTCCATGACTCCATCCACAATCATCGATCATTACGTGCCGGCGGGGAACATGATCACAGTCCTCCTTTTTTACTGCACCTGACTCTATGGTATTTTCAGGGGAGTCAGCCCCCAGCTCTATCCCGTATGTAATCACTTGGGTATTCTTGCAAGCTTCCAAGGAATCCACCCAACATCACTCTAGTTATTCATCGCCGCGCCGGCCCGACATAAGCCGAGTTCGGAAAACTGGCAATTTGACTTGGAACAAAAAGGTTACTGTAAATCATTAGCTCCGGCAAATCAATTTTTTAGTAGTGAGTGACGGGAAAGTCCAACAGACAGACTGGTCCAGCCCCATGCCTAGTTGTACATGCTAATCACTCCTGTCAGTTGTGGGCAAGGGCTTTGAGCATTTGATAGCCCAACATACCACAGCCTTTGAATACACACATACATACGCAAAAGTGTTTGCCTTCTAAATTAGTTCAGCTGCATATCCAGCACATACGACCACAGGGTGTGGAAAACAGGGCTTCCCGTCCGCTCAGCCGTACTTAAGCCACACGCCGGCCGGTTAGTAGTTGGGTGGGTGACCACCAGCGAATCCCGGCTGTTGTATGTTTTTACCTGTATCTTCTTTTTGTCTTGATAAGTTAATTGCTCTTCGAATGCCATGGTGTGACGCCTGGAGTGGTTGTTATGGTTGACAGGGATGGCAGGTTAGAGATGTAGTTTGATATGATCACTACTGAAGTTTATGTGACAGAAGCTAGGTATTGTTACACCGAAATACACTGATGTTTGCCGGGGGGGAGATAGCTGCTGAGAAGCCAAATGGGGACTCTCATTGGAGCTCACAGGAGTAAGCTGCATTTGTCCTTCTGAGTGGAATATTGTTCTCTCCTCAGAAACGTTGCTCTCAGGAATGTTGCCCCCAGCGATGCGGTTGTTTCTCTTTGGCAATTCTGCCGAGAGTTACATAAACGCAGTCAAGCATAGCTTTTGCCCTTTGGTCATTGCTCTTTGCTGGCTCTGGTGCCAGAGTCAGTGCTATTTGGGATAGACTCTCTCAAGGACTAGGAGGGAAATATGTCGGACTGGCTGGACTGTATTCAGGACTGGCTGGGCTGCATCCAGGACTGGCTGGACTGTATTCAGGACTGGCTGAATCGTATCCAGGACCAGTTGGTGCCTGTTCTGAAAAGTCTTCACTAGATAGATACCACTTCGGGGAGACAGGGGTGAACGTAGGCGATGGAACAATACTATCACCGTAAATATCGCCCAGTGGACTTATAGGAGAACATCTAGGGCTGGTCGAGGTGTAAATGGGGCTCTTAGGATCGTCCTCAAGATCAGTAGAAGCGTCTTGCCTGGAGGCTCGATGCATATGGATCCCACATTGAGTTCCTTCCTGAGACTCTTGGTGTCTTATTAATTCCTTTTCCAGACTGAATCGCTGGACACATCCGTCACATTGATACTTCCGTCGGATAGAAGTAGGTTTCGCAACAGTTCCTCTGTTTCTGTGGTGAATATTAATATGCGCTTTGAGCGCTTTGGATGTGGGAAATCCTATCCGACTGAAGCAACATGACTGTTCAATACATCTTATTCCGCAAGTATGTCGTGATAATTCGTGGTCTTCAAGCTCTTTCACGGAGGCAAAAGCATTGCGACAACCGAAGAAACGACACATAAAAGCTGAAAGACTGAACTGTTCCTTGAATTTGGCCAGCTGTCTCTGGCTGACTCCAGGCGTTTGAGTCGAGGTACATAGGCTTTGCACAATTTGGCTGTAGATTTGTACCATCAAACTCAGCAACGTTGGATCTTGCTGCAGCTTGAACTGATCGATGTCTACAGAGCATTAGCAGCACTGAAAAAAGAGAGCTTATGATAATCTCACCATTTGCACTCGAAAACTGCTGATCCTTGACCGTTTTCCTAAACATGCACGAGTTCTGGATGAAGTCTGCGAGATCTGGAGAGTCTGCCAGTAAAGGACAATGAAATCCGTCAAGGGATATTTTTGGAATATGACTTGGTTCCGCCAGCTGAACTTGGGAATGGCGCGTCTGAAGGCGAGAATCTTTTCGATAAAATTCGTCCGCTTGTCTCAAAATCAGGGCCGACTCATCTGCAGTTATACTTTCCGGCTCATCTAGGCAAGCCAGCAGATGGTACAACCAATGTTCATGGGCATACCAACATAGCCCATGAAATCCTCTTGCAACCTCACTAACATTCTGCTCCGAGTCTATATCAGGGTCCAAAAGGTCCATGCCTTTCGTCAGGTAAGCTAGGCAAGCAAAGGAAATATTGAAATGCGCTTGTATGGGACGAAGAAACCGGGCACCTCCACCATGCACGAAATATCTACTTTCTGTTAGCTTGACGCTAGTTTGATGAGTTTGAGTCCCATGGCATACTCGCGAACCGTAAAGTGGATGAATCTCACTGTCTCATTTCGGCCTTCCTCAAGTAGCGGCTTGCAGAGCTCGAGTGCGCCATCCCGGAGGCGATACTGCTCACTAAAGTCAACGTTTCTTGCATGTATGGATGCTCCACTGATGATCTCGAACTTCCGCAGAGGCTTAATGCCATAGATAATCCAGGATAGAATTCTAAGCATGACATTTCTGTTTGTGTCTGAAGCATTTTCCAGACTATTCCGCACGACCTTTTCGTATCTGGGCAAAGGAGAGGCGTTAAATTAGGTGGAAATCAATAGTCGGCGCAGAATTTCTTACATTTTTTCCACACCCTTCGGCAGCAAACGAACGGTATCGCGAAGCTCTGCCAGACTATGAGCTAGCTTGATAGATGACAAAACCAATCGTACCCATAAAAACATGCCTCGTACCATGTTAGTGGAAGCAAAATATTATGGGAAAGGAATCACAAACCGTCTGCCTTTTCAATTAGTTCATTCTTAATATCTTTCATCGTATCATCGTCGATGTCCATATCCTCCAATGATTTGCGCAAGAAGGTTAGCTCATGAGAAATGAAGGATTCGATAGCAGCATCAATGGCAGGACGCTCTCTGCTCAAATTGACCGTTGATCGTTTTGACATTCGTGCAGCGATTAGCACCGTGTCACGGCTTGAGATAAGAATCTTACAGACGGCCGCCGGATTCCTCGAAGTAGCCAATGGAAGAATATTACTAAGGATCTGTTCCTGTTCCCTATCAGGCAGCTCATCCACTCCGTCGATGATAATTCTAACAGAGCTAATGGTTGTGAGAGTAAACTGAAGTAGGCGCCTGAGTTGAGCGATGGACGGACCGTGCCCTTTCTGAAGGTATTCGTGGTAAATATAGGAAGCACATTCGGGATTGCACCTGACAAATTGCGCCAAAAGTGATCGGAGGGGGTGAGCTTTGGTTTGGTTTTGGAATGACTGATAACCACAGAAGTAGTACAGCACCTTTGAGCGATCCTCCAGCTTCAGAAAGTAGACAATTGTTGCTGATAGAACACTCTTCCCTGCTTTGTATAAGCCTAATCGCGGCGTCCCATGAGAAAAACAAGCGGTACTCACCAGCACCCGGTTTCCCTGTTAACCATACAACCGATTCTTCACTACCTGTGCGAATCCAGGACCGAGTTTTGTGGTTCTGAAATATCCAGTCACACGAATCCTTGTGTTGCAAACTGTGCAGACGGTCCAGTTCATCTTCCTGCTCCCAGTCTTTTACCTGCAGCCAATTGTATACCGCTTGCAACTGACTCATTGATCGATCCTCTTCGCTCTTAGTCCATTCCTCCAGCATCTTCCTGCGGCGATCTGTTGCTTGGAGAATAACCGTCGTCTTTGCTTCCTTATCAAGAAGTTCGCAATCTTCTGCAAAATTCTCAAGTATCAGTTTTAGGCGACGTTCGAACCGATCCCAGAGGTTGTGGAACAGAATTTTCCAGCCTATCTAGCAATTAGCAATTCGAATTTTGCAGGCATGTTAAACTTAGGTGCTACCTCGAGGGTGAACTTGATGAACAGAAATGAGAAGGAAACATTGCAGAGGAAACTGACTCTTCTGATGGAAAAAACAATATGTCTCTAGGTGAAGGTCCATAATGTCGACATATATCAGTGCGAGGACCCGATGAAAGTCTGAATTGTTCTGGAAGCCGACACTGAGTCTATCAAACCGKGGTAGGACCTCAGCTATTTTGGCGTATGTTGCAATGAGCTTTTCCATTGCGTCTATATGTTCCAAGGCAATCTAGGAAATATGTGAGCCATCATCTCACTACTGCACGTGCAACACTCAATTCTTCGGCCTTGCTATACCTGCAAGAGCAATCTAACTGGTGCCTATCGGGGAGACTTAGCTGAGGTGAAAAGAAAGAATACAATTGCATTGAGAACGTACCCAGATCCACGGCAGATATGGCGTCCCATCACACAGTACGTAAACTGCCTTTGAGTAGCGATCAAGGCCTTCCAAGAAAGGATTGATGCGTCTCATATTTCGAAGTAGCCCGTTTTTCGCCAGGGCCTTTTCAATATCTCGAGCGGTCTGATGCACATCTTTCATGCTGATATTTACGAATGATATAGCATCATCATGATTCCTTTCTCTTACAGCCTTCTCTAACCTATCGAAGCCCTCCCTTAGAAGGAGTCGAGCCTGGGGTGATGGCGCTGATGCTATCAAACTATTGCTTTGGTCTACTAATATCAGCGTCCTCTTTCCACCATGAAATGCCATCGTGTAGGAGGATATTACCGTGTAACATCTCAGTATTCCTGCTTTTGTCAGGAGTGATGACTGAAAGAAGCTGCTTCGCATAAGCTGCCGCTGTCAATCCTGCATATCGTTGCCAATGATTGTTTTTGTGAGAGTCTGAATAGTCACAGATGCCTCGAATGACTAGGCAGGGTATTTGATCCATCAATCCAGCTGCTTCCATTTCGAAACAGAGAATCCCGAGCTCTTTTGCAAGTCGGTCTCGCGTTTTGCCATCTTTCATCACCTGATTTCCTGATGCAATGAGACCATAGTGAACTTGGGGTTCATTGAAGGACCGCTGTGCTCGGCTGACAAGTTGATCGCGAGAACAATTGGCGCAGGTATCTTCAGACCCCTTGTGATCATAATTCGCATTGAAGAGCAAATCGTGGTGCGGACCAGGGCTGGCAAAGCTAGTTTTCATCTTAGGGTTTCGTTCCAGTGTGTTCGATATAATCTCGCAGAGATTCCTCTTTCCGACCATATAGCTTGATTCCAAGGAGTTAACTCCGATCAGGAGGGCTTGTGGCGGCTTATCTAGCGCTCCGATTCTTTCAAACTGGCCGCCGCTTATAGTCTTGCCATAGTCATATTGCACCACTCCACCAGAAGTGCCGGTTGGCTTACTAACCACCACATCACCTAGTCTGATATCCGCCTTTTTGTTTGGTACTCCGCCACCAATTCCAACCATCATAGCAAACCGGATGGCAAAGAATGTGCACCGCATCTGTATGGCGATTGCGGCTGCTGACAGCGTACCATATATCCCAGCTGGAAGGCAGGCGACCACCACATTATGACCACAAACCTCTCCCAGAGTATAGCTGTTGGGATCATTTGAAGCCTGTGGTAACCTGGCATGTTCTTCGTCCAGCATGGATGTGGAGGCAGCTCTTTCTAGCGGCAGAGCGCAGATCCATGCGACGCTATAATCTGCGTGTGAGAGTGTCTTGGGTGATGACATCTTGTCGGTTTAGATTGCGGAAATAATATCAGTGACAATTGTAGATGGTAAGTCTCTCGTTGCAATAGAATTGATCTTGCTGCTGGAAGATTCGGAAAGCATCTTAGAGGCAAGTCAGAGGGTGTAGAAATGAAGAGTTAAACCTATATGGAAAGAACCGTGGAGTCACAGTGCCCCGGACATTAGGTGGATGTTGTAAAAAAGCCATTATTATGTAGAGATGCTGGGAGCGGGGTTGTCGTCAACAGCTGAAAAAAAAGAAAAAAGAAACGCTCAAATAAATACGGGTAATACGTGGCTAGCACACTTCGGAATGCAATAAGTAGTGATTGATTTAGCAGCGATGTTTAATGGTTGCAGCCTTGTCTACCCAGTCTTCCAATTGGCTCTCTGAGGGCGATGCGATGATACCTATGCAAGCCCCTGCATGGGCCTCTCAATTGAGTCCAAATGTAGGCTCACTCCAGAGTGGTGGCGTACTCAGCCTTGCAATGGCACTTGTTCACATGATTAATTTTCTCCTTGCTATCCTTGTCTTTCACTCTTTTTTATCCGCTTACGGCGATCCTGATCAATGCGAATGACCATGGAGTTAAGTAATATTCCACTCATAAGGTCAACATCACCATTCACTGAGAGAGACATTTTAGAAGGAACGCCGCAAAAGCGACAAAAGCTTGATGGTTTTGGAAGATCATGGAGTCTTGGAATCCAAGAGGCTACAACTCCGTACCATGAATCTGGAGAAGGCGAAATCAGCAGCGGCTTTGGCGACGATCACTCAGCTACAGCCTCTCCCAAAACACAGACTGGCTCCGTCTTGCAACATGAAGGCCCCTATTCATCTAGTTATTCCTCATCAGCGGTTGCTCTGGACTGTTCAACATCCTCTGATGGGAATATGGGAGAAACCGACAATTTACGAACTCACAATATGAAAGGAACGGTGGAAAACCCGATGACGGACATCATTTGCTGCGAGAACACGACTCTTAATTCAGGACAATTCCATCTAGCAGAGAGTGACGTTGTATGCTTCGGCATGGTAAGTCCTCAACCCCATAGCTGAAGACCCTCGTTAGACCAGGACATAACACGACGTAACCTAGGCTACGGACCTTCCTGTGACGTTAGGCTGCCCTTCCCAGTACCAAGATCGCGAATCGATCGATGTCTTATACGACCCATCAGAGAGCCTAGTGTTAACAAAGTCCCACCGAGCTACTATTGGTCAGGTCAACGATTCAAATACTCGGCAGCTTCTCTCTGTACTTCACCAGGAGTCGGAGTTAGAGTTTCAGTTTCGGGTCATTGTCGAACACACGACCTCTAGAAAATATGCAATGAGGTCGCACGCTGCAAATGTTTCTAAAATATTTATAAGATTGATGGTCATTGTGTACGGTCCTATGCATTTGTTCGAGGACGTGGGCGAGTTCTTTCAGACCAACGATTGCTACCTTCAAGAGCCTCGAGACTGTGACCGAAACGTGCGGTACCGCAATCCGCATTGTATTGCCGGTCTCGACGATGATGCGCCATTAACTTTTGCCCTTGAGCGAGGGCAAGTTGACTGCGAGCAAGTATCAACTCCTAGGGACCTTTTAACAGGGTTAGAAACAGACGAGTTACTACCGGAGGCTCAGGATCCTCCCGGGCTCATAACCCCTCTCTACAAGTATGATAGTAGTATCCTTAGCTGGTCTGCCTGGTATTGACCTATATTACAGACACCAAAGGCAAGCGCTCTCTTTTATGCAACGGCGAGAAAAGGGCTGGGCGCTACGTGTCCCGGCGAGCGACATCTGGAGCGTAGAGGAATCAAAGACAGGGACCAGAGAATATGTCAATAACGTTACTGGGGACAGACAGTGCAATGCTCCCCCTGGGTTTCAAGGTGGTATACTTGCAGATGATATGGGTCTTGGAAAAACGTTGACTATGATTGCATTGATCGCATCAGATCGGCGCTGGAAAGAAGTGAATACACAGATGGATTCCATATCATCTTCTCTGCTATCTGAAAGAGCCTCCTCATCCATTTGGAAATCATCATTGATCACGCCCTCGGATGCACGTGAGCTTAAGAGTACTACTGCAACACTTCTTGTTGTTCCATCATCTGTCCTGCAGCAGTGGCAAACTGAACTACGACTACATCTCCATACCAAAGGGCGGGATGCCGTGAGGTGGACTATTCACCATGGCACGTGCAAACTTCAATCTCGAAAGCAGATTGAAAAATATGCCATCATCATGACATCTTTTCAGACTCTAGCATCAGAGTATCGAAAACACTGCAAAAACCCCAGTGTATTGTTCACGACCTTTTGGCATCGTATCGTGCTTGATGAAGCGCACAGCATTCGGAATCGGCACACCATTACTGCATGTGCTGTATTTGACCTGGAAGGTGCATCTCGATGGGCAATCACGGGCACGCCAGTGCAGAACCGTCTATCCGACTTCACCAGCCTACTCCAGTTTCTACGGCCGTATCCGTATTGCAATCGGAAGACATTTGAGGAAGATATTGTTGATGTCTGGAAGTTGGAGGACGAGAACATTGCATTTGAGCGACTTAGACGTCTATTCAAATTTGTCAGTATTCGGCGGTCAAAGGCCGTGCTGAATCTACCAGAGAAGACAGACGTGATACGGTACCTCCGGTTTAACGCTGTCGAGTCGACGGCTTATCAAAATCTCGAAATACCAATAGCCGACATGATAGACACGGAACTGGAAAATGAAGAGCTTAATTGCAGGAACTATATGCAGGCTCTTGTTAAAATCAATGTGCTAAGAAAGTTTTGCAATTTAGGTCTTTCTGCTCAGGAACTCAGTACTAGCAACGAGAGCTCTAGAGCTACAGACAAGGATCAGTGGAGCTCTAGCATGGCACGAGCTATTCTAGAGGACTTATTGAGCTCGGGGCAAGCAGCATGCTCAATATGCAACAGCGACATTCAGTGGACCGTGGAACCAGATCCTGCTATGATTGAAAGTGCTTCCAGTGCATTTTTAAGCCAGTGTTCATGCTTGATTTGCCTTACCTGCTACAATCAATTGACTGTGGCAGACTCATCTCAACTGAGCGTTTGTGGTTGTCACCAGCCCTGTGAGACCATACCAGTCTCAGTAAATGACTCACACGATCCATATTCCGATCAATGCCTCTCAGATACCAACATGTCGACTAAAGTAATGGAGCTAAAAAAGGAACTTTTGCAATATGGCGACCAAAAAAGGTCTGTCTTGATCTATGGTGCTCTTTTCTATTCACCCTGGGTATCTGATATATTCTTCATAGTGTTGTTTTCTCCTCGTGGACAACTACCCTCGATATGATAGGGGCTATGCTCAATCAAGCGAGCATCAAGTTTGTTAGAATTGATGGGAAGGTCTCCACCAAGAATCGGGAACTAGCCTTGAAGACTTTCGAAAACGATCCCTCGCTCCATGTGATGTTGCTTTCAATTTTCTGTGGCGCAGAAGGGTGGGTACCATTCAATCCCTTAAGACTCACAGGTTTCCAGCGCTGATGGCAAAACCAGTTTGAACCTGACTGCTGCCTCCCGTGTCTATCTTATGGAACCACAATGGAACCCAAATATTGAGGCTCAAGCTCTAGCACGAGTTCATCGTCTTGGGCAGACGAGAAATGTCACCACAACTCGGTTTATAATGAGAGACTCCATTGAAAATGTAAGCTAGCCGCAGTGTCTGCACCGCCGCATTGAGGCATATAAGCTGAACTCCCGATAGCATGTCATAAATATACAGGATCGCAAGAAACATCTTGGAGACCTTTTGCTTTCGCAGCAAAAGGGATCCACTGAAATGACCCGTGCTCGCTTACAACATCTACGAAGCTTACTCAGATGATACTTGGTTCTTAATTTAACTCTTCTCTCGTTAATAACGGAGATTTAATTCATAGGACATGTATTTGGTAGATATTGGGCGAATCAATCTCACTCTCACGGAGGACCCACCTGTTTCTGACGGCCCTTGAGCACCGCCAGGAATGTGACGCGGATGTCTCCTTAATGAGTCTGCTCAGGCACGATGGCCAAATCTTCCTGTTCACTGCGCTTATCGCGTATACATAAGCCTCCCAGCAGCAGGATCTCAGAGGTTATCATGTTAATCTGCCGACTCCCTTCAGCGAGGCTGGAGTTACTCAAATTAAATAGGCATATAGTAGCCCTTGGTAGGATAGCTGCTAGATCTTCAGAACTACCCAAGTCAGAAGCCCTCCTCGGTGGTAAGCTAGCGGATAACGAGGCACCCCTTGGAAGGATTCCTACCGCCAGTATCATGCCTGGTTCCGTCATGAGAAATGTCCGCACGTACCAGATAAACGTATGTTTCTGGAGATATGCCTGCAGAAATAATAAAGTTGCCAGGTGCGTGATGGTAGAAAACCATGTAAGTGTTGTTACCATTTGCCAGTGGTAAAATGAAAGCCCACACCAAAGCTGCGAGTAGCCGCTGATGATGATAGCAAGACCAGTAACCAGCTGCTGATCACTATTACCAGAACAACCTGGATCAACATATCTCGTCAGCTAAGGAAGTAACACGCTTTATTACTACCATTCACACCGAGAGGTACTTACATTCCCAAATATCGGGACCCATTGTGGTGGAATTGTCCTTCAAGAAAGCGTTCGTATCCAATTTTGGATCACAAAGTCCAGTAACGGCAGTGGATTATTTGCTTGAGTTCTAGCAGGCGCACTAAGGTAACAGATGAGAGCAAAGTTCCCCCATGTTGTAATCGCGAAGCCAAAGACTACCTTCGAGAGATTAGGACGTTTCTGATATTTTTGGGGAAGACGTTACCTATCCCGACGCTAGAAATATCAGGATCCGGTTCTAGCGGAGGTGGGGTTGTGTTGCAATTGGGGATATTGCAAGACATTTTATATTGTAGTATTGCAATAGCATGTATAAGCTATTCCTAGGCACGAGTATAGATGTGAGGAACTTGGCCTTTTGCTTAGTTTGTCCTGTCTAGTGCCCACTGTCCTGGAAACAGCCAAACTCGGGCAATAGCAAAAGACTTCTTTTACAAGCTTAGACTCTCCGCCATTTCGGGGCCCTGTTTGGCAGCGCAGTAATAACGGAAAGATCTGTGTTCAGCTAATTATCTAGTATTCCGTCATATTCGGTTTTGGGGGGCGGTCTGAGCCGCTTCCTTATAACTCGGTCCGTCATGATCAGGATTGCGCATAGATATCTCACAAAACGCTCCCAATGATTAGTCGACTATCAATATGCTCTTCGGCCTTAGACCAAAGGAAGTTGACATCACCCAGCCGTCACTCAAGACTGCATTGACTCGAGACACCGCGGTGGCCCTTCTAATCATATCCTACACCTCCACGTTGTATTCGCAGCTCGTGCACATGCCTGGCGATCAGTCAAGCCTGTTTCGGCACAATACTGTACTTGGCACGCATTATAGGGAGTCGCTCTGGATATGAATTATTCTATAAAGTCAACTGTACCAGGGCCTCATGTATATCCAGCTATTTCCTTATCATGAATCATTGTCAAGGCTGGCCTACGAGAAACCAACAATTATGCATCTATTTTCGATTCTCATCTACTCCACTATATTTCGATCCGTGTCCGCTCTTGATCCTTGGTACTTCACTTGGACAGAAGAAGTCCTCAGATACAGACTCCCTCACTGCCATATGCTGCCGAAGATGAGTTGCTTTATATCGATTTCCACGTTGGCATCGGGAAACCAGCTTTGGATTCGAGACTTTCTAGAATGCATACATATATTAGCACGCAGAAAGTAGACAGAATAGTATCTTAGCTAAGGATGTTATAGTGTCTAAATTAGGGAGGGGCTGTGTGGCAACGATTGTGCCCCCCTCCAGGCTATCACGACTCCAAATGAGGGTGACGCAGAGGCTTCTGAGGGGGAGAAGTCGGCTAATCAGCCTACCCCGCCAGAAAAAGAGGACATCGAGGAGCCGTAGAACACGAAGGCTAAAGTTGGGATTTGAGGATCTTGCCAGATTCCCGTTAACAGCTTCTGGTTCTCAGGCGTCATGAGCTCATGATCACCGCCCACCTCTGTCCGGTCTTCCTTATAATCATCGCCTACATCTCCTAATAGGGCTCTGGATAGACAGTCGTTTCATAAAGAGACTTAATGAGCAGCACTTGATTCGGTCCGCGAATCCAACCTTTTTGCTATGAATGTGATCCGTCATCACGTCACAGCAGCTTGACAAACCCTTTCCATAGACCTTTGGAGGTGAAAATTCCGTCAGGATCCACTGCCCTTTGAATCTCCCTCAGCCTTCGCATATTGCCAGTACCGTAACCAGCAAAAAATGCATCAGTCTGCGCCGCAGATGCGTAGTTGACGTACAGATACCGGTTCGCAACCCCCAGATTCTCAGCTGCCGCCTGGAGTCTGCGAACAACATTTACGCTCATCCTCTCAACGGCGGCGTCGTCGCGCCCGTGAGACCAGGCTGTAGAGATCAAGATAACTGAGAGGAACGTCAGGAGACATGCTGGAAAATTGTCCCCAAATTGTCGGGGACTGAATTTCACTTACTGAAAAGAGGTTCGTCGCGCTCGATGCCCAAAGCATTACCACCTCGATGCTTCATAGCAGCGATGGCATTCCTTTGTAGCGGGTAGCAGATAAAGTTGGGAACGAGGTCGGGCACGCTTTTGATAGCCTCAACCTCGTGCGAGAAAATCTGGAGGGCTTGGGAGAGCAGGGAGCGCGATGGAGAGACGGTCAACGTAGCAAACCAATTCCTGCCGTATATCTATGAATTCTCGGGCAATCAAAAGAAGAGGGGTCAAAGACAGAAAACAGACGTAATTTTACGCTTCAGGGAGGAACGCACCGGGTAGCACCCATTGGGCTGGACTCGTTCACCAGACTGGCCAGACTGCCTATGGTTGTGACCCTACTTAATGTTGGGATTTGATCGATTGCTTGGAAGACCGGAGGCTTCTGAACCGGCTTGCCGTAGCGCTGGGTGCCTGTCAAGACGAACTCGTCGCTGCCAGCGACATAGGTATAATACAAGTCGTATCCTAGTTCAACATCACTGGTGAGACCGCTGCCCGTGTACAGCTCGTAAACCTTGTCAAGAACCTCCTCAGTCTGGTTGGCGGAGTAGGATGTCGTGCTGGTGAAGACAGGGCCGTGAGCGAATGTGCGAACGATGAAGGCTGTGACGATGCCGAAATTATTCCCACCGCCCCGGAGAGCGAAATAAAGGTCCGGACTGTGAGAGTCAGAGGCGGTCGTGACTGTACTATTGGCGAGAACAACCTGGACCTGCGTCAGCGTTTGATCGAGCTTGGGCTTGCATGATGCTGCGATTGACCTCATACTCGTAGACATTGTCTAATGCCCAGCCGTACTTATTCGACAAAGGGGACGTGCCTCCGCCCAGGGTATAACCCCCGACGCCGACAGTGCCGACCCTGCCGCCAACAAATGATAGATTCCGAGATTCCAGGGCGTGATAGACTTGGAAAGTGGTTGCACCGCCACCAACGCATGCCTTAGTGCCATTATCCAAGACCTGGACCTCTCTCATCCGGTCCAGGTCCACAGTGACACCTCCGGCTGAGTTGGAATCCCCCGGGTTCCTAGAGTGCCCACCGCCCTTCACAGAGAAGTAGCACCAGTGCTCCACGAGGATGTTCAGGACCTTGGCCACATCAGTGGCACTGGAGGGCTCGACGCGGCAGGCTGGATGGACCTCTTGCTGCTTCGCATCCCAGATCAAAAAGTTGTCGTTATCGGGGTAATGAAGTGCAGAGCCAAAGACTGTAGATAGTTGGGCACACTGGCGATAGTTAGAAAACTTGGAAGAAGAGGGTCTTCGACAAAACTTACTGCTTGTTGACAGTTTGGGATACAGTCTGCAATGGGCTATGATATCCTGGGTAGGATTCATCGTACGCGGCCGCGTTGGTCACAATAAGAAGGTATGCCAACGTCTTAATAACTTGTGCCATGATACTGGGTGTTTAAAGCGAGAGAAGACCTGGAAGTTCTTGTTTTCAAATATGAATGATGATGGTGATGATGGTGGGAATCCTGGGATATTATATCTATTGCTCCTTTCCTGCTCCAGCTTTATTATACTACTCCTGCAATAAGGAAGTTTCGATTCCTATAATAACATGTTCAATTAGGCATAACGCAGGCTTTATCTGTGCCTTGGGATGGGAAGAGGACTATTTGTACCAAGGAATGAGTTATGACGGGATGAATTTCCTTGCTATAACCACATAAGCAGTCTGTTGACAGTGACTACATACACCATGGTGTAGAGCGGAGGTTAGAGCTTACGCATGCACTAAGATGTTTTAGCAGCATGCAGGTGTATGACACTGTGGGTTAATAACTAATTTGCTTGTGGAACAGATCATCCATCCTTCTAATGCTGGAATTTGATTCATACTTTACCTTTTCTTCTCAAATATTGCTATTTTCTAATCACTCCCAGAGTGCATCTTAGGACTCTCAGCAGACCAATTAGACGATGATGCTCTCTCACCATTCAGCACTGCGGGGCCATGGCAATATGACTCTGTGCATTATCTTCCTCCCGGTCTCCAGCCCACCAAGATCTAGCGTTCTATAGTACACCATCCGTGGTTGGACCTGCTTCCTGTTCCTCGGATGAGAAATAATTTGATCTGTGCTGGAGAGTCATTTAATGAAACACAGTTATGCCTTGATATGAAGGGCTGTGGAAGTGTACGCGGGGGCGGATCCGGGACCATTGTCTGGAAGGACCCTTGGAATCCTGCGGGGTGGGAGGCCACAGAGGAGATTTACTATTCTTGGAGCTGGGTTATCCGGAATTGCTTTGCACTGTTTCACTCTACAGATTATTGGCGAGCAAAGCAGAATGAAAAACCGCTATCTCGTACAGACTGACCGAAATAGGTTGTGTGTATTCAGTGGCTATATGTCCATCAATCATGGTAAAGCTTACGGTTTAAGATTTTCCCCTACTCCACTTGTCATCAGGCTGCATTAGTGTCAAATTCAATGGATCCCAAACAGAATTGACCAACGAATTTACGTGAGTCCACCTCGTCGGGAACCAGGTGGAGCAGGTCATGCCAGGCAGCTGGTCAATATATGGATCCCATAGTATTGTTACAATGCACAACATGCACACAGATTTCGTTCCAACCCTGTATGGATGTATAATTAGAGGAGATATGCGGTCAGGAAAGCCAAGGTCCTCCGTCTAATCTGACTACCCCCAAGCTCTTATCCTCCCATCAACACCATGTCTGCTTTTTCTCCTGTACCAAAACCAGCCAGTCTGGGTCCTCATGGGCGGCTAATGTACGTTGATGACAAACGGGCACATGGACCACCTGTAAGCTTTGGAGAGTGGACCTTCTTTGTGTGCACAAAGTTTATTGAAGGTTCCCGGTGAGCCTGGGATCAGTATTTGGAACACGGTAGCGCCCAAATAGGTAGTGATGACATCCAGTCGGATACTTTCTATTGCCTTCGGGCACGGAAAAAGTCCAAGTGCAGTATGTATATAAGCATTGTGATGGTAGCTACATAGGATTCAACCGACCAAAAACAATTATTTTCAGCAGATTCTGAATACCGAGTTTTGCTACTTTTGTTATTTCCCTACCTTTTCTCTACGGCACCTTGTACGGCTCTCAATCCCCTTATCATGGCACATCTTTGGGCCCCTGCTCCCGAGCCCGCCACTGAGCTAGGGCGTTACCGCATTCTCTCCTCCAATGCTGGGATTCGTGTCTCTCCGCTTCAGCTTGGAGGCATGTCTATTGGCAATGCGTGGGCAGACTCTATGGGCTCTATGAGTAAGGAAGAATCGTTCAAACTTCTCGATGCCTTCTACGAAGCCGGCGGAAACTTCATTGATACGGCAAATAACTACCAAGATGAACAATCGGAGACCTGGATCGGGGAATGGATGGCCGAGCGTAAGAACCGCGATCAGCTGGTAATTGCCACCAAGTTTACTACCGACTTTCGGTCATATAAGCTGGGCAAGGGGAAGGCTCCCAACCATTGCGGCAATCATAGGCGAAGCCTCCATATGAGTGTTCGTGAATCGTTGAAAAAGCTGCAAACCGACTGGATTGACATCCTGTATGTCCACTGGTGGGATCAAACCACATCGGTTGAAGAGGTCATGGACAGTCTTCAGATTCTCGTTGAACAGGGCAAGGTACTCTACCTGGGCATTTCGGATACTCCTGCGTGGATTGTGACGGCCGCAAACTTATACGCCCGCGCACATGGGAAGACTCCTTTCAGCATCTACCAAGGTAGATGGAATGTCATGCTACGCGACTTCGAACGGGAAATCATCCCGATGGCCCGCCATTTTGGAATGGCACTTGCCCCGTGGGATGTCCTGGGTGGGGGGAAATTCAAAACCAAGGAGGAAATTGAACAACGCAAGGCCCAAGGGGTGGGCCTCCGAAGCATCTTGACTCCGGAACAAAGTGAAGGAGAGGCTGCAATGAGCGTAGCGCTTGAAAAAGTGGCCAAGGAGCATGGGATCAAATCTCTGACCGCAGTTGCCCTGGCATATGTCATGGCGAAAGCGCCAAACGTGTTCCCTCTCGTTGGCGGTCGCAGAGTTGAACATCTTCAAGACAATATCCAGGCTCTCAGTCTAAGGCTGACGGCATCCCAAATTGAATACCTTGAGAGCCAAAACCCTTTCGATGCTGGGTTCCCAAGCAATTTCATCGGCCCGGATCCCAAGGTGACTGGCAAAGCATCCTTCCTCTTGGCAGCTAATGGTGCGTATTCCTTTGTGCGAGCACCCAGGTCCATTACGAGTCCAGAATAGACTCGATATGTTGGAAGCAAACCTCTGAAGTGTGTATTCGTTTGTCTCCAAACCTCTCATATTGTGAATTAAGGCTCTAGCTAGAAACAAATAAAAACAATGTAACTGTGTTTTGTATGATTACATCAATTAAGTCATGTAGCATCAAGTGCGACGGACAAAGATTGCTGTCTACTAGTGGAATAACAGCTGCATTCATGTGATTAATCATTCTGCCATGTTTTGCACCCCAGTGATTTGCGTATGTCAAGAGGTTGATAATAAATCAAGTTAGCTCTGCTTGTACTCCATCTATTAAATATAGAATTTTGCATGACGGACTCATTTTTGTGGCTGATCCGTATGTGAATCGCGGTATACAGTGTCGTAGGCAATCCAGAGAATCTTGGACGTATCGTGCCGTAGTGCACAGTATTCTTCTGCCAGAAAGTCTGGCAAATCCGCACATCTTAATATACGTCTAATTCAATGGGAACTTCCGTACATCAATCTGCCGAAGTGACAAAAGTTTTTGTTGATGAGAAGCAACTATGTCATGATAAGCTCCTTGTCACAGCACGTGCAATGCCAATATCGTGCGACCAATTCAACATCCAAGTTCGGCGTTATCAAGCAGAGATGACTCCTTATACATATGATCTAATGACCGACCATCGATTGGGCTACGGCAGAGAATCTCTCTCCGACCGGCTTGGCAGCGTCCACGATCTTTCGCATGTCCTTCAGCTCCTCGTCCGTCAACTCGATATCACGAGATGCCCAGTTCTCTTCTAAGCGTGATGCTTTGGTCGTTCCTGGGATAGGGATCAACCCTTGCGCAGCAACCCAGGCGAGGGCGATCTGCGCAACGGAACAACCCTTGCGGGTTGCTAACTTCTTGATCTCGTCCACGATAGCCTTGTTCTTATAGAAGTTTTCTCCCTGGAACTTCGGGACTAAGATATGCATGAGTCAGTTTACCCGGATTCAACAGTATTTCACAACGTGCAAATGATGAGACCTACCAGTGCGTCGGAAATCATTAGGGGCGAAGTCGTCGGGAGACTTGAACTGGAAGTCATCCACAAGCCAGCCGTGTCCCAGAGGGCTGAATGCCACAAAAGCCACACCTAACTCCTTTGCCGTCTCAATCAGGCCACTGGTCTCGTGCAATGTTTCAAAAGCAGAGTACTCGGCTTGAACGGCGTCAATCTTCGCAACTAAGATATGTTAGCATGGTACATAGCACGTGAAATTGCAGACAGACGAACTGGCGTTTGCCTTGCGCAAGGTTGCAGCAGAGCATTCAGATAAGCCAATGTACTTTGTTTTTCCGGTGCGGCGAAGTTCGTCCAGGGCGCCGATGGATTCCTCGAGGGGGGTGCCTGTAGTTGTCAGTTTAGGATACTGATTCGAAAGAAATTTTTACCTGCGCTTGGCGAGTTTTCATATACGTACTAGGATCAATTCTGTGGAGATAGTAGAGATCAGGAGTGAATCCAAGCCTGTCAATTGTCCCCTCGATGTATTCTTTGATGTGCTTCTCCGAGTTGGTTACTTTTCGCTCGGGTCCGAAGACATCAAATCCACACTTGGATGCCACTGCACGGTGACGCGCGGTGAGCCAGTGATGCCAATTAGACAAAGTTAGAGGTCATTGGGCTCACCGAACAGCTTGTCGCGGACATTGTACTTCTTTATGAAATCTCCAAGCAACTTCTCGTTTTCGCCATTCTTGTAGGCAACCTAGATCCACCGCAACGGCAATCAGAGACAAATTCCACGGGCGTACTTGGAAGGGACAGCTTACCGCAGTGTCCCAGAATGTGCAACCGAGCTCGATAGCTTTCAAAAGAACAGGCTCGGACTGTTCAAGATTGAGGTCTGTCCCCATAGCAGAATTGAGGCCCATAGCGCCGAATCCTGGAACAGCGACCTGCTGGTCGCCAAGTGGGAGTGTCTTGACCATCTTGGTGGATTCCGAAGGTCTAAACGACGGTCAGCATCACTATACTTTGTCGTCGGGCACGTGGTTTCACAACTTTTGGAACGTGGATAGGCGGGCGTGTATTTGGTATATGTGATATGGACTTATAATCGAAAGTATTGGTCCTTTGAAACTTAGAGATGCCGTTGCGACATGCGAATGTGAAGGCGAGAAGGAACGCTCCCTAGGTGACTGGGCTTTGATATATATATAGCGGAACGATGGACCCACATCGCGACCACGACATCACGACTATCGGAGGAGTTGAACTTTGTTTCCACCGTTTTGAATAAAAGTTTCATGGACCCATATTGTCATACACTTACATTGTATCGAACTGAACGATCTCCGTTTAATTAGCGAAGGTGTTGAAGCGCCTGTATTGATGGTATTGTTCTGTCTTCCTGACATGCACCACTTATGCACTAGGGTTAGACCTGTATCAATAATACTGGGCCGCGACCCATATAACTCTATCAAGAATACAACCTTCCTACGCTTGCTACAGGATAGAGGACTGGTGATATACCGCTAAGCCACTTTCGCGCAGGTTTTATGATTGCCTGCCTAGATCATGACATGAGCTACGAGCGACCTCGCAGCGTACATGTCTTAGAAGTTGAGTGGATCTCGATTTCACGGAACCCTCCAATGAAAAGCCGAGTGTCATCAATGTACTTGATTACACCAGAACCAAGATAGGTCGAGAGGGCCAAGGGAATCCTGGGACGACCCCAGCCAGCGTATCCAGAGAACGCCCTTGTCTGTGGTATTGTCAAAACGCATGTAAGGCCTGACCACGCCAACTGCTTTCACATCCGCTAGGTGGATATATCCTCCCTTCCATTGTCTCTCCTTCGCTCAAATTTACGTTGACCAACCCTTTTTTGTCTAAGGAGAACCAAAAGGATAGCGATATTCGAGCTGCCCATTTGCTTGACTGCCTTCCTGCAGCCAATTTGTTGATATTCAATTACTTCGCAAGCATGCGCCTCTGTGTGTTGTTCTCTTCGCTGTTTTCCGTCGCAGCTATGGTTTGAACGGCGGCCAGGTCGAAACCGATTTCTCTTAAGCAGGACCGCGAAGAATAGAGCATTAGGGCCACCCTCCGGAACACGATGCCGTCCACAGCCGTCGATGACCAATCTACAATTGAACAATTCGATCCAAACAGAAGACCTTTAAGGTATGATAGGAAAAGTAAATTTGTTCTATATGGAAAGGATGATCAAGAAAACTTCATCACTTTCTGCCAGGCCGGGTTCGTTACTAGCTGTCAGCAAGTGATTGAAGGGGAATAGCAGCAGCCAGTTCGGCAGGAAAAGCCCAAAAGTGTCAACCCAAACCGGCTCTTGAATCTGCGCTTAGCCTACTGAATTGCTATTCCTATGATGAGGAAGGGGAAAATGTTGCTCCCTGGAACTTATTTCTGTTTTAGTTTCCTTGTTATATCTGTTGTGCTTATTGTTGTCTGCATCGCTACAATTGTTCAGAATTGTTAGAAATGCCATCCGATAGTTCAAGGCGCAAAGATATGTCATGATGCTTGATCGAATATTTCATTAACTTGAAATGGGATTGATCAAGACAAGTATACCGACTTGCTCCGGCACTTGACTTTGAGGCTTCACACCCTGTAACTATCTGTTTTTGATTAGTCTGGGACTCTGGGGTACAGTCAAATTAAATCTTGACATAGTGGAGTCAGCCAGGATAGAAATGACTCGGATCAAATTTGCCCACTGGTTAGTTCTTATCACTGGGTCACAACATGCTAATAATTGGTCGATCCTTGGATCTGGTCTACAAACTGTGGTTTGATGACATAGTTTTTCCGATTGGTGCATTCGCCATGTCAGCGGCAATTCTTATTTACCAGAAAGGATTAGCGTCATGCAGGTGGATGACAGTGTGGGTCGAGGGCACAAGATGTAGACTACTGGATGTACAATTGGTTCCCTGGGTTAGACACGACGTTCATAATCAAGACTAGACCTATCGGACGTGGATATGCTTTTCTCTTCACCTTCCTCATCTCTTCTGCGTGCTAGCCAAACCCACAATCCACTGGCGCCCACACCTTCCTGTCATCAAGTTGCAGATATTGCCGGATCGAAAGATCGCCTTTGGGACCCTGACCGGATCGCAAACATGAATCTATCAGCCGAGGGCCCATCTAACAAACGGATCGCTTTACAATCGCTGTCCCAGCGCATTAGCGCCTGGCCAGAGGAAGATTGGTCGGGTATCACGGACCCAAAAACACGCAGAAGGCTGCAAAATCGCCTGAACCAAAGAGCTCGACGTAAGCCCGCCATTCGTTGTCTACTAATTGATGAGTATCGTCTTGACCGCCTGTTCCAATAGGTCTACAGAATAAGAAACAGCTGTCTCCTTTGGGGGGCAGAAAGACAAAGGAGCGCAATGGTTCTCCTTCCAATGGACTACATGAATCAGCCGCACTTGCTCTTGAGCCTCAGATTAAGGACCAAACCCTGGCAGCGCCTACTGCTATTGACTTCACCTCTCTAGAAGAGATTGATGATGTGCACATACTGGAATCGAATGCCCCAACCACAAAAATAAGAATGGCACGATTGGAAATGACAGCCCTTCAGTACTATGCTATGGGTTCCCCACGAACCGATCTGTTACTCAATCTAATCTCACTGAATTTTACCAGAGCCCTGATGGAAAATACAAGAATACTGAGCCTCAAACCTGATCAGCTCCACGATGATGCAATCTCACCATTCAACACCGCAGGCCCATGGCAAAATGATTCTCTCCATACCCTTCCAATAAATCTCCAACCTACTGTGATCCAACGCTCTATTCCACATCACCCGTGGTTAGACCTGCTTCCTGTTCCTCAAATGAGGGATAATTTGATCATCGTTGGGGACTTTGAGGAGGAGACACAGCTTTGCCTGGATATGAAGGGTAATGGGAGCACGCGGTCGGGAAGAAGTGGTATTATCGTTTGGACTGATCCTTGGGATCCGGCGGGGTGGGAGATTACTGAGCCTTTTGCTCGTTCTTGGGGCTGGGTTATTAGAAACTGTCATGATTTGGCTCATTCTACGAATCGGTGGCGGGCGAAGCGGAATGAAAGACCGCTGTTCCGTATGAGTTGACTGGAGTTTGGTAGGTAATGAACGTCTGAATGAATGTGACGATAGTTATCCATATGCCTCGCTTTAGCTGCTACTCGACCACAGTACTAACTTTTAATGTGAGGCCTGGAGTGGGTTTTATGGTTGATGGGGATGGCAGCCTAGTGAAGTTGAAAAGACTAGAGATCCGCAGAACCCTAGTATTGTGTCTCTCAGTAATATGAATAGCATGGTATATTTCCTTGTGCTTGGGCTTTTTGTAAAATTCGCCAAGTGTGCTAATAATGGATCTACTTTTCTTTCCTTTTTTCTTGCATTTCTTTGTCCCGAATAGCAAGGTTTCAAACAGTTTCGCGTTGCGGAGATTGATCAGAGGATAAATCAATGATCGTGTTCCCAGGAAGATGGTAAGGTATATAGGTAGTAATTGTCTATGAATATGATTTGCCAGCCTTAACTCGCTGCACTGGCCCTCGATCCTGTTCATCCTGTTGAAAGACCAGCTCCAACCGCTTCTCTGCCTCCACTTCCTGAACGCTGACTAGATTTCGGAAGGTTTCTGTCTGTGAAATGCGCACACTCGTGTTCTCCAGTACCTTGGTGGGCCTTGAATTGAATGCCAAAGCTGTAATGCTTGATATTGTGTCCCAAGCATGCGAGCTATGCCCTGTGACGAAGGTGTATACAACATAGATAGTTGCGTATAGACAGTATAAAATAAGGATCGAAATAGCGATTCTGATTGCCGTACCATCCATATTCCATGCAAAACCCAGAACACGAGACTGGAATGTCAGGATCATGCTGGGGGTTTTGACCAGGTCACCAATTGGGGTTACCCATCGGAAGGTACCATCGTGGAGATTTTGTGCTGACATGTTGAAGGGACCTGCTGCGTGAGACATCCCATTTGCCACTAACGAGGAGACAATGGCTTCGTGCATCAGAGGGCGTGGCGCAGGTGAGTACAGCGGGTAACTACCGTTTACCGGGCACACGTTCTCAGTCAACAAGAGAGACCGAAGGAGATTGTCCGCCACCGTTCGATTCTGGTTACCAATTTGGGTGGTGATGCTGTTCGCCCAATTTTTCGATATGGAGACTGCATGTGGCGGCCATGCTGGGAGAGTGTTGAGAAAATCCCGCGGGAGAAGACTTTCCACTCGCTGGTCGAACTTCGTGGCTGACCCGTTTGTTGCAACCACTATCCTGGAGGTCATGTTGGCCCACTGCCCGCTTACTGCACATGCGGACATACTGATATATTTTTGACCATTATCACAGAGATCCGGCTGTACGACGATGGCTCCTAGCGTTCGCTCCGTCGAAAAAGGAACATCGTCCACCCAGAGGATCTGCCCCTGCTCTTGATTCTGAACCTGGTCCCAGAGCTGTCGTCGGGTGATATTCGTGTAAGGCGTAGTTTCAACTGCCGTGGCATTTGCAGCAAGATAAGTTACGGGAAATTGAATGGAGCGGTTGTCATTTTCGTCCATAATCGCATTCAGCATGCAAATGGTGCTCACAACCGGATGTGCGATTCGGATGCTTGCCTCACCAGCTGTAGCTGGGTTATTCACTCCTGCAAGTGAGCTAATTACGGCCCTGGACAGGCCTGCTGCAATTGGGACCTGCTGCACCGTAGCCACTGTGCCGTTGGGGGCAAATTGCACGTATAAGGTTCTTGTGAATGTCTCAGAGAGGGATTGAGTACGCGGAACAAGAGTCAAAAGATCGACTGAGTATAGTGGTGGCATCTCCTCGACAGATTTTCCGTATCCATCCCCCAAATCCTTAAACACTTCCTGCGTCCCGACCAACGTGGGCTGGTCTTGTCCCACGCTTGGAAGGTCTCTGAGATACTCCCAGCCGATGGCAGGGGATTGTTCGTTTTCTGCGTTGAAGACATATTTTAGCCGTGTGCTTTCAACTCTTGCCAACATCATGTATCTCACGGTTATAAATTCCATCTACTAAACGCGAGCCAGACTGGATGAATGCCGTCGGAAAGACATCACTGTAGGCGTGATCCAACGCTAACTGGTAGTCTGGTATGCTGAAATTGACGTGTCTGGGCAACATTGCAATAGCGCTCGCAGGCCCGACAGCAGAAGCAAGTAAGATGCTCGCAGGAACAAAAACCACAAACCCCATTTTTAGAAGCAGTGGAAACCCAGGAGCCGTCAAGCTGGCACGGAATTCAGGTGACCATAAATAGCCCACTTGTGTGGTGTGATATGCAGAGAAAATAGCTCCAAAGGGCACTCCGGAGGTGGGTTGAGTGAGAAGGTATTGTTGATAGGCGCACAACGCCGTCGCGATCGAGATCTGCATCAGGATTTCGTGGAACTTTGCGATGAATTGAAGCAAGCTGAACCATTGGCTATCGGTCCCAAGGAACCGTGTTTGGATGTTCAGGATGATGAGCGCTATTGCGGCTGCGAGTGGAATCATATGGAATTGGAGGAAATAACGAACAGCGGTCGACCGGTTCCGCCGTACCAGTATTTTGCGAAGCTCTGCCTTTGATCGGTCCTGTCCATCTTCCTTGATGCGTATACTGCCGCTGGAGTCAATACTGACCCGGTGAGCTGCTACTGGTCCATCCGAAGATGTTGGTTCTCTGGGGAAGCAGCACAGTCAGCCTTTGGGCCCGTCTCTTCAACAAAGAAAATGATTAGTTAGGGACATACTGATTGATATCATTGGTATCCCGTGGATTCCTTGCGGGGTGAAAGTCCCGTAAAGGGACCAGAATATCATAGCTTCCCCCGCGGCTCATATTGTCGCAGGCTGGGTACAATTTAAGGGCCAAATACTTTTCCGAGGCAGCCCCCAGCTTTTAAACATGCCAGAGGCCCTGGTCACTGCTAAGCCACAAATGTAGACCATTTTAGCGTGTTTTATGTGGGTCCTGTTGGATAACATAATATACCTCGTCGATCCAAGCCGATTAGAGTGATTTTTTGTGTCTCACCGATTGGGAATCACCAGCCACATATGAGTACGAGGGGTGGTAAATTTCTAATAGATGGGACATCGACTGGGTACGCAAAGCCCCAACGAACAAAAATAGTTGGATTAGCTGAAGTCCCAAAGAAGATTGGCGCTTGGCATGTTGGCACGCCGCACCGATTTAATCCAAGCGGCTCTAGAAATAATACCGGGTCAATTTATATTTTGTATTCTAGATACAATATTGAATACTCAGTATACAAGACTTTATCTGCGGCCAATCGTTATGCGTTGAAATATGCTCGTTCCCACTTTGCCCAGCGAGATGTTTGTGAAACGCGCTAGGCAGGCCGCGAGATGGAACAAGCCACCGTTGACAGCCGCTATTTGCGTTTTTGATAGGGCAGGGCCCCCCCGCGAAGGCCGCCATTGCAGGATTCATTACCCCACCGCGAAATTTGGGAGTGGAAGACCCCCTCTGCCAGGGTACTCCAAGCCGGCTCTGAGGGAATCGGAGGATAATCCACTTCGGCGGCGGTCATGGCCGCATGGCCCCATGCTACATGCTGATCGTTATGGATGTAGTACCTCCAGTTCTCAGAAAAATAGTCATTGTTCTCTCCTTGGTGGTAATGCATGGCCTGGTCAACAGCAGGATTGTTGGAAATATCCCCTGTGAAGTACCAATATTGAATCAAAATGTCCATCAACGCGCCGCTCTTCCACCACCCACCAAACATCTTTCCCGGGGTTTCCCCGGTTCGATTGCCTGTATAACTGGACATGGTATTAAACACGGCGATGCCAGCTGCACTTTGTATTGACTCTACTGAATCTCATCCCGTTTCCAGTCTCGTGGGATATAGACTCTAAGCGTACGTTTTTCATTAATGTCCACCTCAATAAGCCGAGACATATTCCCCCAGCACCATAATGCCCCAGGCGACCCAACAATGAGACATAAAGATCATCTTGAGGCGCAGGTATGAATTGAGTGATATCTTCGTGGTCAACAAGGGGTCTCCGGAAAGAAGAGCTCAATAATAATGTTTGTCGCTTCAGGGGCGGGCAAAGGTTCATCCGACATCTCGTTGATGGCGCTAAGAGTCCAAAGCGAGGATGTAGTCACGATGTAAGAAGAAGTAGTACTTGTGGCTTTAGACAGGAAGGAATCAATTAAACTTTATCACATACTTCACTATATTTTGGGACTCCAATTGCGGTCAACTCTATTTCAAATAAACAAACGTTGCAACTTCTACTCGGTAGTCGGTAATACTTACGGCCTGGATGCCGCCCACGTGATCCACCAACCCTTAGATAGCTCAATACAACTTCTTGTTGATTGTTCCATGTGAGATGTCACACCATTTTCTCCGTCTCAATCTAGACCCCAATCAGCAAAATTCACCTGCCAGATCCTGAGGTGCATCATGGGCAATATTGGCTGCCATTGGAAATCATCTCCCTGGTCATTTCTTACCTCGATGTCGCAACAAACTCCAGTCTGATTCCATATGCTACAGTTAGCCGAGAGTGGCAGGCCTGCATTGAGCGGCGCACGTTTGCTATTCTTGAGCTGAGCACCCACCCAGCGGCTAAAGGAATTCTCGCAAGTTGTTGTTTGCAATAAGCAAAGGCAAAATTATGTTCAGGAAATTCGTCTCATTATCCAACTTCAGCCATACGATATTAGCACGCACTTCGAGACAGCTGCTGAGCTCAGTCGTAATAACAAAATTTTTGTCCAAACAATACAGAATATTCTCCAGATTCTAGCAACCTGGCCAGAGAACCACCGAGGAATCGAACTGTTCATTCAGGCGCAGTCCCCTAGCGACCCTGGCAGAGGCGACAAACAACGTCTTAAAAGAGCTCGGTACACACCAGATGAGGATCTACTAGACTGCAGATTTGAAAGATCTTACCTCCATGTATCTGAGGAAAACCTACAAAGCCTTCCGCCCGTGATGGCAGTGACGACACTTTCTGTCTATGGGGCGACAAGATATGAACGGTTGATTAGACCCTCAGCAACAGCCGTCATTGCATCAAAAATGCCACGGTTACAGAAAATGATACTAAACCTCAGGGATAACGAAAGACGACATCAAGACCTCCGAAAGCGCAATCGCAATGGTAAGATTTATTCCATTGTATATCTATCAAGCTGACCCCTATCGCAGAATTTGCGAACTCGTTTCATCTCTTGCCCCCATCAGTGCAGAGTTTTGACCTCGTATTCTATAATGACGCAACCGGAGAGACTTTCGAACCCACCAACCTTGTTCAAGGGAAACTGGAGGACCTCTTCAGTGCTCGGTTACGGGACTTTTCACAGCAGCTTACATCACTGTCTCTGCAGTACGCTGTTGTAGGGAAAGAGTTATTCTGGCCTGTTAATGCCGATGAGAATACACAGCACCCATATTGGCCAAATCTAACCATATTCCGCCTCAATTTTGAACCCAGGAGCCCTTCTGGAGAGTGGTATTTTGAACGAGACCCTAATGAAGACGTAGGCGATGATGAGCGAGAGGAAATTCCGCTCCTGTCAGTATTTTTTCGGTCGCCTTCTCAAGACCAACGTGCACGATTTTTGCGTTCAAAAGCATCAGCGAAACTCATTCAGGAATTTTATATCTCAGCTGGAACGGCAGCACAGCGCATGCCACGGCTGCAATATATGGTTCTGAAGTGTTATTCTGGTCTGATAACTCACGAGTTTCAATACCAGGTAGAGGAAAAAGTTGCAACAGCAACTTGGACAGACCTAGCTGGGTATGCACCAGAGGAATGTGTTGTGCAGGTTTGGAGGGATGCCGCTTTCGAGCACACTGGCGTGGAATCGAGCCTAGAGGTCAAGTTGATAGGCAGGTGGACGGACACAACCTGAAATCTTATTGGCGCGTCATTCTTGGCTATCTTCCTGACATTTATACATAGCCTTGTACATAAACATCAGTCACTGCCACTTTAATAGCCACTTGGGGTGTGAGAGGGATTTATGCTTCCTGGCTATATTCATGTATACCTTAGGCAACCGCACGAATGATATCAACATTACTATCTTCTTCACTAATCACAATAAACACGAACACTGATAATCAAACAAAGCGACCGATCCGACTAAGTGCTCCGCCGACGAAGTCTCACCTCAATACCCTCCTGACGAACAAAAAAGCTATTATGGGTCTTCCATTCCCCCTTCGGATCCGCCAATTCAACCTCATATCTCGAGACCAGCGTGGCCATCACCTTGTAGACCTCCATCATTCCCAGGCTCCGGCCAATACACACCCGGCTCCCGGCACCAAAGGTCAAGTCAGCAGCATTCATCCGCTTGAGGCGCTCCTGGTACGCCTCCTCGGTCTCGCGTTTCTCGTCGCGAAGCCACCGCTCCGGCCGGAAAATTTCGGCATCCTCGCCCCAAACGGACTGGTTGCGGGCGAGCACGTAGGGGTTCATGCCGACGATGCATCCTCCGGGGATAAACTGTCCGTCTGGAAGGGTGAGGCCTTCGTTGGGGACGTAGCGCTCCAGACACAGGGCAACACCGGGGTGCATGCGCATGGCCTCGCGAATTACCGCGTTAAGGTAGGGCAGATCCTGCGCAGTCTTGAATGGAACGATTGTGGATGATCCAGGAGGGAGGGTTGAAACCTCATCTTGCAATCGTCTCCATACGGCCGGGTTCTTGAGCGCAAAGTACAGCGCCGCGTTGAGGGTGATGGCGGTGGTGTCCGCGCCGGCGATCATGTTAATCATGAGGTAGGAGATGATCTGGGCGTCGTCGACCACGTCGGGGAACAGGGCCTTTGCTTCGATGAACTTGTCGAGGAAGTCCGGCTTGGCTGGGTCGTGGTATGCTGTGTCTTTGCCCTGGAGGCGGTCGACGAGGTGTTGGATGGAGATGTTGGCGACGGTTCCGAATGACGGGGGCCCGATCCGGTAGATGGGGTTCTTATCCATGAGGTGGTCGAGAATGGGCAGTTGGCTCACCAAAGCAAAGTAATCGATCGCCTTTTCGGCAACGGCGATGGTGTGGTCGAAATCATAGCCCTTCTCGAGGTACCCGATGGGTTCACTGAAGGTGACTTTTCCTACCACGTCCCAGGTATCTATGACCAAAACAAATAAGCAAGTGACTGGTGGCCAGGATGCCTCACTTACAGTAGAGCACCCATTTGCCGATGTCACAAAGACTTCCAGCTTTGGGTCCATCAATAAACTCCTCCTCCAGTCTCTGACATAGGAAGCCAATAGTTTCATCGATATGGGGCTCCAGCGGCAGCACACCCGACATGGAGTAGTGCTTTGCGATTGGCCGCTTCTGCTGCGCATGCACCTGCGGATCGCACTCGCTGAAGAGATTGTAGATGATTTTGCCGTTGTTCTTTGCACTACTTCCATGATAGAACTCTGTTTTGCGGTAGTCACCCCTGGTGCTGTAGATGGTGCGGATCAACTCGGGCATATCCAAGTCGATCACATTGGGCGCGATCCGAACAACTGGACCGTACTTTTTGTGCAGCTCCGTGGCGAGGATATGCATTTTCCCCTTCCGGACATGATATATCCGCCAGAGGTTGGTCCATCCTGTCCCAGGTACATCCATTAGGGGTATTGCAAAAGGAGAACTGAGATATGCCTCACATACCTGCAAGAATTGGGCCAGGGAAGCGGCGTAAAGGGGAGATGAGATACGTCACCAGATACCAGACAATGAGAGCAGCGCATAGAGCTCCAACGAATGGGTTGACGAGGCCTCTCCGTCCGTAGTCGAACGCCACAGACTGAAATGCGTCCATTATGGGTGACAATATATTGTGTTTCTGGGGGATGAAACAGAAAAAGATACAGAATCGACAGGGGCTGATGCCTGGGACTGCAGTATTTACACATCTCCCAGTCCCATGGCACTCATTTATTGCCTGGGAGGGCTTTCGACTGTAGATTGGAAGCTGGGGTCTAGATCCTTGATTAACGCCCGCTACCGTTCGCTAATGCACAGGCCTGACAAAATAGGTAACTGGTATCCGCACGGGCCGTCTTCATGGTCAAAAGTACCATTGTTGCTCCATGAGGGATACCCCCGATTGGTCCCGCCGTACGAGATCCTACATGTCCAAAACCCAATTGGAAACCCCTCAGAGGCATCCGTGCCGCGGAGTGTCCTGTGCGTCCTGCCAAACCGATGGCGCGGACCAGATGACACCTTGCAGTGCTAGTCGAACCTGACACCTCATCTGCAGCTTCAAGCACAATCATGATTGGAGGGGAAAAAAAGTTTAATCTATAAGAGTTGGAACCTATCACATAAGAAACTACGGAAGAAGTTTCCTGTCCCTATAGCCTGTCCTGTGGATATCCCTCACTGAAGGTAATTTCGATATTTGGGACATGTGGGCACAAGCAGATCATCCTGCAATTGTGGTAATGGCTGATATCTATCAAGTTGATGGATCATGGAGGCGCTCGTTCGGAAATGCGGAATGTCAATTATTGATCTTCAGCACGCCGTTAGAATGACAGCTCACGGACGTTCTATTTCGAGTGGAAAGTACGAAACTGCATGTATATCTCTCTGCTCGAAACCAGCCAGCTCAATCAGACATTCCCCTCTCTCAACTTCAAAGAATAGCATCCTCAGCAGGTACGACCTCAAAATGGGAATGGATAAAGGCACAAAGGCTATTGCCGTCATGTGGGTGATGACCCTACTGTCATTCATATTCGTGCCTCTGCGCCTGTACACGAGAATCTTTATCATCAAGGCACTCGGGATGGACGATCATGTGTACAACCTTGCCTGGGTACGATTATACCATTATCTTGCACAAGTTTCGTGGATTGACTGATGCCAGGTCTTCTTGCTGCTATACACCGTGTTTCTCACCATTTCAACTCAGCATGGATTCGGGCAGCCCATCAAGACCTTGGTCTTGGACGAGGCGGTGCACGCGATATACATGGAATTGGTTGGGCAAACGTTCGCCGTCCTGGGAATGGCCATCGCCAAGCTGTCTCTTGGTATTTTCCTCCTCCGCATTGTGGTCAAGACTTGGCATCGACTCTCGATTTGGATATCCATGGTCAGCCTGGCTTTAGTCTCGGTCCTGACGGCCGTGATTCTCTGGACCCAGCGAGTGCCGTCTAGGTCCCTTTATGACCCACGCGTCCCTGGGCGGACTGTCGTCGAAATTTATCCCTTTTCAATATTGCTTGGCTGTAAGCGTTTGATTTGTCGCGGAGAGTACCCAGACTTAAGCTGACCGATCTAGCATGGTGTGCCGCGGTGGACTTTTACTTTGCCATCCTGCCTTGGATCTTCATCTGGAAACTGAACATGAAGCAGAAGGAGAAGTTAATCATCGCCTTTAGTTTGAGTCTGGGCTTTATGTTTGTTGCTACTCTCTTCCATGTCTCACAGGAGATGCTGACTGTCCCAGCGCCTGTATCTGCGGTGTGGTCAGAACGGTTGATTTGAGCGGAATCTCAAGTTCCAATTACACCGGTCAGTAGCCTGTGCTCGTACCACCTCCAGGGTTTATTAAACTGACATACTTGGCACATCCCAGAGGACACAGTTGATCTGATCATCTGGTCAGCCGTCGAGCTCGCAGTGACACTCATCTGCGTCGGCATCCCCACCATTCGCCCCCTATACCGTCATATCGTCCACGGGTCGCGGATCAAAGAATCCAACGAGGGTTATAAGAAGCATAACGAGAGCGGCGAGGTCCACATGAAGCCCCTGGGAAGAAAGCCTCGGAAGGGTGATCTTGACACCACGACGTCGACAGTTTTGGGAGATACTGGGTTTGATATACCTCGTGGCGAGAACTCCTCGTATGTTCAACATGTGAAGGATACAGACGAAGAGAGGCTGGTGGGTTCTCCCAGAGGGCCGCATGTCCACTCCATCCAAGTGCATGAGGAGGTGACTGTTGAAAGGAGCTCAATGATGTCAGCCTAAAGGTTGTAGGTATAGTAAAAGAAGAGAAAGGAGCAAAAGTAGCTAGGGTGTAGGTGTTTAGGGCGCTGCTGTACTGTTCTAGGAACTGAGTTGTTTGGGCCAGGATTGGCTGAATTATTGATGTTATGGAGAGTGGGGAAGCTGACTGTATTAGTCAAATATATATCCGAGAAGACCAACTTAGGTACTGTCTGCTGCTTTATGGGTGAATATTCAATTCCCGGTTTATATATATATGCTGGTGACAATCTATCCACCGCATGCACCAAGCCCACTGTTTTTTAACCTGCTATGCTACCTTAATACTCTTTACCAAAATTCGAGCAGGTTTCGATTTAGATAGGTAACAGGTGACTGGGTGAAAAAACATACAACAGCTGGGATTTGCTGGCGGTCATCCACCCAACTACTAACTGGCCAGCGTGTGGCTTGAACATGGTCAACATCCAAGTAAGTGCCCTGCCTAGTGACGGGGGGCGATGCTGCTTAAATGAGCTGGTGATTAGTGTGAGTGCACTTTCGGGAGGCGGTGATATCTAGAGAATACATTACCTGTCTGGAGCATACATCACCTCTAGTGGGCCTTATTTCCTCGTTTAAGACAGTCCCTGCCTTTATAGCCAATTCAGGAAGTGCATGGCTTCCTGGACACTGTCGACAGCACGAAGCGTTGCAGAGCAGGTGTAGGCGGTCACAGAGCCGCTCGTAGTTATACAACTCAGTGAGTACATCTAAATGGTTTGCAGAGTAAACACAGGACTCTCAGTGCAGTTTAAATATGCGTCTGAGGTGTATGAGAAAGACCCAGAGACTGTCACTGCCTAGGCAGCGCTATATCCCAAGGGGAAGGATAGATACGGAAAGAGACAGCAAAGCTCTAACTGGAAATTATGAGCTTAAAACTGCTGATCAGTTCATTGCCGAAGAGGACGCCATCTACGCTACTGATGTCAACCCTGATGTTTCTGAGATGACTGACCATCCAGTGACCACCCCTTGTGGGATAGAGTATTAGCTTAACAAACCCAACGACTTGCACCTAGGTACAAGGGTTCTAGGTCTCTCTTACTATGGTCACTCACCAGCTTAAGGGTCTGGGAGTCTAAATCTGGACAGCTTTAGCAGAGGATGTGTCAAAGCATTTGGAAAGAGTAAGAATATGCTGAACCGTAACCATATCGAAAGCCATCATCTACTTTGATTCTGCTCTCAGAGTTAGAAATTCTCTACAAACAAGCGAGACAAATGTAAATCGACTGTCTATCTGACAGGACTTGGGAACTAAAATTCACGACTGTCCACAATTTCCATACCGTCATCAACACATCACGGGTGGCAGGGTGCTCCAAATTTGATGGAATCTCTTGGAAGCACCCCTCTGTACGCGTACAGAATCTATGGGATCAACCGGTACAGGGTATCGTAGATCAAGGTGCTAACTGCCCGTTTGCCGATAATGGTCCGTACTTCCGCTGAGTCATGAATTCAAACCTCTATGATTGGCTTAGCCACAATGAATGCTTTTACTGGCAAAAAGTGATAAATGCATATCTCCACAATCAGACCCGGTACCCGACCCGATAGCCGGTCCTGCACCTTGTCGGCCTTCTAAGGGTCATGGTCACGTCGCCCCTGAGTAGTGGCCGAGTTTACAAACTCGGCATGCGATCCATGCTGCGATGGCCGGAACGTTCCCGGGATCCAGCGCACACTCAAAGCAATGTGGCCTTATAAAGGCATAGCACCGCGCTCACGATGAGAGAGAGTCATACCCTCGTCCAGCCGCAATGGGGGAGCATCCAACTTCGTCTTCGCCTCAAGGGGGCTTTTGGAAAGAGATGCGTAAAGGCTTCTTGGCTGCCATTGGCATGAGCTTTCTTCTGCTGCAACTTCTATTCCTCGGGAATATGTCATATCTCTATGCGACTCAGTACCAAGATACAAGCCGCATCCACAATCTCAACCTCTTGTATGTCGATTACGACGGCGGACTTATTGGTCAGTCAGTCCTTGATGCCTATGGAATGTTACAGAGTCCCCGCTTTCCCACTCTGGACCAGTTGCCTGCATCGGACTATCCTGATCCTACCGATGTCAGAAAAGCCGTCTGCAAGGGCAACTACTGGGGCGCGGTGTACTCGAGTCCAAATGCGTCGAGAAACCTATCATTGGCTCTAGCGAGTGGAACAGACATTGGGAACACGCTCACCTATGTCTGGAATGGAGCCAGATACCCAGCCTTTGCACAGAGCGCAGTCTACTCCAATATCCTCACTCTGGTGGGAGCAGCAAGGTCGGCATACTATGCCAGCAACGCGTCGAACATTGTAGCATCAGCTCCACTATCGACCAACGCCGCCAGTCTTCAGGCCTTCCTCAACCCCATCCAAGCCACGGAGATCAACATCAAGACGACCGAGCAGGGACCACGCGTCTTGTATAACACCGTCTCTATAGTGATGCCGATCATCCAGCAGTTCTTCTTCATGATGGCGCTGAACGGAATCTCGGCTAAATTTCATGTCCTGACAAAGCTCAGCCCGCTTAGCAACGGTCTGCTGCGCATGTGCGTGTCACTCGCTTATACCTTCGTCGCGTCCCTGTGTCAGACTGGATACACCTGGGCCTTTCGGGAACACTGGGATGTGAACAGCAACCAGTTCGTGCTATGCTGGATGGCGATATGGCTGTATATGCACATTAACTTTCTCCTTGTGGATGTCACCACCGCGTTTGTCCCTATGGAGTTTCTCCCGTTCTGTATCCTGACGTGGGCGATTATCAACGTCGCCAGCACCATCAGTCCGTTCGAGTTGAACCCAGGCTTCTTTCACTGGGGGTACGCGCTTCCATCGCACGAGCTGTACCAGGTCCTCGTGCAGATCTGGAGTGATGGTTGCGAGAACCAGCTGTATCATGCGCTGCCTATTATGTTCTCATGGTGGGTTGTCGGGTTAGTGGCTGTGGTCTTTGCGAATCGTCACCGGTGTGAAATGGCGGTGAAGGCGACGGTGGCTGAGCAGTAATTGGTGAACTGGGAGAGAAAGGAGACGAAACAGGACGATGCCATTTCTTGTGACTGGCAAGCGATTCTCAGTTCACAATCGAAAGCGGTTGTAGAGACTCGCTTGCCACAACTGTCTGCTCGGCCTTCAGAGACATTGAATAGCAAAAGGTACGCGAAGGATTGATCTATATGCCTGCTGATGAGTACGAGTCAAGTTCCCATGTCGATTGCTTCTGCCACTGTACCTTTCATACGGGTGTTGATGATCATCGTTGTCCCACTCGTCCTTGGGATAACGGTAACAGCTTCCTCTCTGTGTACATCTACGTGATCGAAAGGCACGCAATTTGGAGGAGAATATTGGCTATGTGAAGACCTGGGTTTAGTTAACTAAAGAACATCCTGGTATCGTACCGGCTATAGCTGGCAGACTTCCCTCTCTTTCACCACAGGTCTTCGATTAAAAGATTAGCCTCCTTTCATTACTATCCTGATTCCTCTGGCTATCATCCAAGGCTGCTGGCTTGAAAGTCTATACAACTGTTGCTAGTTGTTTCTCTTATTTGCCAGCCTTACACCCTACCTCTCTACAGTTTCACTGTAGTAACCAGCTGTCGACCTTGAAACACTCCAGCGACCGCTGGAGACATTTTACGGAGGAACCAGTAATAGTGAGTTTGGTTCAACATCCTTTAGACCATCGATTTGTACCTCGAAAAAGTCTATAGGATCGATGGATCCCCACATAGCTTTTAAGTAGCTTGGTTACGTTAAGTAGCCGATCCAATCCACCAGGTTCATATATACAAAGTGGATCTAGCCGGAGCATTAGTTTCATTTGTCGTTCTCTTTTCTATACATAATTGAGAGACAAAACTTGACAGGCAATGGCCTTTGAGATGGGGTTATTCTACGGGATATATCCATTCCATGCATCTGATTCGATCCGAAATCAGGGATGATTGTATGCGTTCAACTTGTCTAACATGGGGATTTGATCTCCTTTTTGTTTTTATTGCTCAACAGATAGACACATGCATAGGGTAGCATTAACATTCTTGTCAATCTTCCAGATCAAGGGAAGCCGCCTCTTCTGGACTGAAGGGCGTGAAATTCTCACTGGCCGAGGACTTTTCAACCAATAACGAATTGACAGCGGACATGGTGATGAGGTTGGATGAGCCGTCATGGCCTGCCTCGAAATTCCCCCAATTGCCATATTGATCATATATAGTGAACTGATTTGTAAACCAGCCACCACCGTCGGGGTATAATCTGCCCATGCCTTCAAGAGTGAAGCGGGTGAAACAGAGAGCGCCCTGTCGTTGATTGATTGTAATATCGGCTCGTGCGTTCTTGTTCCCTGCTTGCTTTGTTTGCTGCGAGCCCATCAGCCACAAGTAGTGCAGGTGGCTTTGTTCGGAATTAAAGGGATTTCCCTTATACCGCGAAACTCGCAAATAACATCGCTCAATCGGAGGATCGTTCGCCGGGTTAAAAAAATGGCCCCTGATTTGGACTTTTTGGAAGCGATGGACCTTGCTTGAAAAATAATAATTGTCCTGATCGAATAAGAAGTTCCCATTTATAGTCCTCCCATTTTTGGTATCCTCTCGGTCGAACTGGACATTGCTCATGTTGTAATGTACAGGGTTTATACCCGTAATGGTCACATGGGAATCGAGCCTGTTCGGCCCACCGCCGCCAGTATGATAGACGGTCCCATCGGGAGCCCGGATGCTTGCCCCGATGTTCTTGTGCTCGACTTTCGAGGTCGAAACCCACCAGGTTTTCTTTTGGAACGCTGCAGTTTGATTGGACCCGTCGGTTTGGGGAGACTCATTGCTCGCAGTTGACGGCAACACATGGTGGAATTCGTTTTCCTGGCCCGAATAAGTCCAAGGGGCCGACAGTTGCGTCGTAGGACTGAAATAGTCCACAAGCTTGATAGTATTAAGCTCTGCCGCGCTCAGCGTGTAGTTTTCAGTGGTGTTCGGCTTGAGTGCCTGGATCGACACGAATACAGGTACCTGCATTTGACCATTGGCGAAGAGGCTATCTCGGGTGTGATCGCCTGGGCTGGTCTCAACCCTCATATCGCTGATTTCCCACCGTACAGCCATGATGAGGTATGTTGAGATTGTAATCAATCGATAGGGGATATGAAATGAGAATGAATATATAACTTTTGAGAGGTATCTTGAGGGGATATATATATGTTTTGCTCGACTCCTCATTCAGCACGGGTCTCCCGACGATAACACCTTCTGAGATAGAACTGATGTGTTGGCATTGACAACTGAGGGGGCAACAGATCCTCTAGACGCTGCATGGCATATTGTCTCCACTGACAAATGTGCTACCTCGGGCGCTTCTGACAATGTATTATGCTGTAGCATGCAATATTGGCTTTGAGGTCTTCCTCTTCCAGCCCCGTCCATCGGCTCTGTAGATGAAATCTTACCCAATAGGAAATATGGCTCATACAGATATCCATGTATAATTGCCTTAAACGAAGTTTTCAGCTGGGAGCTTAGCATGAAGCTGCATATACCCATGTGAACAACTGACCAACCATTTTCATTCCGAACCCCCCATGGACTCCCAGCTGAATATCTTGATCTTTCCTGCAGGTTCCCCGCTACTGGAATGTAACCATGGCCTCTGGACACTAATAATGCCCAATAGAAAATAAGTATACAGATTAATCATATATAGATCTCAAATATAGTTTCAGCTGGAGCTGAGCTCCAAGATGCATCTACCTACTGACCAACCATATTGATTCGGAACCCCCGGCGAACTCCTGATCTTTCCTGCAGATTCCCCGCTATTGAAATGTAACGATAGCCTTCTGACAGGATATTGTACGTGTCAACTCGGAATATGACAGGACAAAGCAAGCGTGTGGTTGACGAACAATGTTTCTTGCCCAGTGGGAAATTTAAAAATGTGATGAGTATATAAGGCTATTTGGGTTGAGATATGGTTCCATCATCCTCATCCTCAGGCCCTTTGTTTTCCCCCACACCATTGAGAAATTGTTTCAAGGGAGAAAAAGAAAAGAAAAAAATGGCCAGTCAAACTTCGTTTTACTCTCAGGGCTTCAATTTTGAGAGCTTCCTCCAGAAAGGGGTGGACCCTCGCACTGGACAGTACTCATGCTCGGTCGACATCTATGAAGCACCGGCCCAGACGCGCAATTGCCCTGAATTCAAGCTCACGCTGAGCTATCATGCTCTCAACACCCAGGACGTCGGCCTCGGCACCGGCTGGTCCTTTAATCTCTCCTCGTATGAGCACCGGCAACGGAAGACGCTGATGCTCTCGACAGGGGAGAACTACCAGGTCACCGAGACACCCAGCGTTTTCCTTGTCAAAGAACAAAAACTCAAGAGCTTCCTGGCCAAGAAGACCGGCTCTGACTATGAGGTAGTCTACAAGTCAGGCCAGACAGAAATCCTGTCCAATGCGAACGACACTTATGATCGATCCGTCCCGATTGCGCTGTATGGCTCCAATGGTCGCTCCCTCAAGTTCATCTGGGGACGATCGGGTTCACAGCCCCGGCTCAGCAAGATCCAGGATGGTGGCGAGGATCTACTGGAGGTAGAGTACGAGACTGACACCTCCCGAGTGATGATCACACAGAACCCCGGCACCCCGGAAGCCAGCACCTTCACCCTCGTTCGAAGGCAGAACGAGTTGAGGGAACTCCACTTGCCAGTGAGCGGGACGCCACCTTGGGAGTTCAATTACGTGCCATTGGGTCAGTTCACCCGCCTCTCGCGGGTGAAAAGTCCCATAGGATTGATTGAAGAGATAAACTACAAACGGGACGGACATCGCATGCCAGCCCGGGCACCGTATGAGGTGATCCCTTATGTGACTTCGCATGTCGTGCGGCCAGGCCGTCAGCAGCCCCCGATAACAACGTCATATAGTTACTCTTCGAACAACTTTCTCGGGTACAATGGTGTCCGGGATTGGAGTGCTAACGGAGATAATCTGTATCAAACCGCCTCGGAATATCAGTATACCTCAACTGTGGAGGTCGAAGGCGGAATGAAAACGACGTACCAGTACAACAAATTCCATCTTCCCGTCGTGACTGTGCAGCAGCAGGGCACGAAAAAGACCACGCAGACCATTGAATACTATGCTTCTCCTCTTATAGCATTTGATAGGCAGCCTGCACAATATCAGCTGCCAAAAACCGTGACGATAGCCTATGCAGACAGCCAAAGTCGGGCGGAGAGGAGCGAACTTACTAGATATGTGTTTGATGAATGGGGGAATCCAACGCAAGAAGTCAAACCCGACGGCGTGAAGACTGATCGCACCTACTATCCCCCAGAAGGGGAAAAGTCCGGGACTGGGCAGGTGGTATGCCCGGCTGACCCCCATGACTTTTTTCAGCGCTACCTGAAGACTGAAACGCTGACACCGGCGACAACCGTGTATCCCACACCCACCCGGACTGAGCGCTTTGCATACCATGAGCTTCGCACAGCAACTGGTGCCCCGGCGAAGACGTTTGGCGCGGTCAAGGACCGCACCACTCACGCGGGGAACCAGTTACTGAGCAGCGCAGAGCTCTCATATGTCAACCAGCCGGGGTCGAGAGACCATGGGCGCATCCAACAGGAGACCACATGGATATCTCGGAATTATGCTACAGTACAGGATTCGGTCTATCAGTATCCAAGCAGCGTCGAATTCAAACGGACTCTGACCACTACCACCTTTGACGGCGTTATTGTAAGGGACGAGACAACTTTTTCTCTGTGCTCCGGATTACCCGTGCTTCAGAAAGATGATCACGGTGTGCAGGACCGCTTTCAGTATGATAAACTCGGCCGGATGCTCAAAGCCACGACAGCACTGGGCACCCGATATGAAGCAACGCGCCAGAATGAGTACTCCATCAATGAGGACGGAACCGGCTGGCTCTTGTCAATGACGGATGCCAAGGGCGTCCAATCGCGATATATTACCGACGGTCTGGAACGGGTATGCCGGGTGGAAAAGCAGGACGATGATGGCATCTGGGATGAGACGACGGGAAAGTATACCGGCACCTTCCGCCTGGCACAGGAGCGGAGCTATAACGCCCAGGGTCAGTGCAGCAAAACGGCCGAGATTGATTGGCTGATGACGAAGGGCACGCTGGTGGAACAACGTAGTACTCAGGAACTGGAGTACGATCACTGGGGACAGGTCTGGAAAACAACAGACAGCAGTGGCTTGATCACAGTCGTCCTCACAGATCCGATCAGCTTGACTCGGTCGGAAAAAGTCGAGGGTGAAGGACAAATAGTTACCCAGTTAAATGTTTCCCGCGCTCCAACCGAGACTAAGCTATTGCGAAAAGATGGAACAACCCAATACAGCAAGGTCGAGTACCGCTACGATGGCCTTGGTCGCCTGGTGGAGAAGGAAGATATTTTGGGTCGCAAGACGCTGTACGAATCCGATCCTTTTGACCGCGTCACGAAGACCACTTGGCCGGGGGGCCGGCTGGTCAATGTCGAGTATGCCAGCCAAAGCGCCGCCAAGTTACCTACCGCAGTCCAAGTCCAGGGCGTCACTCTGGCTGAGCAGTCCCTGGATGGGTTGGATCGTGTCACGGAGAGAACCGTCGGCGCGCGAACCACGAAGCAAATGTATCAGAGCAGCATTCCACAACCAGCACAAATTACAACGCAAAAGGGTCATGAATCCAACCTGACCTATGAGTCAGGCTTGAACCATGCACTCGCAGAAGTGACTGGCCCGGGCGTTGAAGATGCGTACGGTTATGACCCGCAGAGCGGGCTTCCAACGCGGCTCAAGTCATCGTACAGCACCCGGGACCTCCAGTATTCTCCATCAGGGCACCTGAGCAACGAAACGATCCAGATCGCCCAAGGCGCAGGCTTCTCTGCACAGTCGACCTACTCGATGGCTGGGAAGCTGCTCGGGTACACGGATGTGCACGGACAAGAATATCAGGCCGAGTATGATGCTGCTGGCCGAATGAAATCGATGAGCCTGGAGAAACTGAAAGAGGAGATACTGAAAGTCTCCTTGTCGTACGATAATTCAAGCCGTCTATCACGAACAGAAGTGCAGGACAAAGCACGCAATGTTAGCCTAGCCTCGAGTCTCTCCTATGATGACTTCGGCCGGGAGGTCGAGCGGACTGTTTTCCAAGGGACCAAAAAGCTCTATCAGCTAACCCAATCGTACGGGGAGACAGGGCTAGTAACTGCGCGTCACCTGGAAGACGGAGATGGCAATCTTTTACGAGATGAGGTCTTCGTGTACGATGTCCACAATCATCTTGTTGAGTACAATTGCGAGGGGAGCCAGCTGCCTTCGCTTGAGCAGGGCCGGCTTCGAAACCAACACTTCAGCTTCGACGAATATGACAATCTAGTGGAAGTGAAAACGCGCTTTGAGGATGGGAGAGAAAATATTTCGCGCTATTCGCACAACCCAACGGATCCAACCCAGCTCATCCGGATTACCAACACCCACCCAGATTTTCAGGCTCAAATCGACCTGCAGTATGATGCCAATGGCTGCCTGACCCGAGACGAGCAAGGTCGCACCCTAGAATACGACAGCGTGAACCGCTTGCAAGCAATCCGAGATGGAAGTGGTTCGGTCGTCAGCCAGTACCGCTACGACGCGTCTGGAAGGTTGATCTGTCAGATGATCCCCGAACAGCCAGACACCTATCTCTTCTACCGAGAGGACAAACTCATTGCCACGAAGGCAGGAGATCGCCAGGTGAGCTATATATCTGATGGCAATGAATACTGGGGGCAGGTCATCCAAGAGGGGGCAACCACCGCACAGACCCAACTGTGGGCTTCTGACGGCCATCAATCCGTTCTTACCTGGTTGGATGCCCACCAGCCTGGTCAGATTCACCATCAGCAGTATACGCCGCATGGCCACAGCGCCGCAGGGCCATCGCCTTCTATTGCCTTCAATGGACAGTGGCGTGATCCCGTGACCGGATGGTACCACTTAGGCAATGGGTACCGCGTGTACAACCCAGTCACGATGCGGTTCCTTACGCCAGACTCATGGAGCCCCTTTACCACGGGCGAGATCAACCCTTATGCTTACTGCTCCGGTGACCCAATCAACCGCGTTGACCCCAGTGGTCATTTCGGTTTTTTCAAGAAGCTCTTCCAGAAGTTCAGTTGGAAGAATCTTATCACCATGGTGGCCGGACTGGCAGTCAGTATCGGGGTAGGCATCCTCACAGGTGGTGCCAGTCTGGCGATCCAAATCGGGGTCGGAATCGCGGCGGGGGTTGTGGCGGGTGTTGCAGCGGGCGCCTTGGGCGATCTGGCAGATGGAAGGACGCCAACCTGGAAATCGGTGGCAGTCGATGCCTTTGGTGGACTGGTCGGCGGTGCCCTCGGGGCAGTTGGCGCGGGGGTCGTATCCGGCGCATTCAAGACCGCCATCCAAACCCAGCTGGGTAAAGTTGCATCCTACGCTCTGGTAAAAGAATCTTTCAAGACAGTGCTAAAGGGCGCCGTGAAAGATGCTGTCGTTGGGGTGATCATTGGCGAAGCGGCAGGCCATGTGATTCCCTACGAAAAGGCCCTATACCCATCCTCCAGGGCGAATGAGTCTCAATCTCAGAGCGATTCGAATGACCAATTACCGGATCAGTCCTCTGGGCCTAGGGACCTCAGCAGACCAGCTCCGGGGCAAGGCGAGGGTGCCTCGACCAACCTGCCAGGTTCGAGTTATGGAGTGAACTCGGGAGTGGGAGTCGGACAGTCTATTCCCGATCTGTTGAATCGGGAACTCACATGCACTTTCGGGCCCGTGGGCTTACCCCAGGGCAGGCCACAGTCCATGGGGAGTGGTGCTCTTGAGGCCCTCGAAAAGAGACGAAAGATGTATGTCTCTATGAGAAGCAGCATACGGAGACCACAAGGATCGACTGGGGGAAATCCTATGCCTGGCTCTGGAGCGTAGGAGTAAAAGGAGATGAGTACACAGTGGAGTTCCATTTATTCGAGTTAATGGCACACTTCACATTAACCTCCTGTACCTACATGGTGCAACTAAAAAGGTTGCTAGCTCAATCTATAAAGGCTAAACAAAAAAATTGCTCAGCTAGTCATGGAGAAGATTAAAATACTTCTAGTAATACTAATAATGTGAACAGAACCAAGCTGGATACAGGCTAACCACTGAGCAGTCCCATAATTTCTACCTGCCCCTCGCTAACCGCCACGTGGAAAGGGGTTTCCCCTTCAAGGTTGGTAGTAGTAACATCAGCTCCACAGTCAATGAGAGCCTTAGCGGCTTCAATCTCCCCTTCGTGAGCTGCCATGTGTAGTGGCGTTTCTCCGTGGTTGTTGCAAGCGTTGATATCAGCTCCGAACTCAATGAGCGCCTGAATAACTTGTCGAATCGCACCATGGCCAGCCGCACGATGTAGTGGGGTGTCTCCATCATAGCTTGTCGCATGCACGCTCGCTCCACATTTGATGAGAAGCTGCACCATTTCCATCTGGTGTGAGGGCTCCCAGGTCGCCTGGGCCGCACAATGTAATGGAGTAATTCCATCGCTGTTCACATGATGAGCTTTGGCACCATGCTCTATAAGCATACGAGCTACTTTGACGTTTCCTCGCCGACTAGAAGTGATTGCGAAAAGTAATAGTTCATTTAAAGAGCGTTCAGAAAATAAAGGCGTATACTTGCGCTGGCGGCTTGTAGGACCCCGAGATCTCGGATAGGCGCGAACTCTAGTATCAGGCCCTAAATCAAGGAAGAGCTGTACGATTTCAGGGCTCCCTCCTAGAACTGCGTCGTCTAATGGCGTTCTCCTCATTCCACCAGCAGCGATGAGCTTTGCTCCGTAGTCCAGAAGTAACTGAACAACACTCAAGTGCCTTTCACGAGCTGCTAAATGCAGCGGGGTATAGTAATCATCATTTCTTGTATTGACATTTTCTCCGGATTTGAGTAGTAATTGGACTATGCGATCATGTCCACCGGCAGATGCCAGCATTAACGGTGAGCTATCCTCCATGATTGGTTTTTGGGAGTAAGTATATGCGCCGGAAGCAAGAAGGAAACGCACAACATCTTCTCGGCCCGTGCTGGATGCGAAGGATAATGCTTTCCGCAAATAGACAGGCGGGCTGCAATCTAGGATCCTCTTGAGTGTTGTCGTTCGTCCCTTTCTAACTGCCCACTCCAGGACGCTCTTGCCGTCTTTGCCAACGTGGGTGAGTGCCAGGGTATATAGATGGTGAGTAAGGATTTGGTTCACTGATCTGGCCGTCTGCACGAATGAGTTTAGTGAAGAGATTGATAAATTCTCTCCGATTAAGAAGATAATTTCATTCGGTAACTTAAAGATTGGTGGATAATGCGAACTGCAGGTAACTGTTCCCATAGTTTCTTATTTATAGAGTGTCGCGGCAAGATGATAGATTTCTGGGCAGAATCAGACTGCTTGAACTATCAGGAATCAGTGTGTTTGATTTGACGCCTGCCTTGTGAGCTTGTTGATGGGCAACTTAGGTTTATTTTGTAAGAAGGATTCATTATGAAAAGAGTGGATAACAATTGGTAAAGGTTTTTCTTGTGAGAAAATACTGTCTAGATACCGGATCGAGACCGGTCTAACCCGGAATTAAAGGAAATGTTGAAATGCGGACATGGCTGACAGCTAAGCCCATCATCCAGAACTTCAGCCTCAAAACTGCATCTTCTTCCATATCGGTGTTCGCGGGATTATGGGTTTCTTCGTAATCCTATTGAAAACCACGAATAGACATCTCAAACGACGTACCTCTTTCCCATGGGGCCCTGACTCAGTTCGGGAAGAGATCAACGTCAAGGGCCAATGAGACTCCCTCGATCCATTCAACGAAGAAACTAGAATTGTTTAATAATGATAATGGCCCCGAATACGAGGTGCCAGCCACTCTCCAGCCCATACCCCAACAGCCCAAGTTACAAGACGGCTAACCCCCATGCACATATTAGGATTGGTGATACCGACTGGTTTTACTAGGGTTGCATTTGGTCTGAGTTCAGTATTACACAAGAATCTCTACCTGATTATCTTGCTCTCGTTTCCTGTATGTCACCATCACCAAGGCGTTGCGCAAAGGCGGACAGCGTCTGAAGCGTGATGGCACGGCAGCGCACAGGCAAGGCCGCAGCAAGCCACTATCCTTCTCAAATAAATGAAGCGCGGGATGCCCAGCTCCTCCAAGTTTTCAGCAAACCAAATAGCTGGGTTCAATCAGGGGTGAAGCCCTCTCCGCTTCGGACAACCGCGCGGAAACGGGGCCGACTGAGCAAGGCTGCTGGGTTCTTTGACGCTGTGCCCCATGAGATCCTAAACATGATCTTGCTCAATCTTGACTACCTCTCACTAGCGAAACTCTGCACGACAAACTCAAAGGTCGCGGCATATATCAAAAGACAACCATTCTATAAACTTGTGGTGGAATACTGCCATAATACTCTGCGGAGCATGGCAATGCTAGACCTACACCGTGCTCACGACGCAAGACACGTCTATAAGGCTCTGGTCGACCCGAAATGCTCGGCACCGGGATGCAAGAAATTAGGAAACTCGCTTTTTTTACCAAATTGTCGCCGTTCATGCCTCAACTGCCTGGGACGGACACCCATATCAACAGCACTCGTGCTCGAGGCCGCCATAAACAAATACGGGTTAAGCAAAATGGCTATTACTGAAAATATTCTTTGCTTCAAGCTTCCCAACCTCCCCGAATGGTTTGTGGTGGCCGCAGAAGCGATTGACCTGGCAACTCGCTTATACGGTAGGAGGCCGGTCGATTCTTGTTTACCACTGTTATGGTCAGAGATGGCTACAGTTCCATTCCCATTTCTCGACCCGGACAGTAGGAGATTGGAATTTGGGAGGCAATGTCGAGCGTGTTATATGGCATACGTCGAGCACAGAGATATCTGGACCCAAATTGAGATACCTCCAACTGACTCAGACAGTAAGAACTGGGAAATGAAGTTGAGAGATCTCGAAGAGCGGGGACTTGCTGTTTTCGGAATCAGGACGCTTTTGAGTCATGTCCGTAGCGGTGACTGCCCGGAGGCTACGGTGTTCTGGTCACAGGAAATAAAGAGGTTGTAGGATGTCCCCATTCTGTTATGCAACTCAATTTTCCCATTGTGATAGAGGTGTAGAAGGCGGAGAAGCTATCCTAAGAGGATAACTAAATGACACGCATTCCAGTGACCATTATAGAAATGTTTAACCATGCAACATGACACACAGGCTTGATGCTCACAATCAAGAAGTTTGTAATCGTTTATCCCCATCTACAAGGCACATATAAGGACAGTCCATTGAGGGCGCCTGTTGTCGCAGCCAAGGCTCCCCACCATGGCCTATATTCATGGACTGGCTGCAGGTGAATTCACAGCCTGCTGAGCTGATTGCGGGCCAGCACTGGGTTGAGGCCTTGAAGTCTGAAGATCCTATGGCAAACATCCCTAGACTCCACCATCCTGCCTAAATATGTCTGTGATCTCTATGACAAGGATGCTCTGCCTATGGGGCTACACGTTTAACTTCGCGCTAATCTCTGGGAGCTGATCCTACCTGACCGCCATGGACAGACCTGGGTGGAAAAGACAATTGAAACTAGAAAATCGGGACAAGCGTGAGTTTTCTGATCGACCTCTATGCACGAGGAAATATGCTCTTTTCGAAATGGCCGGATAATCGATGGGACCTATCGAATTTCTGGCCACAACAATTGAGTAGACAGCGGGAGAGCTTTTTGCTGCATGATCCATTGGTCCTGCCAGTTCTATGGGCCACAGGCGACATTTCCCAGCTACACATGGGCCGCCAGCGTATTGTAATTGATCATTCGGAGGATCTTGTCATCGCCGAGATCTCTCGCCAGTGGATCAATATATCTCGGGAGACAGATGGACGGTAAGCCTCTGTTCCGAACCGTGGACTTCGGTACTTTTGCACCCGCAGACCTGAGCATCAATTATGTTGTCTCGTAGTAAGTTAACTCCATCAGGGCTCGGCACTTGTTGCATTTTAAAAAGGACAGCATTCTCCAAGATGATCTGACGTGACAAGCTGTACGTCCAGCGACTCTCTAATCAGCTACCCTATATTCTGGTTCTGTCACTTTGCTAGTGCCAGATCAAAATGAGCTCTACCAGCAGCATTCTTGTGATCGACGCCGGCGAGCTGGGCACATACGTCCTTCAAGCACTCCATCGCCACCCACTGAGATCCAAGAATACTACTATCTCAGTCCTACTGAGAGAGAGCTCTATCTCCAGCGCCGACAGGAGCAAAGTCGAACGCATCTAGGGATTGCGTAAGATGGGCATCACCTTCACGCCCGCGGACCTCACTGGAGACTCGGAAGAGCAACTGAGTTTGATTTTCAGGGATTTCGAGGTTGTCATATGCTGCGCGGGGTATATGGCGGAGAGCGGACTCCAGCATCAAAGTATCCAAAGCGGTCCTTGCTGCCGGACTGCCGTTCTATGTGCCTTAGCAATTTGGCCTGGACTATAAGGCCACTGGGCGTGGCTATAAGCAGATTATGTTCGACGAGCAGCTAGATGCGAGGGACTTGCTTCGATCGCAGAGCACCACTCACTGGTGTGCGCTCTCGACGGGGCTGTTCAGCAGTGTTATCTTTCCTCCTGTCTGCGGCCTTGTCGATGTAGAACACAAGGTCATATATGGGCTCGAGGATTGGAACGTACCAAGCATACCAAGCTCGCAGAAGCTAAAGACTCATAAATTCAAGCAGCTTTCACCACCCTTACATTGTCCAACAATGATTGTTACCACCAAACGATATAGATGTCATGGTGAACTCAAGTGCCCCGTGTGCAGTTCACGATAGGAGCCCTTGATGGACTCCTACGGGCTGACTGCAACGAGAATGACGGCAAGGCATTTTTCAAGTCCAGTGACAGGAATGAGAGAACCGAAACATTAATTAGCGAAAGCTAGCCCAAAACTTGGACTTGGCAGACGTAGCATAATTCGGTCTGTACTGGCTCAGGCTACCCATCGGGAAGACTAGTACGCTACAAAAGGTTATGCCTAAGTGACAGGTTTAGGGGGGGAAGAAGGACGTACGGATCACTGCACTTGAAGAAATTATAATAAATACCTAAAGATGGGAGTCTCACCTCTCCGTGCCCGCCACTTGTTGGTGCTCTCCAATATATCTGGACACCCCAGAATCACCCAGCCCCATTTCTTGATAAAGCCCTCTGTTATTTCCCAATTTCTGGTATCAGTTGGTTCACCCCACACCAACAACATATTGTCCGATGCATCTGGGTTCCAGAAGCCTAATATATCCAAACAAAATTCGTCTTCATCATAGCGGCCTTGGGCGCAGATCAGGTTTTCCCGGGCCTTCGGGTGTGGGAAAAAGTCAAGCCATGGATGATGTGGCAAGGAGCACTGCTTGGGTGTCGGGCGTAGGGATGGAGGGAGTGTCGTCGTAATGATGTGTGCCGGACCAAACTGGTTGAAGGGGGATAGGACATCTGCCTCGCAAAGGCCGTCTGCAACCAGTCCTAATAAGCCGATATTGTGCAGGAAAGCACGATATACGTTGACTTTAGTGAGGACTAGTAGGTGGTCGATACTGGGGCAGCCCTGAATGTAGCTCCGGTAAGCAGCCGACGCGAAATTTTCCAGCATTTGCCGCTCCGTTTGTGGTGGGCAATTGGGGGTCTGTTCAAGCAATTGAACCTGCTGGTGCCTGCGACTTCCTTTACGCGAATTAGTCCGCGAAGCAGTGATGTCCTTCAGTCGGTATTCCTGCTTACTGTATGCCCTCTGGTTTAGCTTGTTCTGTCGTCGGCGCCGCTCGACTGGATTTGTGATGCCATGCCAGTCATCCTTGTCTGCTGATGCTGCGATACGTTCTGCGGTAGTCGCATCATGTAAGGCAGTACTCCTTTCGCAATTGGAGACAAGCTTCTGCATTTTGACCACCCATTTGAGACCAGAATGTCCCTCAACTGAGAAGCGTATGAACGAAGTTTGAGTGACAGCGGAAACCATGTGATATGAACTAGTGTAGCTCCGCCTACCACACCACTTTGTTTGGGGCAAGCGGTGTGAGTAGGCGGAGCCATGAGTATGTAGATCTTCTTCAACCCCGCATGGCAACCACACTAATACTGATGGACATTATGTGCTACGATGCCCCCATCACGGCGGAAGTCTTGTCTTGCATGCGTCCAGTCCAAGCGAAAATGTGACAAAGGTCTACCCATATGCCAACGGTGCCTTGCAAGGAAGACTGACTGTGAATACAACGGCCGATATCCCGACCGACTGCGGCAAACTACCGGAAGAAATGTAGATGAAAATGTTGCCTTTGCGGAGCCGTTTGCGGGGGAAATGTCCAGTGATTGGCAACTGCAGCGAAGTCCCGCGCTACCAGCGGCAGCAATACTCTCGTCCTGCGCGAATGATGCATTCTTCAACTTTGGAAATAGTCCTTTCAACCTGGCAAGCATACCGCAAGATATCTTCCTCAGCTCTGCTGTCATCGAAGATACAGTCGCTCAGCAAAACTCGAACGATATCGGGAAGGTCATCTCGGATACAACTGCACAGGCTCGCGTGGAGTTTGCAGCAAAGAGGTTAGCTATGATTCCGAAGACTTTTTCCGAGAAAGGCCAAACGATGTTTATCCACCGTTTCTTGTTCAAAGAGAGAAGCCCTCCGGCTTTACAGGATGCCCTCAGCGCTTGCGCTCTATATTGCTTGAAAAACGCGGAGAATCAGGTGCTAGTATTCCGCAACTTGGAGCACAGACGGCAACAGCTGATCGCCGCCACTGATCCGCTCCTCGCCTCCGAGATGGATCTCCTTGAAGCGCTACAAGCGCTGATACTATACCAGATAATAAGACTGTTCGATGGTGACATTCGCCTCAGGGCCCAAGCAGAAGCGGACGAGCCAGTCCTCATACTCTGGGCGGCACACCTTAAGTTACGCACTTGTCAAGTGCAGCCCTCTCCACTGGCTCCACCGGAAGCGCCACTTCTGCCGGAAAGCACTTCTACGGACTGGCAGCGCTGGCTGATCGAGGAGAGTAGCCGACGGACAGTAATAACAGCGTTTTTATTGAAAGGAGTATACAACTTTTTGAAACTCGGCTACCACACAGTTCCAGACCTGCGAGCGAGCTTCACAGCCCAAGCGGCGCTTTGGAATTCGCAGTCAGGAATTAGTTGGCGGAAAGCACACAGCGAGAGAGAGCGACTCGAAGTGCGGGTGACGCATTGGGACGAGGCAATAGCAAAGGCGAGGCCAGGTGATTTAGAGGAGCTCGGTGTACTGCTAATGGCCATGTTAAAGGGGATAGAGGCCACCAGAGAATGGTTGGGGCATAGCCACATTATTAGATATGGTTTAGAAGGAGCAGAGTACGGTTCGGTATGAGGTCTATCTGAATTCAAGATATACATTTTCAGACGGGTTAGACCTCGGTTTTTCATCGGTGAAACCTTCGCTTGTTGGACATCACGTAAAAGTGAATGGAGAGGCCGCTGTTTGTATTAAACGTAGGAACCGGGAAATAGGAACAGCATGTATCGTACAGGCTGGCCGTCCCGTCGCGGCCGTGAGGTACGTCCAGGGACATATAAGCCCTTCCCCTCCCAATAGTTAGCTCCCTATCGAAGACAACTCAGTCATCCGGCATCCGCAGCCCCTCATAGGTGGTAGGAGCCCGTTTCCACACAGGGGCAGCCCGGTTCCATGCTTTTGGGTGTTGGTCGGGCGTCCTTTACATTAACACTCATTTACGCGACTTGGGTGGTGACAGGCAGTCCGTTACACAGCATGTCATCTTAGGCCGACGAGATTTGCCTCGGAATGCGCGATTCCAGCCAGTGCGTAGCTATGTGCCTGCACGCCACTTCTTAGTCTTCATTCACTCATAACTTGATAACGCTCGCGCTGTTGTTCACTCGCCATATTCGGAAATCCTTGATTGCAGCCCTAGCGAGCCGCTCGGCACCGCTTACACTGCTGGATTTCTTGTTAACTGCTTCCGTATTAACAGCCTTCTTTGTCGGTGCTTCTTGGTCAGCGGGGCTAGAGATGGCGTTGATAGAACGCATTTAGGGGTCGAGGACGCTATCAAGAGCGCATCGACTGAATGTTTCGCAGGCTGCACGCAGTTAGAACTAGACAAGCGAATAATGGGCAATCGCGTCAATAAATGCCCAAACGATTAACCGTCTCCCTCAAAGGTCCGTTCCCTTTTTTAGGTCTATTGCGCCCAGTTCTCAATGTCGGACAGTCGGGGAAACTTGACGATTACCAACGTGGAGTGCGCGCTTACGTACCTGATATGCAGGCGTTATAGTCTTCAAGATACTCTATGACGATGAGATTGCGGATAAAATTGTACAGCATTCAACTCCTATGTACTAGCAATCAATAAACCCTCGCTAGGCAGCTTCCGCACTTGGGGAATCACTAGTCACACATCCGCTTCAATTGGACCTGCGCTAGGCATGAATTCTTGGCGTGTTGAAGCCATTGTAGCGCATCATTTCTATCGTCCGCTGGTCGAGTAGTGTAAATTGCTTACCATAGCAACACATTCACCACTCGTGAAAGAATTGCGCACTGTCGGTAAGGTTGCGGAGTATGACAGCGTGAAACAAGAGTGTCTACGCTTGTAGTCGGACGATGTATCACGATAAGAGCACAGTTGAATCTTAGAACTGCCCAATGGTAATCGACGAAACTCCGCAAGTCCGCAGACGCTGCGGAGAGGAAAACGTTTAGGATTTTGGAAGCCAATGGACATAAATACGGACCATGCCTCCTCCACCTTGAAACTTCAATCACGCTGTTCAGCCCTTCACATCAGACAAAATCATATTTGTAGGTGCTCAACACAATTATTGCCGTGGCATGTGTTCACACCACATAGCAAAAATGTCGGTCCAGCATCAGTCTCTTAGTCAGTGGGTGACACAGCTCAACGACACATTATTTATTCAACCGAACGACGAAATCGCCCTCAAGGCTGTCCATGAGCAAGTTGATCCAAGCTTAATAGTCAAGTACGCTGCCCCAGCTCCGTACATCTTGTTAAGCACATCTAACCCAGCCACATTGTTAGAATCAACCACAACGTCTACAGTTACGACCAATTTAAAACAGGCCTTCAATACGCCCGTAGTTCCAGTATATCGATCCAAGACGACTTTTCAGTGATACTCCAATGGGAGAACCCGGGGAAACTAGACGGCGTGGTGGCGGTTTTGAGCAAATGGACGTCCAAGGATAAGACAACTGGCAATGAGATCAAGAAGACCACTGTTATTCTCTGGGAGGTCAAGTGTATTGATGGCAAGAGGAAGCTTACGGGGCAGACGGAGGTAGAGTCTATGTAGAACAAGTCTGGAGTTGCTCCGTTTGAATCAAGAGCATCATCTTTTCCTCGCTCGTGTCAATGTGGTCTGCTATCTGCACAGGTTTTCCTTCGATTCTGATAAGCTACAAGTAGCCTTCGACATATACCTCTACGTTTATGTAATCATGGAGGCATGCATCCCCCGTGAACTTGTCAGTTACTGGATGCGAGGCTCGTTGCTGACTTTTGAAAAAGTATTGTACAACTGTTTGTTTATGTTTTCTATTCCTAGTCTAATTGCCCCTTTGAACAAAAGGGAAGCTTAGGAACCTTGCCCTAAAATCCCGCCGATAAATTCGCGTGATTAAGCTGAGACTCGGTGTTACAGCAGTCACCCAGGTAATTCCTTCCGTTTTCAGCAAACAATATGGTTCCAGTCAGACTATTTCTCTTTTTCCTCCTTCCTGACGCCTCTTATTCCAATCCGTGACATACGTGACATACGAGTGTAAGTTTGTCATAGTGTTGCTCGGAAAAAATTGTATCAGCAGCTTCTGTCGATCATATTAAATCATTATTTTCTGGGCCTCCATGATGAGTTTGTCTTCTATAGGATGACTTGCTGGACTCTCCCAAACAGCGGTCCATCACTTCTTCTTTAGGGATAGTTCTCCGACAATATAGAGGATAGGGACTGGAGAGTCGTGTTGGGAAACTCTAGGTTCTGCTAGGTCTTCGCTGTTATCAAATTGGGATAATGGCTCTATATCAAGTTTCGTCAATGACAATCTGTTGTCGTATAGTCTGTCGGGCCTTAAGAGTATTGAGGGTCAACGCCACAGCCAAGTATGCCTGAGACCAGACGAACGCTTTGACAGTATCCTACTGCGCGCCTTGATCTTCACATTGGATCAGCGCTATGGCCTATTTCATGAGGAAATCGGCTGCAAGTTTGAATTAAAACTAATAACTAATAACGGATACATCAATCTGATCGCTCGACGGTAAGGATACATTGATCAACTAATGAACCCTTTAGCTTTCATCTCCCTCTCTGTCCATTTCCACAGCCGGTTTTGCAGATCGTCGGCTGTAACCCCCCGTGGCATTTTCACAGTGCCCTTCTTTGCTATGGGCTCAAGGTAAGTTCCTGACAGTGCTGCATCGAAACCTTTTCCTGCGATGGCGAAAAGCTGAGTCCAGCTCCCTTGGTCGGTGTTGAGCATGAAGCCCACTCTACGAAGTAGCCATATTACAGGTCTCGAGGCCAGAATCGAGACTGCAAACATTTGAATATTGGCGCTCAGGTTGCTGGTGGTAAAATTATTAGCATATGACGTTATCGACGGGTTAATGTACCTACGTGTCTACAATACCAGGATGTAGAGACGCCGTCCATATTCCCTTCTTATTGAGCTTTTCATGCAGTGAAAGAGCGTGAAGGTAGTTTCCGAGTTTGCTTTGGCCGTACCTTACCCAAGGGTTGCTGCTAGGGCCTGGCCTTTGGAGATTAATGTCTTCAAAATCAATGCCTTGCGGCGGCGCCATCTTGTGATTTGACGAAGAGACATTAACAATACGGACAGTGCCAGCTGGCACTGTAGTGGCAGTCAGTTCCATGACGGGAGTCAAGAGGAAGGTGAGCAGCCAGTGTGAAAGATAATTTGTCTGTTAGACAATTAACAAGCAGTAAGACTCCCTTAGTAAATCAAAACGTCTTACCTGCCACTGATATTCGAACCCGTCCTCGGAAATTCCATTTGCCACCGCCATGATTCCTGCGTTATTTACCAGTCCGTGCAACCGCGTCTCCTTGCTGTCCATAGAAAGAGTTAAAATCTGTTTGATAGCAGCTCAGGACAGTAATAAGTAACCTTGGTGATCGTACCTAAGAAACTCCTCTGCCGCACTTCTGACCGAGCTCAAGTCTAGCATATCCATCTTTAAAACAGATATGTTTAAATCTGCTCTTTGGGTTTTGGCCTTGATTTCCTCTATAGCCGCTTCAGCCTTCTGAAGGGATCTCGCAGCCATATAGACTTTAGCATTGTGTTGTGCAAGATGTAGCACAGTAAATTTCCCGCTGAGACAGATTAGTCATCTCTGTGCCATTCTGGTAATGCTGATCTACTCACATTCCGCTATTCCCACCTGTCACAATGTACACCTTGCCAGATAAATCTGGGATGTCGTTGGCTGGAGAAAACATCGCTAACGACTCGCAATTAGTGGCATACCCTAACAAACTGACTAAATCGAATGAGTGAGGGTATAATAAATTCCACAGTAATTTCGATTTTCGTGCCAGAAATTGTGTAGGCCCTCCCATTTATATGACGCTCGCGGGCCACGGAAAAGTTGGGGACCGGCCGAGCCGATGGCAGTAACTACATCCGAGCCGGAACGATTAAGCCTCCGGCAAAATGACACCCCCATCTCCGATGAGCGCATTATCTCTTAGCTTTCCACACCCTGTCCTCATAGTGGTAACATGGACCGGGTCCATATCCTTGTTTGATGTGCGCTGCGGAGTTTGAGTGGAGTTTGCCGTGCACTGCGGAGTTTGACCATGCGCTGCGGAGTGGCGGCACACGTGGCGAACCACTCTAGTGTCCGTAGTGGATCCATTTACCTTCTGCGCTGTCTGAGCGAGCCCGAGCCGAACGTTTCATTCTTGCAGAGATATACCAGAGATACAGAAGCAGGTCCTTGAGGTACGTTAGGATAGATCAAGGGCTGCCTGGTGACAGTATACAAACTCTAGTTCCTGCGCAGTTGGTGGTGAACCGGGAGTCATACCTGCCTGAATTCCTCGTAGTGTCTGGTTGCTTGCGGAGAAGGAAAAGTTAGTTCTATCAAACTCCGCATTTATTATGCAAGACACAGGAGAAGAGCCCGACTGCAATATCTACCTGGCGCGGATGACCGTAGGTTAAAAACCTTGATGGCACCTTTTGCGTGCCATACCTCAGTCAACTAGCCCGGCAATTATTGTCCTTTACCGCGCTTTTGTCAATCGCCAGCCAATCTCTTACTTTTGGTCACCGTTAATTCAACACGGTCGCGTCGCTATTGTGACCGGCTCTGGTCGTGGTTTGGGGCGCGAATATGCCCTCCTCCTCGGCCGCCTTGGGGCTGCAGTAGTCGTGAACAGCACCACTCCTGCAACAGCAGAGGCCACAGCAAAGGATATTATCGAGGCTGGTGGGAAAGCCATCGCCCATGTTGGTAACGTGGCAGACCGCGAGCTTGCGAATGCCCTCGTGAAAACCGCAGTCGATAAATTCGGACGCATCGACATCGTCATCAATAACGCCGGAGGAGCCAATGGTTCTGACTTCGATCGCATTTCAGACTCTCAGCTTTGGGACATGCTACGGGTCCACCTGGGAGGATCGTGGAACGTCACACAGGCAGCCTGGCCATATATGAAAAGCCAGAAGTTTGGTCGCGTCGTACTGATCACGTCGCCCATTATGTTTGGGAGCGCCCAGCAGTCAACCTATGGGGCTGCTAAGCTTGGCCTTCTGGGGTTGGCCAAGTCTCTCGCGATTGAAGGGAAGGAGCACAACATCTTTGTCAACACAGTTGCACCTATGGGTTTCACTCCTGGTTCGGCTGCGAGCGTTCCGGATGAGCAGACCCAGAACTTCATGAAGGAGCACATGCCCGCTCGCGATGTCGCCCCCACAGTGGCGTGGTTGGTCCACGAGGACTCCAAAGTCAATGGTGAAGCTGTCGCCGCTGTTAGTAGGCTTGTTACCCGCATCTTCTTGGCTGAGACCAAGGGCTTCTTTGGCTCTGCGGACAAAGATTGGACCATTGAGACTGTCAGGAACAATTGGGATAAGGTGGTTGATGAGAAGGACTACTCCGTCCACACTGACATAGCGGAGTTTGGCCCCAAGATTTTCCAGCGTCTTGCCACAGGTCAATGATTATTCAGACGACGTCAGTTTACAGAAACACTGGATATGAGAGTTTAGAGTCTCCTAGATCATGGTATCCAATCATAGTGACTGATATCATCTCTATATGCTGCATCATTGCTCGCTTTCGTAATATCATCTCGTTTTGCACTTCCACTTCGACACGACGGTTAGTCAACATGAGTTACTTCTTCTGTATACCTCATATAATGGCCGTATGCGCTTTCTGACAAGTACCTATTAGCAACCAAGCGTTGAACGATTGTTGGAGTATTAGATACTTGGGCAACTGCATCGGCGCTTTAGATCTATCCTATCGGTGCCGTCCTTAACTTACCAGAGGATGGCTATGTGCAGACACTCCCTCGCCCAGTGTTTTTCAGATAGGAGAGACCATCTAATGACCTGACGCCTCAGCTCAGCTGCAGAGGACCAAGTGACGATCGCGCCGCAATGGGATCCTCATCCTGTTCAATTTCGCAGCCGTCCCTCTCATCCTGGATCGCGTGATGCTAACTAAGGTGGCACTTACCCATTTCTCACCCGGGAGGCATCCCCCAACTCCTGGCCGTACATAACCCGCACTCCCTGGCCTTCACCATCAGGAAAAATCTGACTTCGACCAAGAGCCGCATCAGCGCTTTTGAACAAAAAATAGTGCTAAAATATGTCAATGAGATCAGCTGATTTCTAAATCTTCAGACAGATTTTTAATAATTTGTATTGCTGTTGACTTATAACCTGTCGAAGTTGTGACCGGATAGCCAGATCAAGAGACAGAAGACGATGTAGGTATCCAATTTGAGTGATAAGGTCGACAGGAGTCCCAGGTTGGAAAGAAAGAAGAAACAAAGGAAGAAACAAAACTATCTACATGTGTCAGCACGTATGTGCATCCATTGAAGGGGACCCTGACGGGAGCCCAACTAACGTATCTCATAAGCGAGTCGCCCATCCCAAAACATATACTAAATGTGATAAATTATAACTGTCTAGTTCAATAATCAAAGTTAATTCAGTTGATTATTAATTGCAATTGTGACTTGGATTAAAAAAATATCATATACTGACGTCGAGCTAGATAACTGATTATTTTATTGAAATGCCAAAATATACACACGGTGTGAGCTGCAAATATATATTTTTCATTGACTATACATCAAATACTTTTAGATCCTTATCAATGTATTAGGTATGCCGTAGGAAGTACTGAATACAAAAAAAGCCACGAAGCTTTGGTCGTTGAAAAATAGACCGTTCAAATTTATCGCGTTTACTATGATTGATTGATTGATAGATTGGTTCCTCAGGCTTTTCACGTCCTTAGGTCGTATACAGCGTGATCGCCACGATCTACCTGGTGGTCGAATCAGTCCCAGCCTTGGTCACATATAGCTCACTCCTGGACAGGATACTGTCCAAGACCTGCATCAACTTTCCCTCACAACTGGAGACCATGTGGGGCGACCTCCATGCGATGAATCTGTCTGGTCGGACCAGAACACACCCGTCTTCCTCGACTCCTCGGTTCAATCGCCATTCCCCATAAACATCCACAAGATCCAGCCCGATCCCTATCCCATACACATTTATAGGAATACCGGTGACGTGAGCAATACTACGCGCAGCGTGCCCCCAAGCATCTCCCCCAATTCCCAGAAACAGGCAGAAAGCACCTCCCCCGGCTAGGTCATGAGTAGATGTGAGCTTTCCACGTATCTGGACATCTAGCCAAGCGTGAGGTAGCCGGCTACCCGGGTATGTGCTAATCTGGACATCCAGGATCGGGTTCCCTTCTAAACTTGGTCGGGCGCTGCTTTCATCATTATGATATATCGCCAGTGAAGTGTACCACTGGTTATAGGCTGCACCCAGACTGCGAACTTCTTGTCCTACAGCCTCCAAAGCACCTTGCAGCTTAGCTCGGCGTTCTGCTCCTTCCCTCGAGGCTTCTGACAGCTTAGGAAGCTCCTCAGCTCCCTCTTCGGGGGTGTGAGCAAACATTCCCAATGCTTTCCAAATGTCCGAATGAGCACGGATCCCTTTGTTAGACTCTCGAACAAGCATAGCGCCAACCGGCTGGCGTTCATGGCTGTACGACTGGAGCAGGCTTGGACCTGCGATACCTTTCTCCACATACGCAATCTTCCATGCGAGATTGTACGCATCCTGAACACATGTATTGCTACCCAAACCAAATGCGGGTGGATGCCGATGTGCAGCGTCGCCGACAAGAAACGCTTGGGAATCATTGAGAGAGAACTCTTCCGCAACACTCTCACGCACTGTCCAGCGGTCGAGTCGCAGAATATCGATGGTAATTGACTCGACCCCAATGAGCTCGCGCACACAATCGACGAGTTGCGGGCTTTCAGTTGTCAATCCTTCGAATGGTTCTGAGCCATTTGGGCCAAAACAAACCAATACCCATTCTTTCCAGGGCCTAACCGCACGCAGATGCGCCACAAGCCCGGGGAAAGTCTTGCGATCTGGCTTCAAAATCCAATGTAGCCCAGCGCGGCGCTCTTCGAGAAGTATTTCGTCCAAATCAGCGCGGAGCAGAACGTTGCAAGCCTTGCCGCCACTCGGACTATTCAAAAACTTGAAGCCCAACGAGCGAGCTACGCGGCTACGCGCCCCGTCCGCCCCGAACAGATATCGGGTACGAATTTTATACGGAAGGTGCGAGACATGATCACGAGCTGTGCAAGTAAACTCTGCCTTGTCGTCGCCCTTAACACGTTCAATGTCGGTCAGCTCGGTCGAGAAGCGCACATCGAAATTGTGATGCGAAGCGTATTGTACGAGCAGGGGCTCCAGTTGCATCTGGGTAAACTCGGCATAATCACACGGAGATATAGATGATGTAGCTCCCTGTGTATGAGGGTTTGCGTTAGATTGGTAATGGGATGACTGGGAACAAAGACTCACCATAGAGGACGGATGGTCGCCCCATGCACGAACTCTTCCGTATTCCTGTCCACTCATGCTGTAGCACCAGCGCATGGATCGAAAGACTGGTCCACGCAATGATTGGCTCAGCGCCCGCTCTTCTAGGCCAATGTCGCGGAGACACTCTGAAACACCGTCAGTTCATGGAGAAGACAAGCTAGGAAAACGGGTTCGATACCAAAGCCGAAAGGGTTGAATGTATGGGCCCTAGGCGTATCTGCCGTTGCAGGAGCTTGCGATATAACAAGTCCTCTTAGACCTGTTTTCGCTGATTATAAACTTTTCTACTGCCGTAGCGTTCGGACTGTGCTTACCATTTTGGCCAAGGAAAGCTGCCAAAGCCGCTCCCGCCGGACCAGCTCCGACTACTAGAAAATCCGTTTGCACTTGAGGTTGCATTATCCCAAAGGAAATAGTATGAAAGCTTTATACAAGCAATTAACTATTTATTTTGGCACTTTAGGTCCTCGAGGATTCCCTCAGCTTTTCAATGCGTGAGAGGGCCTATCACCCGAACTACTCGGCCGCAGTACCTTCCATATTCGGAACCAGAAGCCGCTCTGCGGCCGAGATAATTTCCTTTTTGAGTCCGATGTGACCGGATAAGTTAAACCGCTACACACAACATCTTGACGAAAGTGCCACTTACTGATGTTTAGACAGTTCAGAACCTTTAAGTGGATTACAAATGAGGGGGGCTGGACTTCCGAGCCCACGCTCGCTTATACCTGAGTTCTAAAAACGTTCGGCGTATATGTTCCGCGTGTACGGACGGTTTGGGTAGTGAAATTGGGCTACCGATTTGTATAAATCCGGGCTGTCGCCAGTCAAGCTGATGGCGTTTTTTACTCACTTTCCTTCTGATAAGCAACATGGTATTGCCCAGGTTCCTTATTGTTGGCGCTAACGGCGCTGTTGGCCGCGAACTTCTGCACCAGCTTCTCGCTCTTTTCCCTCCCTCTCAAATTCGAGTCTCGACCCGCAATACAGCAACGGCAAAATTTCCTCCTGGTGTGGAGGTTGTTCAGGCGGACCTTTCCGATGTTACTTCCCATCATCGATTGTTCGCTGGTGTGGATCGTGCATTCCTGTACTCAACTCCTGAAGCGCCGCTCCAGCAACTTTTCTTAACGGCGAAAGGCGAGGGAGTCCATCACGTTACCCTTCTGTAATCCCTATCAATCGAGGATGATCCGGAAGGAATGATAGCCACAACCCAGCGCAAGGTAGAAGATGCTATTATCCATTCTGGTCTTCTCTACACGTTCATTCGTGCGGGCAATTTTTGTTCGAATGCTTCACTATTTTGGGTCCCCCAGATTGAGAAAACGGGGAAGCTTTGGATGGTGTACCCGGATGCACAAAGTGCCCCTGTATCAGAATCGGACATAGCGGCGACTGCTGTTGTCGCTCTCACTACCGATAAACTGGTCAATCAAGCTATCGGCGTAACAGGGCCTGCCCAGATCAGCCACCGGGAGCAAATTGAAGCCATCAATTGTCTTCGTCGAATAGAGGGCAAGCAGCCCATCGAATTTGTTGTTGTTACCCCAGAGGATTGGAAATCGAAGACTTCCAACTTCATTCCTGAAGACCTTCAGGATCAGCTTCTTAAGTTCTGGGCCTTAGGAAACAAGAGACGACCGGCATTGAAGCCTTCTGAGAAAGTCACAGGCAAGCCTTCGCAGTGCTTTGAAGAGTGGCTAGCATGCAACAAGGCTGCTTTCCTCAAGTACTAAAGGAGGAATCACCTTTGATTTCTGCAGGAACATGACGCCAGCTTGGAAAGTGAGCTTCCTATTTACGGGTTTCAAGCACTATTGTCATGCTGGTGGTCCCGTTGAGCTCGGTGAGGGAGGTATCACGTAAGAGAGAACAATAGAATTGGGAAGTTTGATTTATACCAAGATGAATGATAATTGTTGTGTGGAAAAATATAAGTTAATTGTAATATCGTTACTAAAGTGACTGGGCCTGGTAGAGGTAATTCCAGACCTTGCTGCACCGGCGGCTGCTCCAGTACGATGCCTTTCGCCCCGTTCTTCCAGTCTGTTGGGATACTTCGAACTTATGGCCTTGTCTAACGCCCTTTGTCAGGCTCTTTGTGATCTAATCCAATTATATACGCACCCTAGTAGCCAAATCCAACGGAATTAATAATCGCTGTTTTCCTAGGAATGTAATGAAAGACAATGTTCCTCATTTGTGTTGTAGCTAGTTACTGACGAAATCGGAGGATCCAACCATGCATAAACGATTCGCAAATTCAGGACGAAGGTAATATCCCACATACATGGCCATGGGTTGCGCACCAGCTCATATGGTAATATTTATGGTATCTGAGGTATTTTCCGTATGGGCCCTTAGAGACGTTGATTATAGTCCATCATATATCTAACTAGTATTTTTCGGATATGCGAGCAGAGTTAAGTGGTGTACTGTACCTTAATTAGGTTAACGCTCCAGGTAGGGTAGACGTTCAGTATTGTCGATCAAATAGACAAAAGCTTCCGCTCTACATACTTCGCAAAATTGATACCTACAGATTGTTGTATTCAGGTAGGATAAAAAAGGCCCATAAATCTATCTCGTTACGAGATTTGACAAAAGAAAAAGCCACAAGGTCGTGAAAATTAACAATTAACCGTGAAACAAACCGTAGATGAAAACAGCTAAAGGGGCTGCAAGGACAAATCATCCCACACGAGGGATGCAAAAAGCGGATCCCAATCGGAGAGACTTGCATCTACAACAGCGGCCAAGGGAAAAGATGGGTCTATAGTCCATTCATTCGAAGACCACGCTTTCGAACGAAGCATTTCCAGCTTCGCTAAGTTAGCGTTCGAGTTTGCTGAAAGCGCCGAGAAACACGTTTCGACCGTGGTGCGGATTGCATCTGAGTCAACAGACTTGGGATTTTGAATCCAGAAATGGCAATGGCTTGAATACCACAAGACGAGGTAATCTACCTCGTGGCTTTGAATAAACCCATCGGAGTTGCCCGCCGGCGAATCCATGTGCCGTGGGACATTGACACGCGGTGAGAGCAGCCCCGAGGAATCTACCCTATCAGCGCTGCCTTCGTCTTCAGGCTGTGGAGTTAAGGCCGCCGTGTCTTCTGTGACAGTCATCCATGATGAAGTCGAGTAATACCGAGACGAGGTGTTGCTGGTGGCGCTGAAGTGACCGAGCTGATTGAGCTGGATTCTGTCATCTGGCTTCCGAGAACCACGTTCACAGGGGTCGGCTGTTTGGCCGTCATTAGGCTCCTGAGGCGGTTCAGGGTTCTTGCACGTCTCGGTGGCTCTGGCCTGGTAATTGCAATCGCGATTGTTCGCCAAGCAATTCCGGCAACAGGGCTTTGATTGATCGCATCTGATTTTCCTCGACCGGCATGGTTGACATGTTTGTATTTCACGATTTCTCACGATTTTCCGCCGGTTCAAATCAAGCCGCGTCAAGCCCAATAATTCGGAGCGCCTCCATCGAGTGTTAGGTCGATTGGCATCACCTGGGCTTCTTGGAGAGCTTCGACACTGTTTATGAGACGCCGACATTATCCTGCAAAATTACTGCCGGGGAATCCGTCTTTGGAGATCTAGCGGATGTTCGCTCAGCTGACCACCAAGACTCATGCGTAGTCATTAAGATGACCAAGGTAACTAACTAACTAGTTAACTAACTTAGTTAACTGACTGGTTAATTGGTAATAGTTAGCAAAGTTTGTGGTTCTCCCCTTGTGCCGCCACTCCACAACGCACGCCAAACTCCGCAGCACACATAATCAAACTCCACAGAATCTCAGTTGTCTCTTTTCTAAATTGAGAACATGATCAATTCTACAAACATAAGAGCTAACTCTGATGAACCACCATCTTTATAAAATGCTTGGGGTCTTACACCACCTAGCTAATAAGCAAATTAAACACGTGCAAGCACCGTTATGTCTGGTTATTAGCTACTCTGGTTGTGTGCAACCTACCCAGGCCCAAAATGGAGCTTATCTTTATGGCTGCGGAGTCGGAAAAGTGGCACCCTTTATAGCCCACTTGATTACCTATAGGTACATTGATACATACTTAACACCGAAATCTCCGGGAGTGTTCCATTTCCGAAGAATTTACCTGCTTACTATCAAGTGGGTCATGAGCGGAGAAACATCCTGGCTTTAGGCCATGGAAGTTTGTAAATGCCATTAGCGCTCATCTGGTTCAACAGTGGTATTGGGCAGTTGTCATGGCCTGCCGACAATGCGTCACACTCTCGCTATCGTCCCCACAAGTTCAAGTCAGCATTCGGCAAACAGCATACCAGTGTGTTGACACGTTTTCATCCTCATCTGATGGGATATTATGACCAGATATTTAAGCCTTGCAGACCATTGCTACGGTGGTTACTTTTTGCGATACGCGATCTCTTACCGGATGACACTGTCCTCGTTTCGCACTCTCGCTACATAGCTTGGTTTGAAAACTCAGTAGACAAACAACTATGTCGGAGTCTCTAGCGTCTCTAAAGGAGTCCGTCGAGAATTCCCAATGCGAGTATCGGCAACTTGGAAACAGCGGCCTGAGAGTGTCTGTGCCCATCCTCGGCTGTATGAGCTTTGGTGATCCGAGGTCTATGCCATGGACTATCGGCGAAGAAGAGGTAAGAGCAATTTGATATGATCGTAATTTTTCCTGCTGGAATAGCAAAATCTAGGCACTCCCAATCCTCAAGGCAGCCTATGACCGAGGACTCAATACCTGGGATACGGCCAACGTCTACAGCAACGGTGCTTCGGAGACAATTGTCGGTCAGGCTCTCAGGAAGTACTCTATTCCTCGAGAGAGGGTTGTTATCATGACAAAGTGCTTTTGGGGGGTTGCTGAAGAACCAGGTATTATTCACCACAACTTCCCTTGTAGCGTATCGCTTGACAAAGGTCACAGAGACATTGCACTGGCTATCGAGAGACGCATTTGAACGGTCCAAGGATTACCAAAACCAGTTTGGACTGTCCCGTGCGGCAATATTCAATCAAGTTGAGGCATCTCTCAAACGATTGGGCACGAACTATATCGACGTGTTACAGATCCATCGTTTCGACTCAACGACTCCAATCGAAGAAACAATGAAAGCCCTGGACGACCTTGTCCGGTCAGGACGTGTTCGTTACATCGGGGCGAGCAGTATGTGGGCGACACAATTCGCCCGTATGCAGTTCTGTGCTGAACGTAACGGCTGGACGAAGTTTATAAGCATGCAAAATCAATACAATCTATTGTATCGTGAAGAAGAGCGCGAAATGAATCGATTCTGCAACGATACCGGTGTTGGGTTGATCCCTTGGGCTCCTCTTTGCCGAGGCCACCTGGCTCGGCCACCATCAAAGTTTGGCTTGACCCCTAGGAGCGAACTAGAGAAACACGACCCGCAAGCTTCCGAGCTATCGGAGCAAGACCTGGCTATAATAAGACGGGTGATCGAGATCGGAGAAAAGCGCGGCTGGCCGATGGCCCACGTCGCTCTTGCGTGGATCAACAAGCGTGTCACAAGCCCTATAATTGGTTGCAGCAGTGTTGAAAGACTGGAGCAGGCGATTACAGCAAGGGAAAAGCGGTTGAATGATGAAGAAGATCAATACCTCGAGGAACCTTACCAACCGAAGCCAGTTGTTGTTGCGGAGTCTCTTTAGCCTTCTCACTCGCTGCTAATTGGAAATGCAGATACGGAGGGGGGCGGAGAAAGGGATGGTGGATGAAGAAAGCACTTTATGTATGTCCTCGTTCCTTTTTGCAGCCTAATTGAGATGTGGACATGCTTGCTACAGAAACACCAGACTTTATCACTGGAAGCTGGCTTAGAAAAAAACTTTGATCGGATTGATGATAAACTAATGGCGTGAGTATCTAAACTGCGGTGTGGATGTGTCCGGCCAACCGATAATGCACACCGAATTGATTTCCAGGTGTATAGTCAGCACCATCCAGACCTGAAGAGGCATTTATGAAAATTGGGGCTTTCCTTGACCTCCACTTAGACTGAGCTGAATGGGTCATATCAGAACCGTGGATTAGAGGCAGACTATACCATCTACAGACTTTGCAAACAGCTGAGTTGCACTGACGCCCCATAGACAATGCGCAGATACAAACTGTACGTAGTCAATAACGCCACGATGCGCATGTACGCTTCATCAAGCCGTCACAGGCTTAATGTTGACAACCTTCCTCAAATCCCTGCTACTGAATCCCACACTAATGACAAACTCGCCCTTGGGAATCAGCCACTCCTGCGACACCACATCCCAATAGCTGAGGTCTCTCCGCATCAGCTCAAAATTTACAGTGCACGATTCTCCAGGAGCCAGGTAAACCTTGTCGAACCCTCGAAGCTGCTTGGGCGGGGTCCCAGGGACACTATCGGGAAATGTCACGTAGAGCTGCGGCACCGTTGCGCCCTCCACATTACCTGTATTGGTGACCAACACGGACACATCGTAGATGGCCACCCAAAGAGAAGGATTTCCTCCGGGCTGAATCGGACGATCCTCCGGTGCCGAGGAAACGGACTTGGCCAGGGCTTTGGCTTTGATGTTGGAGAGGCTGAAGGTTGAGTAAGACAGGCCGTAGCCAAACTCATAAAGGACTGACATGTTTCGGGCGTCGAAGTAACGGTAGTCGACTTCAAGCTTCTCGTTGAACCATGATTGCCAGTCATACTGACCTGTTGTGGTCACCTCAGTCGTGGGTGGGGCATTGTAATCGCTGCCGTTTTTGGCGATCGTGTATGGCAGCTTCCCGGATGGATTGATATCACCGTAAAGGACATCGACAATCGAGTTGCCAGATTCCTCCCCAGGGTAATGGGCCGCAAGGATGGCAGTCACGTTAGGGTGGTTGGCAAAGGGGAGTTCGTTAATACCAGAGGAATGAGTGATGACGATGGTATTGTGGCAGACTTTGGCGACCGAATTCACGAGGTTGTTTCCATTATAGTCCACCGATAGATGCTCGCGGTCTGAACCCTCGGTTGCCCATGTTTTGAGGAAGATGAGACAAGCTTCAGGCGGGGCGGGGATCCAAAGATCAGTGACATTTGAATCGGCGACGAGGGTGTTGTTCAACCAAAACTGGACCAGAGCGTTATCCTGCTTAGCACGAGCAGTGAGGGCCGCCAGCGGTGAGACCAAATATGTGAAGCGACCCGTGCCTGAGCCACCACCTGCAGCAAGTGTGCCAAACTCAAAGTTCTCTCCGTTATAGGCACCCATAGTGTCCTCGCCAGCATCGTTGCCAAAAATCGCAATTGACTTCGGCGCCTTCAAAGGCAACGCATTGCCCTCGTTCTTGAGCAGAATGGTGGCCTCAGCAGCCTGTCTGCGAATCAGCTCGCCATGATTCCCACGGACATCACGAGTAGACTCCCCGGTGATATTAAACTCGCGAAGCCATGTAGACCGTGGCGAAAAGGTATTTAGCTCAACGGTTGAAGGGTCAACCGAGGGGAAGTCTTTGTCCTGGCTGAGCCAGTAGTAAGGAGTCATGATGCGAACGATCATATCATCCACGCGCGATTCATCGATAGTTCCGTTGTTGACAGCAGAAGTCACGTTTCCTCCAAAGAAGGAGCCTTCCTCACGGTAAAGGCCGTATGGACCGAGACCCCCCGGCATATTCATGTCGAGACCACTCTCAATGGACGCGACACCGGAATGAGTGCCGCCCCAGTCGGACATAATATATCCCTGGAAGCCAAGCTCCTCCTTGAGGAGGCCAATGAGAGCCTTGGAGTTCTGACAGGCGTAGGAGCCGTTGAGGCGCTGATAGGAACACATGACGGAAGCAACCTTAGCGCGCACAGCGTTGGCGAACGGCCAATGATAAAGCTCGTGCATAGTTCGGTCATCAATATTAGAGGAAATAGCTTCCTGCTTGATTTGTGGGGCCGTGCCACTATAGTCGTAGCTTGGATTACGCTGGGTCTCTTGCTCGTTGCCGACGTAATGCTTCGCAGTAGCCTGAACGCCGGCATCCTGGAGGCCCTGGATGGTTCGCTCCATCGCAACGCCAGTCAGATACGGGTCCGCCGCGAAGCCCTCCCAGTTTCTGCCCCCGTAGGCTGAGCGCCCAAGGGGACCAGCAACAGGTGCGAGCGCGATATGGGCACCTTTGGCTCTGAACTCCTGTCCCATAGCGAAACCGCGCTCGTACAAAATGTCCCTGTCCCATGTTGACGCAGCTGTCACGCCAGCAGAGAAGACGCTCGCATAGTCGGCGACACGGATGGCCAACGGCCCGTCTTGCAAGCAGAGACCATTGAAGCCGAGTCGGGGAATGGCCACAATATTCCCAACGCAAGGGCCTGGTTGCCCAGTGACCATGTCAGCCTTTTCTTCAAGCGTCAACTCCGCGACAAAGTGCTGAGCTTTGGCGAAGGCGGCCTCCCAGCCGCCAAGTCCGGTAGCGTTGGCTATTATCTGATGAGAAACAGTCCACCATAGGTCACATATTGATTAAGACTTACGCGATGGAAGAATGGGAGGAGAGTGTCCGTAAGGCCCGAGAATAGTCGTGTTACGGGGCTGGACATAGGTGAAAGCACCTAAACTTCGAGCTGGCGGGTCATATTGCTGGCCATTGACCACAACAGCGGCCAACAGACCAGACACGAGTAGATGAGAAATGCTGGTCATTGTTTGTTACTGGGTTGTCGGTGAACTTCAGAGCTGTTATGAAAAGCTGGTTTCGGATCAATGCTAGCTGCCCTACTTATAGTCCGTCGGTAAATAATGATATAGCTTGAGAATTTCTCCTGGATCGTGAGCTGGAAGCAAGAACTGCCTCAAACCCCAACAACTCAATTCATGTCTTGGCAACCAGAAGAATTCCCTCTGTTCCTCTGGGGTATCCGCTTAAAGCACAGGCGCGGGGCCCCACGCCCCAGTCCCCGGATATCCCCGCATTGCTAAATCATGCGTTGGAACCTGCGATGACTCCGAGGCGCGTTTGTTGTCCAGTTGCCTGGGTTTTCGGTAAAAAGCAACGTGGGCATAATGGGAACATTTGCGTACATGAAGGAAAGCACATACAATTGAGATTCTCGTCTGCAGCCTTGAACAACACTGTGGTTCAACTGCTTTGTTTGAGTTGAAGGCTGTTGTCGCTTGGGCATTCCTGGGKGTTAGCGAATTCGAGCATTTCACTACTCGAGTACTAAGGGTCTACGAGCTCGGCTCTCTTGCCTGAAGTTGACCCCGCTGTACGGAACCTCCATATAATTCAGAACTTGAAACCCGGCAATTTTAGCTCCGAAGATAATGAGCAAAAGTAACTTGGGCTGTGGAACCGGGAGCAAGGCAATCCGAGGGAATTCCAAGCGTCCAGTGAGTATTTTGTGGCCACTTCGGTGCACCTCCAGTGCACTGGCTTGGACTAATGCAACCAGCTTACATGTCGATCTTTTTTAAACTTTAAAGCCTGCACCTGGCGAGTGGTAATGAAGTTTGTACTAGAATCGCTGGGAATGCATGAAAGTCTATTGGACGCGGGTGGGAAGTTGAACTCGGGCAAGTCAAATCTTCCAGAGGAATGTGCTTGATGCTAACCCTGGCGATAAACTGGATCAGTGAGATGTCAGACGTTATTGGATATGCTGCACTCTTGGTGCGCGCTCCAAATGCAAGCACGAGAGTTTTCCATGAGCCTACATATACAACCCCGAAGATTACCCGAATAAGTGGCCCCACTTTCATGTTGGACGGCGGATTCGGCTCGTTATACCTCACCCCGCGTGCCGTGCGACTGCCCTGCTTACATTAAGAGCCTGGAACCCTTCGGATTTAACGACTTAACACCAAAAGAGGGGTCAAACAGAGTTTCACGGTATCCGGTCAATACAATCTGGTATCCCTTGGCTGGCTTTGAGCCTTTGCCTTTTCACCTCGAGCTTTGCACCAGTACTGTATTTGACCCGCAAACCAAGATTCGCGCTGGCAGTCGGCCACGTCCTTTGATCAGCGACGGGCTTGCCGCGCATGAGTCCCTTGAGGTTTGTTGCGGCTCAGGTACGAAGAGAAGACATCAACCGACATTGTATTTCAACGAAGCAACTAAGCATGAGGAGGAAGAAGGGAGGAAGGATACATGGCGCAAGGAGATCTAAATAGTTACCCGTTAGTTGCGCGCAGCAGCAGGTATCAACACAGCCATCAAGTATGTGAATCGTCATGGAGTTATGCTCCTCCTGCTTTCCAAATGGGAACGAACTTGTCTTGATGTGAGCACTGATGCCTAGATTAACAATTCCTCTATCCTGAGGAGCACCTAGAACAGGTCAATGACACCGTATGTAACCTTGCAGAGCCCCTGAATAGCGAATCACCCCGGCAAAGACTCCAAAAATATCTCCCTCCTGGACTGAAATGATGGGACAAACAGAAAAGAAGTTCTTCTCTGTGGGTATTATGGTGACAAAATAGACTTGTGTCTCATCCCCTCTGCCCCAGAATGTAAGTCAAGAAACCCACCGAATTGTGCAATGATGGCCGATGTGGCCTTCTCGATTGGAAAGTGATAGCTTCCTCGTCAGAGAGCCACGGATTACTCGCACTGTCCCACGCAGCATCTGGAATCTTTAATCTCACCGCCACATTAAGCTCACTGAGCCACAGTCCTCCCCTGAGATCGTCCATAATCTCTTGAGTTACCCGGCTTTCCAGCTGTCTTTCCGCTCGTGATTGGCCTGGGTGCTAGTAAGCGCGTTTAAGGAAGACCGTCGGAGGCTGTCTGAGGAAGCCTTTGCGCTCACGCTTGTCACTAGACTTTGCCTTAATCAGGTCATACTGGCAGATGCCGCCTGTGGTTCCACAGGGCTGGCTCACGACAATATCGCCTAGCCAGATATCGTGGTCCTCGTCTGGTCGGGCTATGCTGCTGCCTATGCTGACCAAAAGACTAATACGGATGGATGGCAGAGAGGCAAGCAGGCTCGAGGCTGTGGTCGCAGTCAAGGTGGTTCCGTAGACTCAGGAGGCCAGAGAGGCAATGATGATGTTGTGCTCTACCACGCGACCCTATATATAGATATTCGCGTTGGTTTGGTATCTTCCACTACTATCGTATGTCTATTCTCTATAGCATAAGAAAGTAGGGTTTATCCAGGCCCTGATCTAGTGTGTGATTTAACTTACTTATTTCTAAGCGGTAGCTATACTATCATCCTATGCCCTCTCCATACTACTAATAGCAGTGGTATCTATCAGTTATCAGACTGAAAGGAGATAATAGTTAAGCAGAGAGAAGGCCCTTATATTTAAGAAAGTGACGGAGGTACTAGTAATGGCCTCTAGAGAGTCTAGCAACCACAGAATCACTCACCTACTGATTACCCTATACTTACCTATGCTGTTAGATAGCATTGCTTAGCTTACCTTTACTTACCCTCACTTACCCTTACTTACCTACCTATACTCACCCTGTGGTTTAGTATCTCTCACCTATAAAGTAGCAGGCCTTCAAGGGTGTATATAACTTCTGGCTGCGTTGATAATACTGGCTTAAGTACAGCTGAGTGGATGGGAGGCCCTATTTTCCACACCCTGTGGTCGTATGTGCTGGAAATAAGCAGGACTCTGATCATATAGGACGAGGAGAGGGCATAAAAAAAGAGATGGCCTTAAGGACAAATTGACGAGTTGTTGCTTTTAATTCTTGCCAATTTAGTATTCATCGTGACGGCGGAAGTCGTTCATTCCATTTTTTCCCGCCTCCTGCCGACCCATACGGGTCATATCCAGCAGGTGATACGTGGACAGGATGATCTCCAAGCCACGAGCCGAGGTGTCATAGGTGTGAAATACCTCGTCACCTTCGCGCAAGAACGAACATAAGCCAAAATAGCCGTTTCCGGGCTTCCAGGTGATAATTTCTCCCTGTGCTTCGGCTTCGGCCCACTTTTCGTGCGTTTTCGCAGAACTATAGAAAGGAAACTTCCAGCCCATCCGATTCCCGTAGGCGGTTACTTCAGACAGGGGCGCGGTAGCCACGGCGACGAAAGAAGTATCCCTGCTCCACAGGTGGCGGAGGTCGGGGATATGGTCCATACAGAATGAGCAACCCACGCAGACCTCAGTCTCATGGGGTCTCAGCATAAAATGGTAGAGGATTAGCTGTTTGCGCCCATCAAAAAGATCCACCAGGGTCTTCACTCCGTCAGGAGTATCGAATTGGAACCGAGCTGGGTCGTGGATGCGCACCATGGGCAACTGACGGCGCTGCGCGGCGAGCTCCTGTAGCAGGTGCGTTGCCGCTTTCTCCTGCAGGAGAAGACGAGCTCGAGCAGCCTGGTACTCTTCGGGGCTGCCAATGTTTTTCTAGCGGTGGTGAGCGAAATGAGGGAGACCCAGTAGATATTTGCGAGAGAAACATACCTGGCTGTCCATTGCTGTAAGTTGTGACAGGAAGAAGTGGAAGAATGACCATTCTACGAGGGCGGTAGCTGACCCGAAGATCATACGAGTCTGTATATAATATGAATACTAGTCTACACGTCACACATGCGTTCTAGAAACGAAAGACAATTACTCTGTACAGCTTAGAGATATATGCTAGGGCCAATCAGCAGACAAGACTTACATCACGTGTAGCGGGGCAAAAAAGGAAACACGCGTCATGGAGGACTGTCGGTGACGCGGTTGAGACGCGTTGTCACGAGGTTGCTCGTATCCGAACTCAAACCGCGGAGTTCTGACGCTCATTCGCTGTGGGACTCGCCTGGACTCAATATTCATGGATTCGTGGTATGTATACGAAGTGGCTGCATCGACCTGGGCCCTGGTTTTGAATTTGGACGTATCTAAAGAGGTCCATGCGGGGTGATGTCTCAGCTTCTGGTGGGTTCTGTGGCATACTGGTGGTGGAAATGCCACTGGGAATAATGACTTGTTGGATTGCGATTCTGCCATTGTCTATGAAAGATGTGTAAAGCTAAGGTTAGGAGTCTCTTTTAGAGAAGAATGAGCAACTCCATGTGATATTGTTAGTGCATGATACTAAGTAAAAAGCCCAATCTAGCCCATCGCTGAGGGATAGATGCCTATATGGCTTAAACTCTATACCCGAAGTTGAGGCCACCTTCTTCCCATGATCATGTTGCCAATGACGTACACGAACCACGCTTCATCTTTCACAGTCTCCTGTGGGCAGTAAGACGGAGTAGATATATAATGCTCCTTTGCCTCCCTGTCCGAACTTTTTGTCATACGCTGCGCTGAACTTGTTCAGGCCCTAACAGTCCACAATGTCTACCGAAACCAGTGACCCAACTAAGTCCCAGCAGACATGGAAGGCTCCCCCAGAAGGCTCTCCATGTTGGGTGGAGATCCCTGCACGGGATACCGAAAAACTAAAGGTCGGTTCACTTGATGATTTTCGTCTGTTGTGGTAGCAGGGTACTGGACCCCGCTGACGATGATCTCTGGGTAGGCATTTTACGCTGCCATCTTTCCGTCCTGGGAATGGAAGCCAGCTCAATCGGCTGAAGACCAAAGCAAAAACCTGCAGCACTATAGTTTCGCTGAACCGAAGGGTAAGCCAACCGTGATGCTCAGCTTATCAAAATCGCTGAATGGGTCTTCCGTCTAGGATTGGGGGGAGGCATCATCCAGATGCCCGAGGGTTGCGCTCCAACGGAGCAGACTATGGGTAGTGGGATGACCGTGTACTACATGGTCGATTCCCTTGACATGGTCAGTCCTGGTGCCCAAATACTCCATGAATCAATACCTTTTCCAGAAGATCCGCAGGCTGATTATATCAGATCGAGAAAAAAATTCATGAACGCGGTGGTAGCACCTGTCTAGGCAAGACAACTGAGAGTACTCATGGGTGGTTTATGAACTTCCGTGACCCTGAAGGGAACCGCTTTGGTTGCTATGAGTTTCGTCGTAGCTAGAGAGTCTTGGAGAGGTCTTTCGCAGCCATTGCTTTTTCGAGCTCAGCGGGTCTTTTTTTACTTTCCTAAATATCTTCCGGGCCGTCAAAGGTGGGGGACGGATGCTGCAAAAAAAAAAACTCGGCTCCAAGTGGGTACAACTTGTCAATTTCATCCGATTCGCTGACAGATATCAAATATACCTAAGTTACCGTAAGGTAGTCAGTTGGATTAGTCTTACCCCCTAGCGGCTTAGGTTAAGACACTACTTTTTGAAGGGGACCCTAGATCTTCCGCTACGGGTAGCCTATACCACCTTTGGTTTGATCCCCTAAGCATAGGGACCGATCACATCCATTTTTATTGCACCGAACAAGCTAAATAAGAGAAGACTTAGCAAGCTAACAAGCTTGGGCGCCGTAGCTTGGCTTCAATCTTCCCCTGAAACAACCCACTCCTCAAGCCGACATAGCTGCTGCAAATAAAATCAGATTCTGCGCGAAGTGATCTTGCCGCCTTTTCTTTGGGTGTTCATTGATTCACACTGTTCATATTATCCCTCCAAGACACAGGCACAGGCAATTCTATAAGCATAAAAACGGCATGACCGAAATGGCGCGACCAGTCCGGCACTGGCCGGGTGGCATACCCCACAGCATCAAACCGCACCCCGAGGATGACCTGTCCCTTGACCAGATGAAGGAGGAGGTCAAGGGGTGGCTGCTCTTTGTCCAAGCATTATTGTCTTTCTACACACTGTCTGAGGGAAAACAAGGTACTGAGACAGCACTAGGAGAATTGGGTTCGTCGATCCGAGGCCGCTATCGCGGAAGACGATGGGGATTATGAATTGCGCCAACGGCGGAAGCTCGTCGAGCAATGGGCCTCCGCAACACAGGAGTTCCGGGATGTATGCAGACCATCTGCTAATGATAAGTTAACTTCTGCTTACCTGGCAATGTAGAGTTTCCGTGATCGCGCACCCATTGGCCTTCCCGGAACAGAGAGCGATGGTGAGGTCCAGGGAGGGTTGCGATACCCGGCCGAGGCCCTAGAGCACATAAACGACACCCAACAGCCCTGCGACCTGAGAGGCGTCATTTCACTCGTACCAGTGGATCCCACGAATCCTATCAATCGAGCTCGATGGATGAAATTCGTCATTCTGCTCTATGGGTACGGTATGGAGATCACTCACTGTCTACAAACTCACTCCATGCCCTCAGAAGCTGTACCAAACCCAGCCACCACGGGGGGTAATGGTAACCTTTCCGTTGAAGATTTTCCTGCCTGTCTGTATCTCGAAAGTGCCCTTTTCGGCTCAATATACCTCACCCGTACCGGGACAATTCTGTATCTTGGGCACACAGGCCCATTTGCGCTTGTTGATGAGGAGGGGCTACGAACAGGCCGACTTTCCCTGACTGCATTTACGGCCAATGGTGACGTCGAGGACTCTATTCTTATTCGACCTTTCAATATGCACAAGCCTTACCTGCAATATGGTACGCTTGGAAAAGGACTAGCGGATGCGAAGGGCGCTGAGGGGGCATTCCCGCCTCAGAACGAACCGTGAGTTTACCTATTTCTGGCTTTTCCTGTAGAAGTATACTAAGAAACGATCTATGTGTCTAGGCTCAATATGGATTTACCTATTCTCGACATCCTGTGCAATGCCCAAGCGGCGAAGGAACTCGTCGGTGAGATGGCCTTAGGCGATCGCGATCAATGGAAAGAGGACGTTGAACGATACGCACCCGGATTCTTGGCCCTTGAAGCGGTCGGCAGGGGTGCAGAGTACCATCTAAACCTTCTGACGCCTGGCGGTGACCTTGGAGGTGGTGTGAAACGAAGAATGCTCAGGAAAATGGCATCTGGTGTGGACCCGCGCTTTAGAGTTCTTCCTGGGTTGCACTTCTAAAATATATAATTGTAAACACGTGTATCAGGCTATCTCCAATTGCCGAACAAGTCAATTCATGTATTAAAGCTTTAGCATGGAGCTGTGCAGATATACTCTGTCATTTGACTGCGTCTCGCCAAATTATTCAGGAGCAATTCAGATAAGGAAGCGATATATGTTGATTCTAAGTACTTTAGGCTTTTCAAGCCCCGCATGTAGCGGAGGGAGGGTTGTGCAACTGGCACTGATTCTTCTTACGTTTTCCATCTGTCAACAGCATGATTGTACCTCTCGTCAGTGGCTGGCGATCTTTTCTTGCAGCTAACAACATTCTCTTTATTAATCAGATCCTGTTGGTATTCTTCTGTGAATCCACATGATTCTCCCAACTTCCGAAGCATTTCAAGAATCACAGAGGGAAAAGAGGATTAGGGACACCAATGATTTCCATGCGGGTATAGATACATCAAGCCCCCAAGCCAAGCTAGATTAGTAGTAGCTATTAGTTATATTGGTGTAATTTGTTTACTCTACACGTGTTATGTTACACACTGATCAAAACCCATTCCCGCTGCACCAAACTGCTGTTTCAACCTGCTGTATGCCACAGTAACCTGTTTACCAAAATTAATTCAGATTTTAACTTGAAGTAGTTCAGGTCTGTAAGTAAAATAAAAAAATAAAAAGAAACATAAACATACAACAGCCGGGATTCGCTGGTGGTCACCCACCCAACTACTAACCGGCCGGCGTGTGGCTTAAGTACGGCTGAGCGGACGGGAAGCCCTGTTTTCCACACCCTATGGTCGTATGTGCTAGGATGGACAGGGTTGAGGTTGATATCCAATCTAGTTAATAGCAAATCTCCACATGATTTTTATCATCATCTAGATTGAAGTAAAGCTGCCTCTTGGCACACGGTAGTGGTCCTGATAGTTGTACCTTTCTGCGTCCATTGAGTGCCAGTATAGTGACTATAGTCAGTCTGTTTCCCTTGGCTGCAGAGGTCTTTCCGACGGGCGACCAACAGCGTTCTCAGGGTTCTACGTCATGGTATTGAAATCAGTTCCAGAACCAGGTTCCTCGACCTGCATGATTTCCTCCTATCTAATCCCCGTTCTCTTGTGCTCAATTCTTGTTTCCGACGATCTCAACACTAAAACCAAAAGAGGACTAGCGTATCGTCTGTGCCCAATCGGGATGACATCATCAGGTGCTTGTTGCCCCTTGCTCTGTCTCTCCTCTCTTCTTCCGTCTCTCTCTTGGACTCAGTCTCTTATCTCTTGTGGACATTGCTGCTTATAATTGTCCCAGGTATAAGAAGTACAGTCCGGGTAGTCTAAGTACCCAACATGGGATGCAATTGATATCATCAGACATCCTTCGCATTTGTTATCTTCGCCCCTTACGCTTAACCGCGGACCGGCCGACCTTGGCTCCGGTTCCTGTTATACCCCCCAAACACAAGGGCTCTTGAATATTGCAACGTCTCAGCTACCGCCAGTCACGTCATGACATTGAATACGGTCGCATTGGGTGCCTCCCTTACGCCTACCGTCGTCGCGACCTTGGTCTCTCACGTGGGTATCGCCCAGCATCTTCTCCAC